GGAATTAAATATAGAAAAAAAAACATGACTTTTAGAAGTAATCATAAATTAAAAAATGAAACCTTACTATGTTTGTTAGTCAACGGGCTAAAACTGAAGCAAGTAAAGGAAACTAAATTATTGGGAGTCATCTCACACCTGTCTTGGGCTGCTCATATAGATGGTATTGTGACTAAAATGGGTAAAGGCATTATGATGGTGAAGAAATGTGTTTCATTCATACCCGCTGCTATTGCTAAACAGGTTGTACAGTCTCTTGTCTTGAGTTATCTGGAGTATTGCCCGGTGATATGGTCATCTGTTTCACGGAGTGAGCTTCACAAGCTTCAACTGGCACAAAACAGGGCGGCTAGAGTGGTCCCTCAGTGCTCACAAAGAACAAATGTGGCTTCAATGCATAGATGGCTTTCATGTTTAACAGTTACTTATAAACTTAAATTAAGACTTCTCCTATTTATATGGAATGTTTTCTTTAAAAAAACAGCCTTCACTTTTTGTTGAACATTTAGTCCTTCTTGAAAAAAGTCATAATTATTTAACAAGGCGGGCACTAGGTGGAGACATTAAACTCCCTCGACCCAGAACAAATTATCTAAAATCCACAGTGTATTATAGAGCCATATGTCACTGGAACCAACTGCCAATAACCATGCGAAGAGTCCAGAACAGAACAAGCTTCAAAAAGATACTCTCTTCAGAACTACTGCAGATGAAATGATGAACTGACCTGTGTATATATGTTGTATATTTTTACTCTTTTTCATGTTACTATTATTTCCTAATGTGATTTTTTAAAGGTTTGTTTATAATTTAATGTCATTTCTTTATGTGAGGACCCCAGGAAAATTAGTGGCCATTTATTTCGCAGCTAATGGAATCCTAATAAAACTAAACTAAACTATCACTCTCCTTGGTCAAATAGCCCTTACACAGACCGGAGGTGTGTTTGGGGTCATTGTCCAGTTGAAATATAAATGATGGTCCAACTAAAGGCAAACCGGATGGAATAGCATGCAGCTTCAAGATTCTGTGGTAGACATGCTGATTCAGTATGCCTTCAATTTTTAATAAATCCTCAACAGTGTCACCAGCAAACCCCCTTCCGCACCTTCACACCTCCTCCTCTATGCTTCACGATGGGAACCAGGCATGTGTCCATCCATTCACCTTTTCTGCATTACACAAAGAAACGATAGTTGGAACCAAAGATCTCAAATTTTGTCTCATCAGACCAAAGCACAGATTTCCACTGGTTTAATGTTCATTCCTTGTGTTCTTTAGTCTCTTATGCTTGTTGCCTGTCCTTAGCAGTGGTTTCCTAGCAGCTATTTTACCATGAAGGCCTGATTCACACAGTCTCCTCCTAAAAGTTGTTCTAGAGATCTGTCTGCTGCTAGAACTCTGTGTGGCATTGACCTGGTCTCTAATCTGAGCTGCTGTTAACCTGGAATTTCTGCTGGTGACTCAGATTAACTTATCCTCCGCAGCAGGCAGGACTCTTGGTCTTCCTTTACTGGGGCGGTCTTCATGTGAGCCAGTTTCTTTGAGGCGCTTGATGGTTTTTGCGACTGCACTTGGAAACACTTTCAAAGTTCTCCAATTTTTCGTACTGACTGACCTTCATTTCTTAAAGTAATGATGGCTGCTCGTTTTTCATCACTTAGCTGCTTTTTTCTTGCTATAATACAAATTCTAACAGTGTCCATACTTTTGTAAAATATATATATATATATATATATATATATATATATATATATATATATATATATATATATATATATATATATATATATATATATATATATATATATATATATATATATATATAATTATTTTAAAAAATGTATTTACTTATTATATATATCTAAATTTTCAACCATGCTTCAACATTATTAGTTTATTAAAAAATAAACTAATAAAACAGGCTTGGATAACTGGATAAGCAACTGGTGCTAATAGTAAAGGTCTGTGAACCACTGAACCAATTTGACATAACTGGCCAAAACTAGACAGCATGCTAGAATGACTTATTACAGTTTAGAGTTGTGACATCTGCTGGATTGCTGTGAGAACTACATCTGAACAGGTATCCTAATGTCCACATTAATTCATGCCAGAAGTAGTTTAATCCATAATAAGGGTGTTGCTAAAGATAATATGAAGAACTTAAATAAATATCTGACTTGTTATATTGTAATATGAAGTGTAGAATTAATTTAGAATAGTTAGATACACATAGATCTACAACAGACAGAGACTCAAATACACAGATGCCATGGTGGAAATATAAAGATATATAATCTACATCTTCAGAGGAAAAGACAGAGTCAAATATTGGGCACCCCGCCTTTTTGGAGACCAAAACACATGTTTGCTGCCCGAAAACTTAAACATACCTCATTGTATTAAAACTAACAGCCAGTACTTGTTACCTAGAACATGCTGGTGCAGGCGCGGCAGTCAAGCCTCCAGCAGAGCATATATTTGAATTGCTCAGGTTATGCGTTAATACAACGTGTGTGCTCGATTTCAGAGGCTGCATCCTCCAAGCACCTGGTCTGGATCCTTTGTGGTCTGTGAGAATAAGGAGACCGAAAGAGTTTTGGCTGTGGATTCAAACTGTTCCAGCCTTCCCTATCTTTCACTGACTGTATGCTCTGTTGCCTAGCAACCGTGATAGCTGAAATAAAAAGCAGGAAAAGAATTAATACCAAACTTCTCACTGCTGTTTCTTTTTATTTCTTTTCTTTATTCATTGTAGGGTGAACAAAGACTACACTCATGATAATACGGAGTGCAATAAAGGTGATAACCACCAGGAGCATGAAATAATAAAGCAAATGTAATAATATGAAAGGGGTAGAAAGATATACGTAAATCTAAACGATGTATGTATAAAAATACATCTGCAAAATCTCTTATTTTCAACAGCAAAAAATAGTTAAGCAATTAAAAACCTAAAATATAATTAATAAAAATAAAATAAAATCTATTTCATAGTGAATTAGATCATCAAATAAAGATATAAATATTGACAAGGAACAATCACTGGAAACAAAAAAGAATATAAGATGTAAGGGGTAATTAAGAATGACATTTGGACAGAAAAACATAATCTGGTGATAGACATTTTCTTTAAGGACAAAGTGAGCATATATTTATTTCATTTTTAAATGCCATGATTGTAGGGAGAGCTAATGTAAGACGACTTTTGAAACATTTTGACCATTTTTATTTTATTATTAATTATAAAATCTATTTATTTATCTTGTTCATTAATATCAAATGTCATTGCTGAGAAGGAGAGAAAACTTATGTTTAAGGATTAACAAATTAAACCAGTTAGGAAATGAGAATAAAAATGTTTGGGTTTTATTACAATAACAAAAAAAGATGTTCATTTCTCTTCTTGCTCACATAGATGACATTTGTCGACAGTGAATTTAGACCTGGAGCATATTAATTGGTTGGAAGGATAACTGTGCTCCAGTGCAACCATAAAAGAATACATTTGCTGTGATTTTACAGTCTTTACCCCTTACTCACCCCAAAAAATGTAAAATCAGTTTTAGTCAATTGCATATTTATTAAGAAATAAAAAATTTTTAAACATACAGTAAATGTTAAGAACTTTACTAACCATCAAAAATAACTAGTCATAAACACATATAAAAAATGCAGAGGAATTGTGAAGAAACTAACAATTCAACCAGCTGTGTCATTCATATATCACGAGGATTCTACCAAAAGTGCATAAAATACAATAAATACTCCTACAAGCAGCTTTATTTCGTACAACCGTAAACTACTCCTCACTTATGCATTTAATGTTTTACATGCCCAAATAGATTACCAAGGGCCCCCAACGTATCACACACATTAGCGCTTCTTCGGTTGATCTCTTAAAGATGAGTAAAGAACTGGCTGACTGATCCATTTAAAAAAGCATTATGTCATGCATGAGAGGGATCTCTTCCGCTTGCCTCAAAATCAGTTGTTCTGTTGTAAACTTTTCTTGAGCAGCTTTTTTACACTGGCTTTTTAGTTCTTCCACTATCTTATTCTCTGTTATTAAACCCCTTGTGTCATGGTTTGGTGGTGTTGGTAGAGGACCCAAATGCAGAGATGAGTTGGTTGAGATGAATTTAAGTGTTTTAATGGGTTTTCAGGTTCTGAGGCAGGAGGTAAACAGGCTCAGAGGCAGGAGTCAAAAAGTCCAACAAAAATATCTTCAGAACCAGAATCTAGGAGACATCAGGGAAAAACCAAAACTAAGAACCAGGAAGAGACAAGGAAGGACGGCAGAGAACTGACCAGAGGTTTGATGAGATTTAAGACGAGGATCCGGCAAACAAGAACTGAAGAAGGAGGGCTTTTAAAGGGAACAGAGACAAAGAGAGAGCTGACGAGGAAATTGGCAACAGGTGCTGGCAGAAAAGAGAAAACAGCAAGGGGGGACAGAGCAGAAAACAGAGCTAGGAATAGAGGACACAAGAGGGCAGCAGAGGACAACAAATGGAAAACCTGGAGGACAGGAACTAACAAGAAAACAACAAAATAATAATTAGACACTAAGACAAGGAGAAAAGTAAGACTGAATACTCTAAATAAACATAACAAAACCAAGACTGTGACACCTTGATGTCCATTGTTGTAAATATGCAAGAAACACTTTGTATTACATACACAGCCAATACAATGTGCAATCCCTTGCTCATGTAAAATTACATTAAAATACAGTATATCTATCTAGATATATCGTTGTATATCTATCTATCTATCTATCTATCGGTCTGTCGGTCTGTCGGTCGGTCGGTCGGTCGGTCGGTCGGTCGGTCGGTCGGTCGGTCGGTCGGTCGGTCGGTCGGTCGGTCGGTCGGTCGGTAGGTAGGTAGGTAGGTAGGTAGGTAGGTAGGTAGGTAGGTAGGTAGGTAGGTAGGTAGGTAGGTAGGTAGGTAGGTAGGTAGGTAGGTAGGTAGGTAGGTAGGTAGGTAGGTAGGTAGGTAGGTAGGTAGGTAGGTAGGTAGATATATTCCTACCTGCATATTTCATTTAAATTACACAGTCCAAATGCAAAAATAATCCAAATATTGTTTTATAATTAAGAGATCCACTGACAGGACAATTTTCATGGTTAGTAATATACATCCCCCTCTGATCATGCTCTTTGTGGATTATTCAGTAATATTCATTTCAATCGAGATTTTAAATCAAAATTAGGATGGCTTTCTTGTCTTTTGTTTTCTTAACTTGTTTAATGTTTCAAAACTTCCTTGTTCATCAGCAGACTTGTAGATGTCATTGTCTCCAAGGCAGCGAATAACTTCTTCATATTTTTCATCTCCATCTTCCAAAACATTTCACTGATGCTTATATCCTCATATTCAGCAGATTCCTCATCCATAGCATTGTGCTCTTGGCATTTATTATGTGCAAACAGTGCAGAGTTGTTGAACTTGAAATGAATCGGAAATCCAAAGTCATCTTTGGGACATGGAACATCAAATGCCATAAGTGGTTCAAGAACTTGTGGTTTTCTTCCATCTGAAAAAGTGACCAGCATGATAAGGTTCTCTGCTATGTCTTTACCAAAAATGGATAGGACTGAGTTAAACACATATTTATGTGTTGCTGTTAGACATGTCAGACAGGCCTCAGTAACAAAGCCAATGGCATTAATCTCTGTGAGTCCATCAGCTGAGCTAAAGATCCTTTGGATCTTTTTTGTGATCTCCTGGTCTGTTGATTTACCCCTGGTATTTCCAAAGCCTGGCGTATCTAAAACGGTGAGAGAGTAAGGGATTTTAAACCCATCCTGGTGGTAGATTCGATACACAGTGACGTCTTGGGTCTGTGTGTAGGCTTGGCACCTTGAGGAATACTCATTAATTAATTTAAATCTGAAACTGTCCTTCCAATCTACACCAACAATGTAGTTGATCATCCCATCGATGAGGGCAGATTTCCCTGATCCGGTTGCTCCTAGAAGCATAATGGTGCGATTGGGTCTTAGACTTTCTTTACCAAACGTATACCTAGTACATCCATCTATGTCTACGTCATCATGTCTCAGGGGGAGTTGATAAACTAATGGGAGACTTGAGATTTGAGACTTTTTTTTGCTAATATTTTTCAGATAGTCAACAAGCAGAAGACATTTCGACTTTGTGGTACAAGCTTTAACAATCTTGCTTTCTTTACTTCTGCCAGCTCCACCGCAGTCACATCAGACCCTGACTGCATATTCTGTTTCATGGTCAAGTCCTGAAATTATGGCATTTTCACTTTTTGACCTTGTTTGGTTCCAAAGGAGATCTTCTACATTTGAACTATTAGTTGTGTTTGCATATTCCACAATGTAGCTCATTATCTGAACATCTGGCCCCAGCTTTGCAGGTTTCTCCCAACTTACTAAAATCTCAGATGATTGTGGTTCAACTTGACATTTTTCAGGAGGACTGCAGGGTAGAGTCTTAATTGGATTAGAGATTAAATTGGCTGGTCCTACACCTGCGTAGGTTACTGCTCTGCATCTGAACAGGTACTCAGTTTGGCTTCAGGTGGCTCACTGTGATTTCTGCAGTTATTGATTCTATTTTTTGTTCCCATTCATTTTCTCCACTCACACAGTACTCAACAGAGTAGGAGGTGATGTGCTTTGCTCCAAATAAGGGTGGAGAAATGTTCAGGGTCACACTGGCATGGTTTATGTCAACTGCTGTCACACTTTCAGGTTTTGAAGGAGGCTCAAAATTCTCACTGATAGGGAAACAGTCTTTGTAAAGGTAAATGGTTGAGCCTTCATGTTTATTATCTGTTAAACCTACAGCCAGGAACTTTATGTTTGTGTTCTCTTGGTTGGCTTCTGCAAAATCCGTAAAGATTTTTACTTTTGTTCTTATCTCATCTGTCAAGCTCCTTGAGAGATACCACTGTTCCTTTTCCACATCATAAGTATGGGACTCATCTGTCTCAGTTCTTCCTTTGAGGTAATTGAACATAGCAGAGAGGTATGGTTCATGTCTCTCCAGTGATGTGAAGACAAAACACAAAGCATGGTCTGCACTAAAAAGCTCCTCATGAAGGCTACTTTGTGATGGGATGATTTTGGTGTTTTTCATTTTCCTGGTAAAAGATTTAAGGATGTAAATTTCTCTGTCTTTACAGTCCATCCACTGATTGAGGTTTTTTCCATTGAAAGGTGAAGAAATCTTCATCTTCAAAACTTCTATAAGCTCAGATTCCTCCTCCCCTCCTCCTCGGATAGATGGAAGTTTCTTTGCTAATGTTTGTTGAAATCCAAGCCTGAACTCAGAGCACATATTTTTAAAATGTTTAAGTTTTTTACTTATCTGTGGAAACTGCTGTGTGGTGATGTTCCTTATTGCATCATTGCACCTTATTTCCAGCTCACTTAACTCCTCCAGGACACCTTGTACTTCTTGAATTAAACCTACGCTTATCTCACGAACAAGTTTAGCAGCAGAAGAATCTAAAATTGTAAGAGGCAACAGCCAGACCTTGATTGGTACAGCATTTTCTCCACTGGCACCAAGCAACTTGGGCAGGCTTTGGTAGACTTCTACTGCATCCTGAAAGGTCGTTGGAGTTTTCTCCAGTAGGAAATCTCCATGGAATTTGCAAGAGAACTTTCGTATTTTTTCAATGTCCTTATCTTCCAGATTTAAAGAACCTTTACCTTCAATAGAAAGACATGGAATCTTCTCAATCATAACTTTTAAGTTGCCCTGGATGTCTTGATGACTTTCTGTATCCGATTTTTCTTGTTCAAAGACAAAAAATGCTTGAGCTCCATATAGAATGCCCGTGACCACATGTGTTGCTATTTTTTGGTCAAAAACATATGGATGTTTAACGTTGCCTCTTCCAAGATGATTCATTGACAGTGCTTGAAATTTTGTTGTGGTTTTGTATTTTAGGGTTACTCTGGCTTGATTCTTGGATGTTCTCTGATCATTGAGGTATTTTGCTGATCCTTCAACTTTAACCAGTCCACCCAAAAAACTTGCCTTTAATGAGGCTTCAACATTCAGGGCGGAAATTTTGTCCTCAATGGATTCTGAAGCAACTATCTCAAACTCACTGTTTGGTTGTGAATTTTCTGTTTTGTCCTTTTCCAAGCCATCACAGTCCCACAGTGTTAATCCTGTGGAAAATAAAAAAGAATTGAGAAAGAATTAAAATAAAGAATGAATTTCGTTTGAATTTCAGAATCCCCAAATTACACATAAAAGCAAATTTGTAGTTAAATTGTGTTGCATAATAACCTTTTCATATTGTTAAACCAGTCAATAGGGGTGTCAGAGTAGTGAATTATAGTGGTGTATTTCAGTATCTATCAACTTTAGATATCAAGCACATTGCTTTGAAGAAGATAATGGTGTGATCAAACCAATCCCTCACCAACTTTCTCAAATATAAACTACATATGCTATCGGTCTGAATGCTACTTGAAGGACAGGGACTATGCCAGAAACCGAGAGCACACATTTTCAATTTGAGAGTAGGATTTCCTCTACTTGCACTAAAAACTTGTAATGCTTGCCTTTAAAACTTCTGAATTTTATTCTTAATAAAATCTTTGTTTCTGTTCTCAGATCTAATACTTTTTGCACAGATATTTTCTCCTCTCGTTTACTTCCTTCTCCTTGTGTGCAAACCAGGCTCTGCTTGAGTCAGAGATATTTTTGCAAACCCAGTGGCTCTGCTTGTGGATTCTCTCTCAAACTTTAGCTGGATCGTCGCTTCGCATCCTTTCCAGCCAATAAAAGGAAAGCCTCAGAAATAGTGTTCTTATTTTCTGCTACTGAGTTTGCGTGTTACTCTTCACTGATAATAAAACAGTAAGGAGTAACAGCAATCCCTCACACCAAGCATGCTTGTAACAACAGTGGAGGAAAACTTCCTTTTAACAGGGAGAAACCTCAAGCAAAACCAGGTTCGGTATCAGAGGCCATCTGCCGAGGCAGGCTGGGGTTCAAGCTGACAGAAGAAGACATACAGAAAGCAGCAAAAATACACAACGTAAAAGACCAAATACAATAAATGTTTTGTCTGCATTCAAAAGCAGACGGTTAAGAGATATCTGGGTTTGTAGGTCTTCAAGACATATCTCTAGTCTATGTAAGGACTTAGTTTAATCAGGATCTACTGTATAGACAGATATAGAAAGAGTATCATTAGCTCAACAGTGGAGATTAATCCCAGTCTTGGTCCTAGCACTGATCCCTGTTGAACTCCACAAAAGGAAGATTTATCATTAAGCTGATGCGACATGCTATAGCTAAAGTTAAAAAGAAATATCATATTTCTCCTCCTTTCAGCCTCTCTTCATTGGCCTCCTGTTAAAATTTAGAACTTAAAATCCTTCTTACATATGAAATCTCAAATAACAAAGGTCCATCTTATATCAGAGACCTGATCATTCCATATGTTCCTAACAGAGCACTTTGCTCTCAATCCACAGGTTTACTACTGGTTCCTAGAAATCCTAAAAATAGAATGGGAGGCAGATCTTTTAGTTATCAGGCTCCTCTCCTGTAGAACCAACTACCAGTTTTAGTCCGTGAGGCAGACACCCTGTCTACTTTTAAAGCTAGGCTTAAAACTTAATTTCCGGTAGATGGGCTCAGGTTATCCTGCACTATATGTTGCTATAGGCTTAGGCTGCAGGAGGACATTTGGGAAACATTTTTTATCAGTCTTCTCTACCCTCCAATTCTTCAGTACCTGTGAGTTAGACTCCCAACATAATGTTCTTTATAAATTTTCTCATAAATGTAGCTTTATCTGGTGTGGTCCTATTTGACTGTGAAACCATTTTGGACGGAAATATCAGCTGTGCGGCTGCCTTCAACCCCTTTGATCTTAGATCAAAGGGCCTGTTTTTTATTGCCTAGTCCTGTTCTTCTCATAGGCCCCGTCCACACGAAGCCGAACCCTGGCCTAAACGCACAAATTTTTCACCAAACCAGCCTCTCATCCACACGAAGCCGGCGTTTCGGGGGTCTGTAAACGATCTTTTTTTTATTCAGCCTTCAGAGTGGGAAGATTCTGAAACGCCGTTTTCGCGTTTCCATCTTTAAGCTCTAACCGCATTTTTTTTTACACGCATGCGTCATAGCGTCGCCTCTAAACACATGGCGCCGTACTGTGTTGAATGGTTGCTGCTAATGCTGCTCACCCTGCTGTCGGGCTTACAACAGAATCTTCTTCTTCTGGAATATCTCCAGGAAGAACAGAGCAATATCGACGACATAGTTCAGCACCTGAATTTGACTGAACCACGAAAATGGACCCGCAGGGCAACCATGTATAAATATTAGTGCGCATGCCCAACATTTCGTCGCTTATTTTTGCTTTGGCACCACAGCGCCACTTACAGGCCTGGCATACATTTTGCAGCGTTTTCATGTATTCGTGTGGACGATCACATTTATTTTACGTCTCCGTCTTTACGGCAAACGTTTTGGAAAATATCAGCGTTTCGTGTTCGTTTTGACTTCGTGTGGACGGGGCCATAGACTTAAGACTGATTTATACTTTGAAACTAGGTCATCTGTGTAGGTCATCCCCGCCCCCTCCGCAGACACTCTGCTGCACCTCTCCCAACTTGTAGATGATCGCAGGCAGGAGGCCTCTGATTGGTCAAATCTACATACGCACGACATTATGCGTCTCCTGTTTGCTACCTTGTTTGCTACCGCACCGGCTTGTTTTGTTTGTATGTCCGCCATTGCAGAAAACGACTCGTGAAGATGGACCAGCTAAAAGAGCGAGGTGCGTGAGAACGCTAGGACCCTTTTTCCACCTGGATCCCCGTTCTTTTTCACCCTCATGTCCCTCCATTGTCATGTGTCAAGATCAAAATTGAGCATAAATCAAAAATACGATAAGCTGCGACCCAATGCTGTGGGAGTATAACCAGCCCTTTAAGCCCTGTTTACACTACACTCTGAAAACCAATCCGTGCTGAGCTTGGATCAGTTAACCATGCTGAGCTCGGTTCCTTAGGACCATTTACACACCACGCTAGCACGGTTCCTCGCCTCCTATTGGCAATATACGGTACTACTGCTCTCTAGAGTAAACAAGCAAACCTGGAAGTTGTTTTGTTATCATTGTGATATTTCATTGTTTGCGCAGAGTCAGGTGACAAATTGGTCCTTCGGAACTACAGACCCATCTCAGACTTCCCCTTCATCAGTAAGAGTATTAAAAAAGTTGTGTTTCATCAGTTAAATGCCTTCTTAACAATGACAAACTGCTTTGATGGCTTCCAATCAAGTTTCCGTGCCAACCACTGTTCAGAGACTGTCCTGATTAAGATGTTCAATGATATCTGTATAGATTCAGATGGTGGACAAACCACTGTGTTGATATTATTGGATCTCAGTGCAGGGTTTGATGATGCTGATCACTCGATTTTATTGAACATCTGGAAACCTGGATTGGCATTTCTGGTACAGCACTGGACTGGTTTAAATCCTATATGAAGGATAGGGAAATCTTTTGAACCTTGTTAATCAGTCTCTTTCCTCTGAAGGCGATCTAGAAAGCAGAATGCTGAAACTCCTGTAATATTGTGCTGAACATTTTGGACTCTGTCCTCTTGACATATCTTTTGTAGAATGGTAGATGTATCTTCTTAGCTTTATCTGTTCTCGTGCATGATTGTGCATGTGGGTTAGGAAATTATTACCCAACATGACATTATCACACTTTGTCACTAAAGCCTTACATATGGCCTATTTTAGAGAAACACAAAATTCACACTCTGTATATAGGAAACAGAAATTGGACCAGGAATAAAATCAAATGTGTCAAGAACTCAGCACTGATGCTGGTCTGATTCCTCACAAAGCACACATGCTCAGCTCCGCCTCATTCTCATTTCTATTCATCTAATCCACCTACACCTATGAGTATATAACCAGCCCTCAGACATCCGTGCCAGATTATTTTGAGCCATTGGTGAATGTATTCCAGCATTTTGATTCCTGACTTTTTGTCGGCTTGCCTGACCTGACCTGTCCCTGTTTCTGAGCCTGCCTGATCCCTGTCTAATGTGAGTGTCTGACTGTTCTGCCTGACCCTGATCTGTTTGTCTGCCTGCCCGTTGCCTAACCTGGAACTGTTTCTCGACCTTATCCTGGATTTCCCTCTGGTGCTTCATTAGACTTCTAACCACCTGGCTCAGAACCTGGACTTTGCTCCTGATTACGGATTTTGGTTTGTCCTCCTGTTCCTCCTGCCTACTATTGCTTCTGCGGTTCTGATCCTCTGCCTGACAGCAGAGTTATTCTCTGGAACTTCCTAACCAGTGAAACCAACATCAGCGCTACTGTCAAACTTAACTTAGTGGTTCTTCCCAAGACTGGAAATTAGAAAAAGTTAAGGACTACTATATTTGTGATTGATGCACATTGTAAAGCTAACTTGGTCACTAATCTTCTGTCTCCATATCCAGAGGTTCCTGCCCTAGTCACTAACAATGTTTTAAGCTTTTACACTGGTTGTCTGGTTTGAACACTGGGTCGATCTGGTCTTATCAATACAAAATGCACAGCAAAGTGCCCAAATCATGTCTGAATATATAAGACCAAGACTATGTTCACACAGCAGGCAAATGCAAAACAAATCTAAGCAATATACCCATATGCAACTCATATCTGTTTTTATTTTCTATTTTTTGCAAGTCTGACTCATCCAATTTATGGACAATTTGGACTTCAGCTACTTTACTTTCACATGTTTCTTAATAAATCAGAAACGTATCCAATAGTTTTGCAATCATAACAGGTATGAGGTCTACTCACTTCCATGCAGGATAGGCAGTCAATGACTGCTCAAATAAAAGGAATATTTGTGTACATTTTTCTTACCTGCCCCCATTCTGTGTTTATAATGTAGTCATGATAGCCCCAACTGCTAAACATTTCAGTAATAACGAAGATGCTGGCACCAACTATTACATTTATTTTTCAGCTTCTTAAAGATTTATTTGTTCCACTTTGATGTCAAACCTCATGGAAACAAAATAATGTTATTCTTTACCAGGAATAGGTATGTCTTGGCGGCGGTCATACAGCATCCCAAGGCTAAACGGTCTGCCAAGTGTGGCCATCTCTAACATCTTCTCAGAGCCCATCTTGTTATCTGGGTCAAAAAAGGTTCAGAGAAGAGTCAGAAAAAATCTGGAAACTACAAACTTTTAGGAATATCAAACAAAGCAGTATTACCACCACTACTACTAATAATAATAGTAATAATAATAATCATAAAGATAGATAACATTAAAAACACCATTAAGGAAGCGAGAAAAGAAGAAAAGAAATTATGAGGGTGGAAAGAACCAATGACATCAAAATAAGGTTGTCACTGTAAAAATCTATAAGAAAGAAAAATAGTTTTTATTACTGAACATATTTTTCATAATTTTTTGGCAACAATATGTACATGACATTAAAAGAAATATATATATATATGTGTGTTGTTTTTTTACAATTTTAAATTTAAATGTAATCTTTAAAACTACAAATCTGTCATTCTTCTCAAGAAGAAGAATAATAACTTGCAGCTGTATTTATCTTCTGTAGGGAAAAAATACAGAGTAAAAAAGTCTAGGTATACTTACTGCAGAAATGTTTCTGAGGTCTAAAAGAGCAGTTTCATTCTCATACTTATATTCTCAGTGAGGGAGACACACCTCCTCATGTTTATTCAGTTCTTGAAGGCAGATCTAAAGAAGAAACAGACCATTTCCCAGAAATGGTGTGACCATCAGGAGGATCTGAACAACAACCTACCAGTAATCTTTCATTATTATTACAATAAATGATGGATGTCTGTTATAAACTTAGTAAAATATGGACCAAAATGATGGTCTGGATAAATTTAAAATGTACTAACTAACACTAAGAGACAAAATACTTTTTCTTTGTAAATTCTGCCTTCGCCTGGATGGATTTGGCCAAAACGCTTTCCTTAAATATTAATATCACAAAAGTCTTTTGTCTAGCAGAGGATATATGGCAGATTTCATTGAGTAGGCAGCATAAAACTAATGAAAAATAAGCATAACATTGCAAAGAGCAAAGCATATAAAAAAGTAAAAAACAGCAAAGACATACTGAGATAAAAAGAATCAGTGAAAATAAAGTAAACTTTTTGGGTCACAGATATGAGTTTGCAGTTATTTTTATAGCATTATTGTGGTGATTTTATAATATGTGATGCTTATAAAATGCTTAACTTGCAGAATGAGGTTTACTTTAAAGGCTTTACAGTCACTGCTGATAACAGATAAGGCACCCACTCAGCACTTAGTAATCACACCCTGATTCATTTAAACATTTATGTTGTTCTGATAGTTTCTGTTATAGTAGATTAATCAAAGTACAGAGATCTTGGAAATGTAATTCATTGTGCCAGGGTGGGGAAATTCAGAAAAACTATACAATCTTTTAAAATTGCAAAAACCGGAGCATCTTAAGGTAGCAGGAAGTGAAAAATTGGTGTCTTGGCCAAACTACACAGCTATGAGAGAAAAACTACAACTTATTCACACCTGTTTGTGTTTGCAATAAATTTCACCAGTTTGTTTTTGGCCGCAGGTGGAGAAGAACATGTGCTGGCTAATGAAGTGAAGCAGCCATCAACTCTTTAGGGACACTAGGTTTGCATACCTCAGGGAAGAGGCCAGCAGTGCCAAAATATCTCTCTGAGAGCATGAAAGCATCCCTGGGATGAAGGAACAAACAGGCTGCCACAGAGAGCAGCTTGCATTTCCTCCATGATAGTTGCTGTAATGTGGATTCTCAGAAAAAGATCCTGCTTGTTTGGCTGTACAGCCTGCTCTGTGGCCTCTGCATGGGAAGTTAGCTAAATGTACGGTACCAGCTCCTTATTGTCCCCAATCTCACCTTGGATGTCAGCCTCTTTCAGAGTTTAAGACTCTTCTTAAAAACACATTTGCTGAGGCATTTTGTACATCCTGAGAGCTTCACCCTATTCTTGTGTTTTCAGTTTCTTTTCTGATTACTTTTAATCCTAATTACTTTAAAGGGAACGTTCGGTCAGCAAGGAATAATCAATGGGTCATTATCCATACCTAAAACTAATATATACCCAGTGATTTAATAAATTCAGCTTTAATTAGTAAAAAAAATAAAGACAATAATTTTCGTTGCAATCATATTTTGCCCAAATATAGTGACATCTCACTCCTGACATCTTCCGGCAGTGACGTCACGGTGCGGTAAGCCTTACTTTACTTGCAAAATCAATAGGAGCTACTAGACACATTGCAATCAACAACAATTAGTTTAGATTTCCAAGAGAAATATCAGCTGTGCTGCTGCCATCAACACCCTTGTTTATAGATGTTGGAGATCGGCCTGTTTTCCAGTGTAGTCCTGTTTCTCTGACTGTGACTAACTGGATGTGCTCTCTTCATCCTCTGACATGGGAGCTGGCTCGGAGCTCGTCTGCCTGGCTGTGTGTTTCCTGGATGGGGCCGCCTTTTACAGCTGCTTTTTGTGTCTCTGCTTCTGTCTCCTTGAACCCCAGTCGGCCTCGGCAGATGGCCGCTCACACTGAGCCTGGTTCTGCTGGAGGTTTCTTCCTGTTAAAAGGGAATTTTCCCTCTCCACTGTCACTACATGCATGCTTAGTGTGAGGGATTGCTTTCGAGTCAATGAGTCAATGCAATTAACTGGTTTTCCTTAGATAGAAACTGAATTAATTTGACTGCATGATCTGGTTGAACTGTAAAGTGCATTGAGATGACATGTGCTGTGAATTGGCGCTATATAAATAAACTTAATTGAATTGAATTTTCCTGTTCAATTATAATTCTATAAAATTTCTACAAAAGTCCAGAACTTCCTGTCTGAATCAATGTTGTTTGTATTCACAGGCTGAACCTTTGCCTGAGCAGATAGTGCAAGCATGCAGTAAATTTAAAGCAGAGCATTTTCATAGATATAAAAAATAGCTGAATGTGTATTAGAGTAGCAGTTTTTATTAATTAATGTAAGACACCAATGAATCAATGTTCTAAAAAGTAATTTCAATGAAAATCTTTCTATAGATTTCATGAGTTCTTAGTAGTGCTACAGGTTTTTTATGCCTTTTTAACATAATTACTACTAGCTTACAGTTCATGTGGTAATAAAACATGCAAAAAGCCCTTACTGTACAAGTTGATTGTTCACTAATTGTGGGCAATCTCAACGCTGTATGATATTCCAGAGTCCATGGACCCAGTTAAGTTGCCCCATAGTGAAAGTTTTAATCTGGTGCAATCTCCAACTTGGTCTCATTACTATTTAACCCTTTTTCCATATATGGACCCTTCTCCATATACGTATGTATATAAAATGAAGGCATGTTCTGCAAGCTCTATTTGAACTCCTCACTTTCTGTTGCACAGCAATCTGAGTGGTAGGTATCTTTACTGTGTTGAACATATTTGATTTATTTCTCTTGTTGAATCACGTCTCCACTAATGTTTTTAGAGAACTTATCCAGAGCCAAAAAAGAGAAATTAAACTAACGGACTAAGCTGCGCCAGGAAAAGGTTTGTACCAGTTTATCTTCATTTTCCCTTTATCAGCATTGTGAAAACATGTGCACAGTTGTCCATTTTCTTCCCTAAATATGTCCTGTGTAATGCCACTCAACCAGCCTTGATACTCTTACTTAAACTCTAAGTTAAAACAAAGCTGCTAACAAGCTGCTGAGATTTTTTCCCCTGTCCTTTACAATGAGACAGTCACTGTAATCATTTGGAAAGGTTTAAACCATGCTTAAATAGTATTTTATTTTCAGTTAATTGCTAGGTCCAACAGCTCAAATTTATAATTATATCTGCTATTTTGTTTCATAAAACGTCCCAAAAAACAGATTGAGGTATTTGAAGAGTAACACTTATGTGATCTCATTAAGACTGTAACTGGTCATTTGTTTTGGCAGATTTGAATGCTTTAATGCTATATTTCTCCACCATGAAAATACTGTACCTTACCAGGTGTCTTGATAAGTCCAGACAATATTTATTTAGACTATCCTGGAAAAAATACAGAAAACTGAGTGCATTGACATAAGAAATGAAAGGGTTTGCCCTTACCTGGAAGTCTTAACTGATTGTTTTTATTTGAAACTGTTCATATTATGTCATTCAAAAGATTCTTGTCCCAATAAAAACTGGAGGAATAACCAGAATACCTCTTAAAGTCGTAGGGAAGTCATATTTAAATGTCATATCATTCTGGCTTAAAGATGTATATCAATGTACTCTTTATCAGATTTTTTTTTTGTCCGAAAAGTTACAAAATTTAAAAAAAAAAAAAAAAAAACCTGTCTTAACATCTGTGGGGTTTTTTTGTTATCTTATGCAGGCCAGTTAGTTATACATCAGCCTGTACACCTAAATTCGGCCAATCATATATCAATGGTCATCTGTCAATTAATTGGTCATAGCTCTTGATTCATATGTGGCAGATAATATACGCAACGGTTGAAATAAGAAATAAGAATAATTTCCTTTCCCATTGAGTTCTGTCCCAGTGTTCACAGGTATGGACATCTGTGTCAGGCATAGAGCTAACAGAACTGGCAGCATTGCGAGGCAAGGGCTCAAACATGTATAGCTGTAAGCAAATGGCCTAACGACACAACAATAGGCCCGTAAGCAAAATTATCTGGGTGGGACCCATATGAAGTACAACACCCCCTGCCGCCACTGTCGCCTTCGCCGCTGCCATAGACAGCCGACCCAAAATGTGCCCCATACATACACACTTCATCATTTCATCATTCTTCACCTTCACTAGACATGGATATACTTTAGTATATTCTGCTGTAAAATTAGTCTTATCAGACTACCTTGAGTTTCATAGCTCACCTCCTAACCTACACCCCCTCCATTCATCACCTGGTAACAATCTTTACTCACTGCAGCAGCAGCAACGTCCTCCTCTCTCTCTCTTTGGTTCTTTGTAAGAACGTGTTTATCTTGGGAAGTATTTTCCGTTCTTCCAGCAGCTCTTCTATGCTTTTTCTTTTCCGGAATCCGCTTAAGTACCTCATTTTGGTATCCATTGTCGCTAACACATTGTACGTAACGGTTATGGTTTTAATCTACGCTCTGGATTACCCATAATTCCAAGTAGTATTGTAAAAATAAAATACTCAAATACATCGCTCTTTTAAAGGAATACTACACCCAAAACATGATTAGCCTTCATTTTCTACTCACCCCCATGCTGAACAACACTCTGGAGTACTTTTTTGATATCTCAAATGCATCTGTAGATCTGGGAGGCTTCTTGCTGTCTGCTGACATTCAAATAATGGAGGTCTATGGTGCCCGAGGCAGAAAGGTCCATAAAAGTCCACAAAAAACGTGTCAATATTCCTCCGTACTGCTCGTCCAATGTATTCCAAGTGTCCTGAGCGGGTAGCGTCCATAATTTACTCAAAACAAAGTCATTTAGAATGTTTTTAGAGCATAAACAGTAGTGTATAGGATTTCCTAAAAGCGCTTTCACGAGTCTACGGAAACCGCGGCAGACCAAACCAGATGAAAGTGCGCATTCAGCGTCTGCTCTGCCGAAAATGCAAGCGTAGAAGAAGAAATGTGCTGTTTACCTGTGCAAAGAAAGAAACAACGAAAGAAAAATGTCTGAGGACTTCAGTGTTGAGGAAGAGCATGAGTTCTTTGCCGAGCTGAATGCGCACTTTCATCTGGTTTGGTCTGCCGCGGTCTCCGTAGACTCGTGAACGCGCTTTTAGGAAATCCTATACACTACTGTTTATGCTCTAAAAACATTCTAAATGACTTTGTGTCGAGTAAATTATGGATGCTACCCACTCAGGACACTTGGAATACATTGGACGAGCAATATGGAGGAATATTGACACGTTTTTTGTGGACTTTTATGGACCTTTCTGCCTCGGGCACCATAGACCTCCATTATTTGAATGTCAGCAGACAGCAAGAAGCCTCCCAGATCTCCAGATGCATTTGAGATATCAAAAAAGTACTCCAGAGTGTTGTTCAGCATGGGGGTGAGTAGAAAATGAAGGCTAATCATGTTTTGGGTGTACTATTCCTTTAAGATCTTTATTGCAGTTTGAAACATATTATATGAGTGTATTTTTTTACCAACCGTCTAATGAACTATCCACAGTTATTAATATAGTAATTAAAAATACCACTGTCTGTTTTGCTATTGGTGTCGTGTCTAAACTGCTCACCATCATGTTGAAACCTGCCATGTGTTGGGGTATAAATAAGGTCCGGTGCGGTCAGTCACTTTAGTATCAGGTGGGTTTAAGAGGAATTTTTCACACCATTACATCTGCAAAGAGACGTCGTAGTCCACAATTGCGTAGGGGTCCAACTAGGTTTCAGTGACGGGGCCCCTAAGCAACTGCAGTCTCTGCTTACCGATAACTACGCCATTGGCTACGAAGCTTCAGCCTCTTCCAAGACTTTGTCCCCGCTTTCCACCTCTAAATAAAAAATGTATGACTTAGGAGACTCATCCACAACCTCCGACACAAAACTCTTCTCCTCTTGCATGTTTCCGCTGTCCATAGCGTTCCTTGACAGTGTCGTTTCTAAGTCACCAATTTAGTGCTACTTGGTCCCAATGGAATTTCCCACTGGGAACCTACTAGCACTAAGTTGCTAACTGGTTAGCAAGATGCTTCCGAGACACCAGCCAAAACCAAACTTACTTGCGAACTTTCCGCCACGACAATCCAGCCCCTTCATAAATGACCAATCTCATTCACTTTATTCACTCGCGTAAACTCGGGCACCACTCAGGAGAATTCGGAAATGCAACGGAACAGCCACTTCCCTACTACTTTAAAAATTATTATGCCATGTTAGAAAAAGTAGCATTGCTTTATGACTGTCTACTTTAAGAATGTTTGTAGCACTACATTTATATGCATGTATGTATTGAACTGTTAGAGTTTTAATTGTCTCTCTCTGGTTCTTCTTGCAGTATTGGCTGTGGAAAACAGCCCCACACTGAAAAACCTGTTTCCGTATTGTCTTCTTCTTGAAACTTTATCTGCAGCCCACCATGAACGACATTTATTCTGGAAAGCCCGAGAGCCCAAAAAGGCTTTCTGATGAACTAAAATCTGAGAGCAAATTAATAGAACATGCTGGACAAATGCAAGTTTATAGCATTCCTCTGAAAGAGCAGGAAGTCAAAATAAATGGGTGCAAGTTCTTCAGTTTTGGAGAACTCAGCAAAGTTGGTGGCATAAAGCAAAGTCGTACCATCCTGGTCCTTGGAGCCACGGGTGCTGGGAAGTCCACCCTCATCAATGGGATGATCAATCACATTCTAGGTGTGAAATGGGAAGACTCATATCGGTTTAAGTTGGTGGATGAAGATGACACGAAATCCCAAGCTCACAGTCAGACATCTGAGGTGGTTGTGTACAAACTAAACCACAGGGAGGGATTTGAGGTTCCCTTCTCTCTGACCATTATAGACACACCAGGCTTTGGAGACACCAGAGGCATAGACAGAGACAGGGAGATCACAGAGCAGCTGCATAACCTCTTTTCTGATAAGGATGGCGTCAGTGAAATTAATGCCGTGTGTTTTGTAGCTCAGGCGGCTTTAGCCCGTCTCACATCAACACAGAAATACGTCTTTGACTCCATCCTGTCAATCTTTGGTAAAGATGTAGCAGAAAACATCAGGGTCCTAGTGACCTTTGCAGATGGTCAGAAGCCACCAGTTCTATCTGGTATAACAGAATCAGGCGTCCCGTGTCCCAAAAGTAAAGATGGCCTGCCTGTTCACTTCAAGTTCAACAACTCTGCTCTGTTTGCTAACAATACAACCTCTGAAGCAGATGCTCAAAGTGAGGATGATGAAGAAAACTTTAATCAGATGTTTTGGAACATGGGAACGAAAAGCATGAAAAGGTTTTTTGCTGCTCTGAATCAGATAGAAACCAAAAGTTTGATTCTGACAAATGAGGTCCTGATAGAAAGAAAAGAGCTGGAGATTTCAGTTGAGAATCTGCAGGTTCAGGTTAACCTTGGTTTGGCCAAAATGGAGATGATCAGGGAGACAAGACACAAAATTAAAGACCACGAAGCAGACATAAGTAGGAATCAAAACTTTGAGGTAACCATACCCGTGAAAAGATATAAAAAGGTTGATATCTCTGGTTCTGGGAACTGCAGCACCAACTGTGGGAACTGTAATGTCACCTGTCATTCTCCTTGTACGATGAAGTCTGACAGAAAACGATGTTTTGTGATGGACAGGAGTGAAAAATGTACCACGTGTCCAATGAAATGCCACTACACACAACATTTGTATGAAGAGTACATCTGGAAATTAGTTGATGATTTCGAAACACAGACAGTAAAAGAGATGTTGGAAAACTACAACAAAGCCACTGGAGAGAAGATGACTGTTGAAGGTCTGCTGTCGGAACTAAAGGCTGAATACAATCTCATGCAGAAAGAAGTAGAAAACTTGATTGAAAAGTCAGCAACGTGTCTGAACAGACTGAAAGAGATAGCCCTGAAGCCCAATCCTCTCTCCACTCCAGAGTACATTGAGATGCTCATTGAAGGAGAGAAACAGGAGGCCAAACCAGGCTGGAAGCAACGGGTCGATTCACTGATGAAAATGAAGGATAAAGCAGAGTTCATGGCTAAAGTGGAGAAAGGAGAAAAACGTCTTCTTCAACAAGTGTCGCTTGACGTGACGTCTTAATTCAACAAACACGCCAGTACAGCCAGTAGAGTCCAACTACAGCTTGGATAACTTTGTTAATTATTCTGTCTGAAAACAGCATTGAAATCCTGTATTTAATCTTCCAACCTCAGTGTTGTATAAACACATTTTATGAAGCCAGAAATAATTTCAACAAAGAAATCTGTTTTAAATAACAATATGCAAAATGTCTCTGACTGAATGCTTAAAACTTATCTTTGCATTAAACTATTTTTAGCAGCACAGCAGCACCACAGGGGACGGTACTGTCTCCATTCCTTTCTACTCTGTACTCTCTGACTTCCAGTACCAGACAGATTCCTGTCATCTGCAGAAATACTCAGATGACACTGTAGTCATTGTGTGATTTAAAGATGGACAAGAAGCTGAGAAGTAGGGACAGAGCAGACTAGACTGTACCTTCTAAGGAAACTTAGGTCCTTCATCATTTGCAGTAAGATGCTGCATATCTTCTATAGGTCTGTTCTGGAGAATTTGATCTCTTCTTCCATCCAACAGTATTAGAGCTAATGACAGGAACCTCGAACAGGAACAAGAAACTAAATAACCTACTTTCTGAGCATTCCTGCTTGCTCTACTTGTAGTCACTGGCTTTTAGATATTCTGTCATCTTTCTGTTTCTCTGTTCAATAGGAAACTCATAAATTTAATCCTAACTGGCTTCCTCTTAATTGTTTGCATAGATCACTTTTTTATAACTCCATTTCTTTTTTCTGGCTAGCCTTTCATTTACACTGTTATGATGTTCTATCAAGGTGCTATATGATCAAAGGATCTATGGTATTTTTATCAATTATACGGAGAAGCAGCTTATAAAATATTTCTTGAATTTCAGTGTGAAGTTTCATGTATTTATGTCTTTTTTTTCTTTATCTTCCCCTGGTGTTTGTTGATGATTTCTTACTTGATTGAGGTGTTTTATTTTTGTTTTCATTCTATTTCTGCTATTCAATCAGTTAGTTTAAACCTCATATTGATTTGTAAATATATATATATATATATATATATATATATATATTGATGCAATATGTACAAAAGGGTTTTTGTGTCACATGATTCCCTTTTTTTAACTCCTGTTGTATGATAGAAGCAGCTCAGTTTTTATTGGCTGAACAAAATTAAGCAGTTAAATAAACATCTTTAAGACATATAACCGAGAAATGTTTTTTGTTTTAAACTGGGTGTTTATAGCTCTCTGGAACAGAGTTTTCATGTTCTCCCTGTGTATGTGTGAGTTCTCTCTGGGTACTCAGGCTTCCTGCCATAGTCCAAAAAAACAATTTGATTGATTGGTGGCTGTAAATAGCTTTGGAAATGTTAAGGTAAAATAGCCTTGGCTGGATTCGGCACATTTGGTAAAAGGTATTCCAAACTTGAAAAGTTGCAAACTTAACAAAGAAGACCTTTAAATTTCAAATAAGGAGTTGTATTTTTGGCAGACTGGGGTGGTGGTTCCCCTCCACAAGAAGGGGGACCGGAGGGTGTGTTCCAACTATCGGGGAATCACACTTCTCAGCCTCCCGGGAAAGGCCTATGCCAGGGTGCTGGAGAGGAGAGTCCGGCTGATTGTCGAACCTCGGCTGCAGGAGGAGCAGTGTGGTTTTCGTCCTGGCCGTGGAACGGTGGATCAGCTCTACACCCTCTGCAGGGTGCTTGAGGGTTCATGGGAGTTTGCCCAACATGTGTTTTGTGGACTTGGAGAAGGCATTCGACCGTGTCCCTCGTGCTGCCCTGTGGGGGGTGCTCCAGGAGTATGGAGTCGGGGGCCCTTTATTAGGGGCCATCCGTTCTCTGTACAAGCGGAGCAGGAGTCTGGTTCGCATTGCCGGCATTAAGTCGGACCTGTTCCCGGTGCATGTTGGACTCCGACAGGGCTGCCCTCTGTCACCGGTCCTGTTCATAACTTTTATGGACAGGATTTCTAGGTGCAGCCAAGGACCAGAGGGGGTCTGGTTCGGGGACCAGCGGATCTCGTCCCTGCTTTTTGCGGATGACGTAGTTCTGCTGGCTCCCTCCTGCCAAGACCTACAGTGTGCGCTGGGGCGGTTCGCAGCCGAGTGTGAAGCGGCCGGGATGAGAATCAGCTCCTCCAAATCCGAGGCCATGGTTCTCGACCGGAAAAAGGTGGCATGTCCCCTTCGGGTTGGAGGGGAGTCCTTGCCTCAAGTGGAGGAGTTCAAGTATCTTGGGGTCCTGTTCACGAGTGAGGGAAGAATGGAGCGGGAGATCGATAGACGGATCGGTGCGGCTGCTGCAATAATGCGGACGCTGCACCGGTCTGTCGTGGTGAAGAGAGAGCTGAGCGAAAAGGCAAAGCTCTCAATTTACCGTTCGGTCTACGTTCCACCTCACCTATGGTCATGAAATTTGGATCATGACAGAAAGAACGAGATCCCGGATACAAGCGGCTGAAATGAGCTTCCTCCGCAGGGTGGCTGGGCTCTCCCTTAGAGATAGGGTGAGGAGCTCGGTCATTCGGGAGAGGCTCAGTGTAGAGCCGGTTCTCCTCCACATCAAGAGGAGTCAGTTGAGGTGGCTCGGACATCTTCTTCGGATGCCCCTTGGACGCCTCCCTCGGGAGGTGTTCCAGGCATGTCCCACCGGGAGGAGGCCCAGGGGACGACCCAGGACACGCTGGAGAGACTATGTCTCTCGGCTGGCCTGGGAGCGCCTAGGGCTTCCCCCAACAGAGCTGGAGGAGGTGTCTGCGGAGAGGGAAGTCTGGGAGTCTCTGCTTAGTCTGCTGCCCCCGCGACCCGGTTCCGGATAAAGCGGGAGACGACGACGAGTACGAGTACGAGTTGTATTTTTTTTTTTTTTTTTTCTAGGATGAAAAAATAAGTTGTATAAAAATAAATATTTATATCAACCATTTAAATATGATACAAGAGCCTCTAAAAAAAGTAAAATCAAAATTCATGCAGTCTGGAAAAGTGTGGAATTTTTTTTAGTTTTTTTTTTTTTATACCTCCTTCAGCATGAAAACTATTATATTCAGATATATTAGACTTTTGGGTAATATTGATTTACTTTTTGTTGGGAGGTTGTGTTAGTCTGTCTGTTGATCTTTCATTGATTCATTGATTCATTGATTCATTCATTCATTCATTCATTTATTCAATCATTTATTCAATCATTTATTCATTCATGCATTCATTAATTTATTCATCCATCCATTCATCCATCCAGATATTTGTGGGGGGAAAAAAACAGAAAAGGGAAAAAAAGAACTGACAAAGCTTGAAAGTAAACCTTTGTTAATAATTTCTAAAACTGTAAAGATATAACCAGGAACCTGAGTAGGCCGCTTGAAATTGTTCTGTTGCAGGTAAGCCAGAAGCAGCTAACTAAACTGTATTTATATCGCTCCAATTCACAACACATTTTATCTCAAGCACTTTAGAGACAATTCAATCAGATCATAAAGTCAGATTGGTTCAAAGTTTCTTTTTCAGGAAAACCATCTGATTGCATCGATATAGTGCCTTAACAGAAATCCCTAATACTGAACATGCATGCAGCGACAGTGGAGAGGAAATACTCTCTTTTAACACTATTTTCAACAGAGCATATCTATCTATCCATCTATCTATCTATCTATCTATCTATCTATCTATTCATCCATCCATGCATCCATCCATTTTCCTTCGTGCTTATCCCAGATGGGTTTGTGAGGGGGGGTGGTGTTATCTCTAGGTGTCAATGGGCGAGAGGCTGGGTAAACCTTGGACAGGTTGCCTTGGCAACACAGAGGCAAATAAGACAAACAACCGGTCACAACTAAGGAGAATTTAGAGAAGCCAATTAACCTAACAGTCATGTTTTTGGACTGTGGGAGGAAGCAGTACTAGGAGGTAACCCACGCATGCACACAGGGAACACAACAAAAAAAACCTTCTTCCTGCAAGGCAGTAGTGCTACCCACTGCTCCACTGTGCAGCCCAACAGTGCCAGTAAGGGCATAATCCTGCAAGGCCTTCAAATGAGAATTTAAATCTATACTAAATAAGAAATTAATCAGACAACAAATCAGATAAAATAATATATGTTCAATTTCACAACTCATCATTTCACTCTCTCTCTCTCTCTCTCTCTCTGTACATCAGAATACAGAATTTAACCGGTAACCAGTTTATATTGGCCGTTTCTCAATATGCGTTCTCGTGTGCTCCTGTACTCGTGACACGTCATCAGCCTCAGCCCGAGTACCGTTCCAATTCTCAAGAACGCCAGATCGAGAACGCATCAAATCCCCGGATGTTGTTCTCACCCCGCCCTCTTTATCGAGCATGCATCAGAGCAGACTTGTGCGTTCTTCAGACTGACCGCTTCCCCAGAATGCCCCGCGGCCGCAGCTTGATTCCAGACAGCGCTCACAGTGTTAAGTTAAACATTCCCTTTTCTGCTGCTGTTGTTCTTCAAAAGTACGTTTTGAAATCGTTTGAGGCGATAACATTATACATTGAAGCCTCCCTGTGTGGCCTGTTTACAGAGTTAGTGCGAAATAAAAAAAAAAGTCCGACATTGAGCGGAGTGACCAGCAGACCTCCGAGGGTAACCGCAGCCAGGGCTAATGTTACCCCGTCTGTAGTGCACTTCTCTCGGTCTAGTTATGTGTGAACTACTGCTCGTTCAGATGGCGGTTTTTTGCGGTTCGGTTATTTTTTTAAATGTTTTTAAGCTTTAGAAATTAAAATTATTGTTTTCAAAATGTTTTGTGTAGGGAATAAATAGTTTTGACTGTTAAAGAAATGCTAAATAACGTTGCCTGTGATGACGTCACGAGTACGCTTCTGCTCCAATACACATACTTGCTTGCGTGCTCGTGTTCTCGTCAAGTCCGATCTTCCTGCGTTCTCGCCAAGAACGGACTTGACGAGAACGCGAGTACGTACTCGCGTTCTCGTGAATTGAGAAACGCCCATTGTGTCCACAGGATGGCAGCACATTTAACAAATCAAATCTAAAATGCAGATTGTTGCTCACTTAACTTTAAAATGTAAACATTTTTGCTGTAACTGACCAATCAGAGGACAGAAAATGCTGAGGTTAGGTTGGGCCTGCTAGCTGGCCATGTGGGGTAAATCTGAAATCTGATTGGTTGAAGAAAGCATTCCTCATTAATATTGTTATGGTAACATCAGCCAGCACTGCTGCTTCTGAAGGCCCTGGGCCGATTGGATTGACATAGCAACACACTGGTGTCAGGGCAAAAGATGTCTGACAAAACGTGTGAGGAACCAATCGTGTCAACTAAGAGTGAAACACCAACAACGCACCAACAAACCCAAGATAATGATGACACAAAAATGTTCTTTTTCATCACAACCTGTCCCTTTTGATAAAACAAAATAATAATACATAAAGAAGACAATAAAAAATAATAAAAATATATAAAAACAAGTAAAAAAAATAAAATAAATAATAAAAATACAAAAAACAAGAAAAAAAATAAACATTAAAAACGATTTTAAAAAAATCAAATAGAAATGTAGTAATAGATTAATTAATCAAAATTGGTAGTTCATTTAAAAAAGCGTGTGCATAGTTGCTGGCATCACTGCAGTCTAGTGTTCCAAACTCACCTGCTTCATTTCTCTGTGGTGTTGGTATGCTATAACTGTGCATCTGTGGGTTCTCTCCAGGTGCTCTGGCTTCCCCACAAAATTTTAAAACCTCCATGATAGGGTAGGATAGGTAAAGTTCCTTTTATAAATTTCCCTATGGTGCTAATGTCTTACTCTGAACCAATAACTCAGCTGCACAATATAAATCACAGTTCTATTAGAAGAGGGTGTCTGTGGATTAGTCTTTTGTTGTGTTATATTGTCAGGCATTACCTGGAAAAATGTGGGTTCTCTCCGGGTGCTCCGGCTTACCCTTAAGGCAAAAAGCTCTTTAAACTCCAAATGTTAATGATAGTATGATTTGGGAAAGGTAAGACAAGACAAGTAAGGCAAGGCTGTCATGAACTTGGCGCTGATGTCTGGACTGATTACTCATTTCCCACACTTGCTTGTCTCCGCTCAGTTCTCATTACTGCTTATCTGATCCTCCTGTTTCAGTCTCTACCTAACCAGCCTTGAGACCATTCATCGGTGCCATATTATTTGAGCCTATGGTGAGAGTTCTCTAGCGTACCTTTGTTTTCTGATTGCCTAATCCTTCCCTCCTACAACTGGACCTCTGAGTCTGCCTGTCCATGTTCTCAACTGTTTGCATGACCTGTCCTCGGACTCCTGCAGGATCTCTGCCTCTCTGAACCAAACCTAGAACTTTTTTCAGACTCTTCGTTCTGGATTTCCCTTTCGCACCTCTTCGGAACTCTGACCGATGGACTATTGTAATTCTTTACTATCAGAAAGTCCACAGACTGTAGTTATCCAAAATGCTGCAGCCAGAGTTCTGATGAAAATTAAACAGAGAGATCATATCTCTCCTATCCTGGCTTCTCTTCATTGGCTTCCTGTTAAACCCAGAATAGCATTTAAAATCCTCCTTCTCACATATAAAGCCTTAAATGGCCAAGCTCCATCTGATATCAGAGATATGATTGTTTCCTTATGTTCGCAACAGAGAACTTCGCTCTCAATCTGCAGGTTTACTAGTGGTTCCTAGAATTTCTAAAAGTAAAATGGGAGGCAGATCTTTTAGTTATCAGGCTCCTCTCCTGTGGAACCAACTACCAGTTTTAGTCCGTGAGGCAGACACCCTGTCTACTTTTAAGACTAGGCTTAAAACTTTCCTTTTTGATAAAGCTTATAGTTAGAGTGGCTCAGGTTATCCTGTGGTATATCTATAGTTATGCTGCTATAGGCTTAGACTGCTGGAGGATAAATGACCCATTTTTCATCATTCTGCTTCATTCTATCTCTATTCTCCCACTCTGCAGAATCTGTTAGTTCAATCTCTAAAGTTCTGCTCTCTCTACTTTTCCTCAGAGTAGCTTTGCCTCGTCTGTTCCTGTTTGGCTGTGACGCCATCCTAGAGGAGAAATATCAGCTGTGCTGCTTCCATCAACACCCTTGTTTATAGATGTTGGAGATCGGCCTGTTTTCCAGTGTGGTCCTGTTTCTCTGACCGTGACTGGATGTGCTCTCTTCGTCCTCTGACATGGGAGCTGGCTTGGAGCTCGTCTGCCTGGCTGTGTGTGTCCTGGACGGGGCCGCCTTTTACAGTTGCTTTTTGTATCTCTGCTTCTGTCTCCTTGAACCCCAGTCGGCCTCAGCAGATGGCCGCTCACACTGAGCCTGGTTCTGCTGGAGGTTTCTTCCTGTTAAAAGGGAGTTTTTCCTTTCCACTGTCGCTACAAGCATGCTTAGTGTGAGGGATTGTTGAAGAGTCAATGAGTCGATGCAATCAACTGGTTTTCCTTAGATAGAAAACTTTGAATCAATTTGACTGTATGATCTGGTTGAACTGTAAAGTGCCTTGAGATGACATGTGTTGTGAATTTGGCGCTATATAAATAAACTGAATTGAAATTGAACTTTGACACACACTTGCTGTTTCATAGCATCAGTAGCTTACTATGATTTCTAATAGATTACTGTCATTTATGGTAAAAAAAAAAAAATAGGAACGTCACATTGCATAGTCAGTATGACGTCCATGAAGTCTATAATAATGTAACATATTATACAAATCCATCAAAATAAAATTTGTGTTAATGGAGAATAATAGTACTTAAGCCATATATTACCCCGCACAAACACACACACACACACACTATCTCAGGATGTGTTAAAAGTGCTAAATTCATGATGTACTGTACATGTAATATACATGTATTGATTACATTGTGATGTAATTACTTTACAGGCAAGTTCATGCTGCTACTCCATAAAAGTGGGGAGTACCAAGATGGGAACAGGTGACAGTTTCCATTTTTTTGGTCTATCAGCAATCCAGTGAATAAAAAGAGATAAGTGGGTGTATCTATAGACGTTATATACTACTTATAAGACGCTGTCAGCAGCAAGGCTGACGTGCCCAAAGGGCGGCTATCTTAGATCGAACCACATTCATTCTGAGAGTTGCTGTCAGGGTGAACGGGAGGCACCTTAGCTCTCATTTTAATGACATGAAAGAAGAGTCAGATATAATATTATAATAATCTCTTATATGTTACAACCAGTTGAAATACCAAAACAAATTCTAAAATTAACTTTGAGTTAGATTACACATATTTATTCAGATTAAAAACTACTTAAGCTGAAGTCAAACTGAATGCAGTAAATATCGCAATAAATATTAATATGATAAACACAAAGTTTTATATTAATATAAGATTATGTATTACAAATATTTTATATTTATATAGTATATTATTATTATTCCGTATTTAAAAGAATTGCCCTTTGATAAATAGTATTATGATCTATAGTGGAAAATCTGAAAATCTGTACATATATGTATACATATAGTATATATATATATATATATATATATATATATATATATATATATATATATATATATATATATATATATATATATATATATACACATATTATTGGGATCTGGAGTTCTGCCACTTGTCTCCAGCAGAGGGCGTCCTGGGTCTCCTGAGCTGAGCCACCTGCACACCTGAGCCTCATCCTCTCATCAGGAGACCAACTACTTAAGCAGCGGCCAGACCTGTCTTCAGTGCCAGAGTGTTGCCAGTTATGGTTAGCAGAATCTGAGTCAAGCCTGCTGATCTGATACTCTGAAGAGTAATCTGATCCTAACCTGTTTTTGTCTTTTCTGCTTCCTAGACCTGCCTACCTGCCCTGACAGCCAAACCTGAAGAATCTCAAGCTGAGCCTGTTCCAGTTCTCAGGAGAGAACCTTGGCTGACCATTCAAAGTCTGAGCTCAAGTATGAAGTCAAACTCTGCCGCTGCTAGCTCTCTGCTGAACCCTCAAGCTCTGGACCCAACTGGTTCCCTCTCTCACTGCGTCAATCTGAATCTCTCCAGGTACAGATCAGTATCTGACTGTGTCAAGATTCCCCAGACCTCTGGCTAACCTAACTATCCCCTCTCTACAGAGAAACCCTTGTGAAGTCATCCCGGACCAGAATCAGTATCTGTGATGTATTCTGTGTGATTCATAATAAACTGTTGAACTTTTACCCCTGTCTCCGTGGTGTGTTCTGCATTTGGGTTTGACCCCCATACCCAACATGACACATATACATACACATATATATATATATATATATATATATATATATATATATATATATATATATATATATACACACACATATATGAATGACACACATTCACTAATTAAAGAACAAATGTTCACATAGGGATAAGTAATGATAAAAACAAAACATTGTTTGAAAAATTGTCTTGGAGGAAGATAGGACAAAAAGCCTTTAGTTAGAGACGATTACAACAAATTTTCCACTATAGATCATAATACTCATTATCAAAGAGCAATCCTTTAAAATACTGAATAATATACTATACAAATATATATTAGTGAAACAATTGTATAATATATTGTGTTTATCATATTAATATTGATTGCAAAATACATAAATCCATATTTCTCATCCAGTTTGACTCCAGTTTATATAGTAATTTAATCTGAATACATCTGTGTGATCTACCTGAAAGGTAATTTTAGAATTTGTTTTGGTCTTTCAACTTGTTGTGACACATAAAGAGATTATTTTGATATTATCTAACTGGTCTTTCATGTTATTGCCTCCCAATCATTCTGAGAGCAACTGTTTGAACTGTGGCCCTCTAGGCACGTCGGACAGCGCCCAATGAGACGTCTACGTATATTCTGTCTCTGGGTGTATCCATAATATCAGATATCAGAACCAGCAGTGAAGCCACTTTATTCAAGCCTATATTAATCATTCTGGCTCCCCCCAGTGGTAGTTAGGTGTCACAACAAGACAAAAAGTAAGAAAAATATAATTTTTTTTTTTATATTTTATTTGTTCAATAAGAAACCAGCGTCATAGAAAACCAAAACATTAAATACACAATCAACATAAAAAAGAAGAGATTGGCCATGATGCATGCATGGAGGAAATGATGCCTTGTTAAAGTGCACTGAGTGAAGAAAATTTGTAACATAGTTTTATCCACATGGGAGCTTTTTGTAGTACCTGGAAATAAAACAGCCGACAGTGAAATTATAAATATATACATAACAAAAAAAAAAACAAACTTCTAAGCATTATTTTTCAAACAAAAAGGCACTTAAATATTTCTGCCAGCTTTACCCCTATAGCAGCACCGAAGTCAAACAGTATCAGACACCATATTTTCCCCACAAATGTAAAAAGTTCTAAACATGGAATAATTAAAGAAATTATTATTTTTAGATTTGAAGCAGATTCTGTAACAGAACAATTAAATTACTATCTCTCTATATTATGAATTATGTATAAAAAAGTTTGGATATGAATAGTAGTTAAAATATAAAGTCCAGTTACTTCATTGTTTATAAAGGTCTATTTGCCACTTTTGTGTCTAAAGAGAGAAAACATGGAGAAAGTCTTTAGTTTTTGGCAAAAACTTCCATAGAAAATGATCTTAATTATTATAAGTTGTATTCATTATACTCGGTCAGCACAGTATTAACGGTAGTTTCTGTTGGGCAGTTTGGAGCTTTAGAGTTTACACTTTGGACGAAGGACGTCTTTAGAACCTTTTCTTGGTCTTTGAGCTGATTTTAAAACATATTTGGTCCCAAAGGTAGATTGTTTTTGCTCTTCCCCTCCAGACGACACTGTTTGCAGGATTTAACAGAGTGAAGCGGGATGTTTGATCATATCTGAGGAGAACTCTGAAGATTAACTGCTCAGTCTCAGATATTCAGCCCGTCGTGCTTTAGAGCATCGTATTTGGAGCGGGATCCTCTCCGGCTCTGGCCCTGCTCCCTTCCACCTGCCCTCCTCCTCTGACTCCCTCTCTCTTCTTGCTGCTCTCCTGCTGCGCTCTCAAACATTTTCCTGGCGCTCTCCACCCGGCTGCTGCTTTTCTCCTCTCCTCTCTCCCTGCGCTCGTCGTTTTCTCCTCTGTAGTGGCTCTTCTTGTCCTCCCCCACTGACTCCCCCTTGTGGCTCCGATGGGAGCCTTTCCTCTGGGAATGATCCCCTCGTTCCCCCTCATATTTCTCCTCTCCTCTCCTGCTCTTTTCCATCTCTGCTCTCCAGTCTTTCACTCCTCTCTCCTCCTCCCCTCTCCTCCTCCAGCTCTCCCTGTCTCCGTGGTGACTTCCTGTCTCCTCCTTCCTTTCTCCTTTCTCGCTCCTGTTGCTGTGCCTCCTTCCAGACTCAGACTTCCTCTCTTCCTCCTCCTCGCTATTCCTTCTCCTCTCAGTTTTCTTCTGGGATGTCTCCCGCTCTGCATGCGGAGTTTGGGAAGTTTTCTCTTTTTCTGAATGACTTGCTTTGATCTTTGCTTCTTTCTCCTTTTCAGGCCGTTTCTTGTTTTCCGGCATCTCATTTGTTTCTTTAGACTTTTTCTCTGCTTTTTTTTCTTTCCCAGCTGTAGTCTGATTCTCTGCCTCTTTCTCTTTCTTGCTTCCTTTCTCAAATTGTTCTTTTATAGCTTCTTTCACCGTTTTCAAACCGGACTCATTACCCTTTTTCTTCTCTGATTTGGACTCTGACATTTTCTCATCTTTTTCCTTTTCCTCCATTTCTCCTGTTTCCTTCATGTTCTTCTCCTCCTTTTTCTCCTTCTTTATTTTAAAGATGTCCAACGCCGTCTCTTTGCTCTTCTTCGGCTCCACCTCCTCCTTCTTGTCCTCCTTCTTGTTCAGCTTCTCCTCCAGGAAGTCGATCTCCTGCTCCAGCTCTGCCAGCTTCTTCGGGTCGGACTCCAACTCGTCCTCCACCTCTACCTCCACCTCCTCGATCTCCTCGTACTCCTCCACTTCGATGCCGTCCATGGTCTTCTGCAGCTGCGTCTTCACCTTGTTCAGCTCCAGCAGGCCATCCTGAAGGTCCTTGCACACCTGCCTGATCTTACCAGCGAACTTTGTTTTGGCGCCCTTGCGGAGCTCGTGGGAGTCTTTGGCGAGGAAGAAAACGTCCAGAGCCAGGAAGAGGGCGGACATGACCCCCGTGGTGACGCTGATGGCCTGGGCGGCTTTAGCGGCGCCGCCGGCGGCGCCTAGAACCTGCACAGTGCTGATGAGCTTATCGGTGTTGATCATCAGGGCTTTTCCGGCTCGGCCTCCCTCTTTCATCACGTGCTTAATGTTGTGGTTCAGGGCCTTTTTGGCGGCGCTTTCAGAGTATTTCTCAAAATCCCACTCCTCCAGGGTGTTCATCCCTTCCTGTAATCAATGGGAACAAAACCAGACTATCAGTGATGGAAAGTTTTATTCAACTTCTACTGCTGAATGTTTGGGTAGATCATGCGCTATTCTGTAAATATCTATACATCATTTTATGCTTGGTTGGATGCAGTATACATTTTATGAACGTTTTAGTTACAATACAGTTTAATCCAATTTAAAAGGATGTTATGTTATCCGTTTTTAGGACGCCGAGTCGCGTAACCATCAGCCATCATGACCATAATTTGATTAATCCAATTTTTTCTGCCTCAAGTTTCATGATAAAAATGACAAATGAGAGACATTAGTTTTAAAAACTAGCTTTGTCTTCAACCTTCTGCTCTTAATTTAAAGTAAAATGAAATTCAAGTGATGAGAAATAAAGAAATATAACCACCTTTCACAAGAAAACAAAAAAGTTAACAAAGTAAATGTTTTCAGCTGGTGGCATCCAGGGGGGGGATTTACCATTAGGCAGTTGCCTAGGGCCCCATAAGACTCTGTTTAAATGTATAGTTAATAAAACTATTCCTTATTTGTGCATATTAATTATGTTTTTGATAAAAAATCCTTTGGCTAAAATGCCATCAGAACGCTTATAATATTAAGTGTGTCTCAGCCCCCCCCCTTCAGTGTCCTCCATATTGGATCAGTCCATTTGCTGCACATGTTCAGAAAAGTCCAAACAGACAGCAGCAAACCATTTGAAAACAGTGACTTTTCAGACCCCTCTAGTACTTTTATTTTTAAAAAGTGCCTAGCGCGAAATCTAGAGACTTTTTTCTGCTGCTGGAGACTTTGGCAACAACATATAAAAGCAGCGAACTCTGCTCTCCAGAGCAAGTAGATTGGTAACTCCCCCTCCCGTCAGCTATTAGACATCTAAAAAGCAAAAAGGGATGAAATGATGTCACTCTGAGCAGTGGAAGGAAAAAGAGAGCATTGATGGAAAAATCCAATATTTATAAAAAAAATGAAATCTTCATAAAGACAAAATCCTATGAATCAATAAAAAAATCAACCAATGGTCCTGAGCAGTGGGATAAAGGGTAGATGGGGTTTTTCATTTACGGAGGTTGTCGCTCCTAAGCGCAGCTATTCCTAAACTCAGACTTTTTACTCTGCTTCTTTACTGTCTGGTAATTGTAAATAACATTATTTTTTAATAAAAAAACAGCTAAAAATGAGAGGATCCAATAAAGTGATCAGTTTGGTAACCATGGAGATCTGTGGTATATGCTGGTTCATAGCAACAACTGCTGTGAACTAATTTCCCTTTAAATCAGATGGATTTCCTGGTGAACATCTAAAATGTTCTCGATCTTTTCTCTGAACGTCTTTTAGCAGCTTTCAGAACAGAACCCGTTCTTCCGTATAGAAATAGTTTCTGTTGCTCCTGGTGTTACTTCCTCACCTGAACAAACTCCATGCACTTCCTGATGTCCTGTATCTCCTCCTGGTAGCCCTGGATCATCTTCTCCACCTTCTTACGGTCCATGTTGGAATGCACCGTGTCGGTGATGTTGGCGGTGGCCGACGTGATGCTTCCGGCCGTCGCCACGCCGATCCCCACGGCTGTGACGATGATGGAGGCCCCGAACGTGAACGGCGCCAGAATGAGCCCAGTAATGGTGGCCACGCTGCCCGCCACGCTGGCCACGCCTCCACCCACAGCTGCCGACACCGTCTTCTTGTGGAACTCGTCTGCGGCGTCGGCCACGGCGAGTAGTTCCAGGATGCGCTGCTGCAAGGACGCCCCCCGCTGGTTGAACAGATATACGAAGACCCGAGCTGCCATGTAGACTCGGTCCGCTGCCTGCTCCATCGCCCTGCAGAGAAACACAGAAGACAGTTAAACAGGATTTATGGCTAACAGAGTTTAGACATCAAGCCTGCTCAATAAAAAACTAAAAGATGGATGGGACAACAAATAACTCACAAAACAACTGAAAGGAACTAGAACTCTCAGGAGATTAAACCATCTACCAGTTCCTGCTATGAGTTCCCTTTGGGAAAGTCCTTTAAATTAATTCCTTACATTTGCTCATCCTCCTCCTGGAAGTTTGATGTCTCGTTCCACTCAGTCCAACCTGGAAAAACCAGCAGCACAAAATTAAACGCTCAGAAAGTATATTTCTATTTAGTTAAAGATTTAAATCAACAACTGTTTGAAAAGCGACCTTTCACTGAGTTCCACCACTCCATCAACTCGTTGTTCTCCTGAAAACACATCATTCATTTAATCAAGAGACAAATGCTAATTAAACTTTCCTTTTTCTAAAGTCGTAGGGAAGTCATATTTAAATGTCAAATCATTCTGGCTTAAAAAATGTTTATATAATTGTACTGTTTATCAGACTATATTGTCCCAAATGTGAGAAAAGTTCTATGTAAAGGGGTCATAGAATGCAAAACCGAATTTACATTGTTGTAGATAATTAACGATAGTCGACCAAAATCCTGAACGGTTTTGAAATTCCCCAAGGATATTTTATTTAGGTATGAAAAGTAGGACATGTCCGAGAAAAAGAGGATGTCTGGTCACCCTACCATATCAACAATACGATGTTTCAGTGACTGAGTGCTTGTTGCTATGATGCGTCTTTGCTCAGCAGCTTCGCTTGTTGTAAACCAACCAATCAGCGCACAGCTCATCTTAATATTCATGATCATACCATAAAAGGAAGAAAACCTGTCATTTCATTCTGGGGCTTTTAACCAGGCTTGCATTGGGGCTCATAGAACAGCAAATATGCCATGTTCAGCTCAGCCAATGTTACACACCCTATTCAGAGACCTTAAGAACCAGCAACAAATATCCTATATGATTATTCTATGATGTCTTTAAAAAAAAAAATCCTGTCTTAAAAAAAATATTTCCGTTGCTTTTTTTTCCGTTGCAAGGCGCTTCCAAGACACCAGCCACGATCAAACTTGCTTGCGAACCTTCAGCCACAACAATCCCGCCCCCTTGATAATACACACTCATGTAAAGTCGGAACCACTAAGGAGAATTCGGATCTGCAACGGTTGGAACAGCCGCTTCCCTACAACTTTAACAATCTTATTTCAAACCCACCTGCTCCTCCTGGGCTTGAGTTTCTTCAGCTGGATAAGCGGCCATCTCCACAGGCTCCATCAACACCGTGCTCTCCTGAAACCAAACAGAAAAAGCAGCTGTTTGATTCTCTTCTCTTAATCAGAAAGCATGGTTAATTTTCAGTGCTTAAAATGAGAGAATTTTAGTAACAAATGGTGCGATAATATGATTTTATTCTTGTAAAGGTGACATCATTTACAGATGACTGCAGGGCTGATCAGCTCCTTACTGGATCCATTCAGATTTCTTACTTTGAACCTGAGATAGACTAAAGCTTCTGTAGCTTCTGGCAAAAACAAAATGCTGCAGGAAATGAAAACCAGCAAAAAACTGTTAAAGGTTTTCAGTCCTCTAACCTGCATTCTGTAGCCAGAACATTTCTAATGAAATCTCTGTGGAAAAGCGGCCTCTTTAAAGGAAAGGTCCGGTCGGTTCAGAATACAAACTTCTGAATCACATTATTACATACTGTTCAATAAATGATAAGTGTTTTTGATCAAGAGTAATTTAATATGACTGTGCTTTTAGTGAAAGCATCCATGTTTGTCAAAGAACACTACTGCCACCTTGTCACGTCACAGTGCGGTATCGGCCGTATCTGGTGTTTGTCACAACACGCTATTATCCAAGTCATCTTGAAAACATTCTTCTTTGAAATATTGGCTTCATATTACGTGTTTTTTCTCTGGCCAGAAGTTTGAAGGAAAATCCTGCCTCTTCAAGTTGGCAACTTGAGGAGGATCAGGAATCGGGAAGGTTGTTTTCTTTCCACTTTTACCCGATTTATTCCAACATCCAACTGCCATAAATGTGGGCATTGTCAGTTTCACTATAGCTCTGGTGAATTGCAATGGTGAGGTCCTCTGGAAATCTTCAATAATTGTTGTTGCAGATGTTTCTAGTAGTTCCCATTGATTTTGCTTGTAAAGCGGGTAGAATGGCGCTAGACTTACCGCACCGTGACGTCACTGCTGGAAGATGTCAGGAGTGAGGCGTACTTTTTTTCATTTATTAATGACTTAGACTTCTTTATTTGTCATTTTGTATGCACAGAGTGCATATAGAACGAAATTGCGTTGCATACAGCTTATGAACATTGCATTGATATTTCAAATGAGATGGAATACATTTCCGGATTGTTACACACGAGTTATACAAATAGTGCAGCAGTGGTCAAAGTGTAAACAGTGCAGTGGATAAAAACAGTGTGCAAATTGCAATGGTTCAGTGCAAAAGCAATGGTTCAGTGCAAATGGAATAATAACTAACACAATCAGATAAACACAAATCAAAAGAACATTTTACCAAATAAAAAAAAAATAAAAAATCGCCATCAGAGCCAGCGGTTCTTCACGCACAGCTATGGAGAGAGAGGGCTGTTGCAGACGGGTTAACGTTAGACCTGGCTACCGTTAGCCTCGAAAGTCCTCTGAAAATTTTTTGTTTAATTACGCATTAAATTGGTAAATTGTCCCTATAGTGATGCTTAAAAGTATAATGTTCTCACCTCAAATGATCTTAAAACATACTTTTATTGAATAACGGCAACAGAGGAGAGAACTTTAAAATTAATACTCTGAGCTCTGTGGGCGCTCCATTGAAAGCTGACGCAGTGCATGCTGGGACAGCTGTCAATCTCAAGAACGGAAAAGTCTGCTCTGATGCATGTTGGGTAAAGATGGAGGGGCGAGAACAACATCCAGGGAGTTTGTCCGTTCTCTGTCTGCTGTTCTTGTGAATTGGAACGATAGTAGGGCTCAGGCTGATTGATGACGTTTCACGAGCACACGAGAATGCACAGGTACACAGATTGAGAAACGGCCATTGAATGCGCCCAATTTTTTTTTTTTTTTTTTTTACTGATTAACGCAAAATTCATTAAATCACTGCGAACACATTAGTTTTAGGTTTAGATAATGATCCATTGATTATTCCTTGCTGACCAGACTTTCCTTTAAAGTAACTGTAACTCCTTCTGCATCAGAAGGAAGCTTATTAAAACCATAACAAGGATCAAGGAGTCTATATACCAGTTTAAAAACTTCTTAATTCGAATTCCTTGAATTATTTTAAAATGTTGTTCATTTAACATTTTATTAAAAGAAGGTTTAGAGATTCTGAATCCAGGTTTAATCCCCAGAAAAATAACAAGATAAATGATTTATTAGTAAATGTAGAAACTCTTTCTAACCTGCGAGGTGTTCAGCTCCTCCAACTCAACGCTCTCCTCAATCAAAGGCATCTTACTGGAGTTCTGTACAGTTAGAAATGCGACATGTTCAGTCATGCAGTCAGATGTTCTGTGTTTCTGTTTGTTTCTTATGAAAACTCTCATATATCAACGGCATAAATCTCCCACAAAGCAGCAAATACCTCTTTGGACATTTTGGGAAGAGTTTTCTTGATTCGGAAAGACACAACCTGACAAACGTAAAGAAGAAAACAGAGATTACACGATAAACCCTGAACCAAAGCACACTAAGGATGAACTTTTAACGCCATTTGTAATCGTTAAAGGTAATGTTTGCAGAACTTGCCCTTCTTTTCTTCTTTATGGTTCTTTTGCGACTCAGCCCACGTCCTGTAGGTGGCGCAGTGTCTTCGCCATCCTGCAAAACAATATATTTAAAAAAAGCTTCATTAGGAAAAGTTTAGCAACTTGCTCACATTACTGTTCCTTTTTGATTAATTAAAGGTCTTTATTTACGTAGTTCAAAATAATTTTTAATCACTTAAATAATGTTCATAATGATTGTAGGTTTAGAAATACTTATAGTTGTTTATAGAACCAGACAGAAAACCATCTTTACAGTTGAAGGTAAAGAACCATTTTATTCTGACTCCAGTTTTAAAAACTCTTTGTTTTCATTTCTAACATGAAATCCCAAGCTAGGTTTCTACTGACCATCAAATGGTGGAAATGGCAATTATGAAAAATAAACTTGCGTCATTTTTGTTTTGTTTTTTAGCTAAATTGAACTTGGGTTTTTTTCCGCTTCGCTTCTTTTTCCGCATAACATCACATAATCAACAATCAGATGTAACTATCGACAATAAAGATGAAGATGACAGGTTATATCAATGGGAGAATGATGCCAGCATGTTTTTTATGTTGTTGTTTTATTTACACGATGTTCACAACTTTCTTCTGGAAAAGAAAAGTTGGAGCCTGATTTTCAAAGAAAGGACCAACAGAGTCAGTGAAAACAGTTTAGAAACAATCAGATAAATACGCATGTGAAGCTAATTTTTTTTATTTATTATTTTTTTCAAGCAAATCTCTCACAGCAGAGCACCAATAAACCATTATTATTCTCTTGCAGCTGCAAACTTGTCTGTTATAGTTATAGTGTATTATAGTCACAGGAAAACACTGCTCCATTATGGCTCCGCCTACTGTTCTGTGATTGGTTCAGTCTGTTTTAGACTGGAGAGCCTTCCAGGTCTGATTTCCTGCACCTTTTAGACTAAGTTCACACTGAAGTGATCCAGCCTGAAATGATCCAAATCCAATTTTTTTGCCCTTATCTGATCTTTCATGACAGTCTGAACAACACAGATCTAATTATTTCCAATGCGACCCAGGTCACTTGGCTATGTGGTCCTGAATCCGATAAGTATCTGATCTTTTCAAATGTGAAAAGATTAGATATGTATCAGATCAGAATGTGGACGCATTCATCCAACCCGAACGTCATCAATACTCAAAGGTCACTATTCTGCATCTTCAGACCTAAAAGCATGAAAAAAAAACAATGGTGGATGATAATGTGGGGATCAGTCTTTCTTTTTGAACTTCTTGAAAATACTCAATTGTCAACGAACTGAAAAGAAGCCAGAACAAAAAACAAAATAAAAAAGATTGCAAGATGCTCTCCAGCACGACCATCCATGTATACTTCCCTAAAATACAGAGCACGCCCCCTACTTATGATGTCATTGCATGCTCTAATGCACATGCTCAACAGTTAAGATGTATGAATGCGGTTCACACGGCAGATCACATACAAGCTGCGTATATTTGGAAATGTGAACAACCACGCAAAATTGAATTTCATTATTTAAAAAAAATAAAATCTGAATTGCTCCCTTAATGCATCTCTGCCAAACAGTGATGCAGCCAATTGATTCAGGTGAGGAAGCAGAGACATTTCTAAAATGTGCAGAAGATCAGAGCTAGACGGCCACATTTAGGGAAGAAACACAGATACTATCTACCTTCATAGTTCACTATTTAAAAACATATTCTAAGTTAACTAACCTATAAATGAACTAGTTCAAGTTCATTTGGTAAATTAAGCCACAATCCTTCAATAGAACCTCATATTTCACCCTTTAAATGTGTGATCATAATATATAGAAAGAAATGGAAAATATTTAGCCAAATCACACAAACTTCAGAAACATTCAGGAACATTCAGTTTCTGCTGAAAAGATCTGGATCAAAATAATTTCCTCCGTTCCTCATTCAGTAGCTGATATTTCCCCAGATAGCATGGATGCTTTCACTCGATGTGTCGCTTTAAATTTGAAGTGGACGTGGCTGACGTACAAACTTGTTAGTTAAGTCCCAGTGAGCACAGTTTGCACAAAATTGGAGGGGTTTTTTTGTCCCAGTCTTCCTCTGTTAGTTCATAACAAAGCGCTCTGCTAAACTGGCATCAGAAACACCAGCAGATGAGTCTGAATCACACAAACTAGTACTAGCAGTAGACACGCCGCTCTGTCATGCTGCTTGCCTTGATTAGTGCCATAAAACCTGATGTTATCCAATGAATGATGTCCTTTCAATAGAACGCGAATGTGAGCTGTGTGTGTGTTAATCATTATTCCCTCGTTCACGTTCAGTACTTCCAAACTGATCTGATTAGTTCACCGTTCACCAAAAATATGAACTATTCATTAAAGGCATCCATGCACAGTACTGGATGTGGTAGATGTGCATCAGAGGCGTTTTCAATGTTTGTACCTGCTGCTCCAGATTTTTGGGCGTCCGTCTGAACATCCCAGAAAACCCGCCTCTTTTCTCCTGTTTAAAAAAAACAACAAAACACATGAAGCATTGAATTTGAATTATAAGACCGAAGAAATTAAAGGAATAGTACACCCAAAACATGATTAGCCTTCATTTTCTACTCACCCCCATGCTGAACAACACTCTGGAGTACTTTTTTGATATCTCAAATGCATCTGGAGATCTGGGAGGCTTCTTGCTGTCTGCTGACATTCAAATAATGGAGGTCTATGGCGCCCGAGGCAGAAAGGTCCATAAAAGTCCACAAAAAACGTGTCAATATTCCTCCATACTGCTCGTCCAATGTATTCCAAGTGTCCTGAGTGGGTAGCATCCAGAATTTACTCGAAACGAAGTCATTTAGAATGTTTTTAGAGCATAAACAGTAGTGTATAGTATTTCCTGAAAGCGCGTTCACGGCGCTACGGAAGCCGGCAGACCAAACCAGCGCATTCAGCTCGGCAAAGAACTCATGCTCTTCCTCAACACTGAAGTCCTCAGACATTTTTCTTTCGTTGTTTCTTTCTTTGCACAGGTAAACAGCACATTTCTTCTTCTACGCTTGCATTATCGGAAGAGCAGACGCTGAATGCGCACTTTCATCTGGTTTGGTCTGCCGACTTCCGTAGCGTCGTGAACGCGCATGTGCGCGCTTTCAGGAAATCCTATACACTACTGTTTGGGCTCTAAAAACATTCTAAATGACTTCGTTTCGAGTAAATTCTGGATGCTACCCACTCAGGACACTTGGAATACATTGGACGAGCAGTACGGAGGAATATTGACACGTTTTTTGTGGACTTTTCTGTCTCGGGCGCCATAGACCTCCATTATTTGAATGTCAGCAGACAGCAAGAAGCCTCCCAGATCTCCAGATGCATTTGAGATATCAAAAAAGTACTCCAGAGTGTTGTTCAGCATGGGGGTGAGAAGAAAATGAAGGCTAATCATGTTTTGGGTGTACTATTCCTTTAAGACACTAAACTATAGTAAAATCTATGGGACATACCTTAGTGGAGGTTTCAGAAAGATTATCTGTACTGGCTGACAGATCATTCAGAGAGGAGGCGTCCTCCTTTGAAAACAGATTTAATGCAACCATTTAAAATGATTAATAGGCAGCAACATTAAAGACAAACATAAAGTTTATACCTTAACATTTTGGATTATACAGTTAAGGAACTATTATAAAATATACTTTTCATTAAAAAAAGGACGAAAAACAGGTGGATTCAGGTTTAAATAGATCAAATCTGTGTTTTGCTTCAAGAATTGATCAGACATGTTTGCTATCGGCATATTATGGAAGGTTTCAGTCCATTAGGGTGGATCTCACCTTCCCTGCCTCTGTGAGGCTGTCCCAGCTCGCTGACAGCTCCTTAGAGTCACTCAGGGGATCCTGAGAAAAAAAACAAAAAAGAATTTCAACAGTGATTCTTCACACCTCCACACTTTTATAGTCGCCATACTAACTACAATTTGGATAGACTTTTTCTCTCAAAGGTCAGTAGAAACAGTCACAGAAAAAAGGACGACAAAACAGCCAAATAAACCTGATGATAACAGTAAAGATGTTAGTTTTAGCTTTTTACAACAAAAATTGGCAGAAATTTGCTGACTGATGAGATTCTTCAAAGAAACACCAGAAAGGATAAACTATATAAATTTGCTGGATCTATTTTCTTTTTCAGCTTAAGGCAACATTTCTGCAGAACAGAGGATCTATGTAGAAGAAGACAGCAGGCGATGAAAGAGGAAAGAATCAGAAATGAATACGTTGAATATCAGACTTAAACTGCTCCTAAATGTTTTCACAGTATTTTGAGTGAAAAATAAAGTAAATAATCTTAGAGTGTGATCTTCAGATGACGTCTTAAAACAGGTGCAAAGCAGAGCAGATCTTCATAGAAGGTACAAAGTGATTAGCAGACAGCATGTATGAACCTTCTCTTTTTTTTGCATGTGTGCAGATCTTCATTTAATGAGCAAAACACGCAAACGATTGGGTGGAGGATACGCACATGGAAACATCCAGGTGCAAAGCGACTTTCCAAATCGGAAGTTAAAAATTTTTAGTACTTCTGAAAGTGAAGCAAACATTTCTGCAGTCATGTTGCCACAAAGGAGGTTTTTTTGTAGAATGTCAGACAATGAAAGAGATTTTATGCACATGTAAAGTCAGTTGGAATGTCAAAAATAATATTATGGTAGACCATCATTATGTGAATAAACCAAAACAAACAAAAAGAGAAATAATGAATGTTAAAATACTGTAGCTAACTTATTTAATAAATAGTTTAAAAGACACAGAGGTGCATCTCTTTCAACTCAACAAAGCACGAAGCGTGTTTATGTTTTATCTGTTGCTCCTGCTGTAGCTCACATTAAACCTGATAGGGTTTTATGATGCTTCCTTTTTTATATTTAACTTTATTTTATGTTTTTCCTTTGTTTCCATGTAAAGTGCTCAGTAGATATCAATATTTATCATTATTATTTTTGGGGGGATGTCTGGCCTAGTGGTTAGAGCAGTGCGCTTGTGCTCTGGGAAGGTTGCAGTTCCCAGTTAGATCCCAACAGCCTCCACTCTGGGTCCCTGAGCAAGACCCCCACACTGCTCCCTGGGCGCCGCACAATGGCAGCTAACTGCTCCCCATAGGGATGGGTTAAATGCAGAGAGTTAATTTTTCCAGTGTGAGATCAATAAAGTTCAATTACCATTACTTTATTTGATGGCTTCTATGAAACTGCCTGTTTATTTTAATGAGCAGAACCAAACTGGTTTTAAAGTCTTAACCTCTGTGCAGGAGTCTTTGTAAATCACCTACTTATCACAGATGATAAAAACACTTCATATTGAATTTAGCGCCCCCTATTCTGATTCTTTGGAGCTCTTCAGTGTATTTAGTGCTTTTCTGACCTGAGTCACAGCAGAGCGTGGAGAAGGTTTGGGCGACTTCTTAAAGATCCCTGCAAATCCTCCAGTTTTCTCCTGCAAAAAAATAATCCAATCAATAATACGTCACATCTTTATGTAAAAATAAAACACAAACAAAGGAGCCCATCTCTAAATGGAACACAATATGCACCTTTGTTGCGTTTGCCTGCAGCAGATCTTCAGAGCTGCCAGATAATGTCATGTCGTCGCCAGTGGCATGTGACCCCTAAAGACAAAACAGACGATAGAAGCTGAACAAAATGAGCAGAAACAGAAAAATATTCCATAAAGCTTTTACTCTACCTCATCTGCAGACTTTGGAGTTTTCTTAAACATACCACTGAAGATGTTTTTATCCTAAAAAAAGAAACGGAAGCTATTTTTTTTTCTTTAAAAAGAAATAAGCAGTAGACCTTAAGTAAGTGTACATTAAGAGCAGGTGGTCGTCTGGGTGGATTTACAAAACTACTGACCTCATCCAACAGGTTGTCAAAGCTCGAAGATCTTTTAAATATTCCAGCCAGGCCTCCTTTTTTTTCCTGAAAACACAAATATGATTTCCTTCGATTCATTTGATGAAAACAGAAACATTATAAATGTTTATTACTCGATTCTAAATCCTGTTGTGTAAAAACACTTCTGTAGAAGTTAAGAGTATCAACGTTTTACTCAAGTAAAAGTGTAAAAGTACCATTTTTAAAAAAAAACTAAAGTATAAAATCAATGCAGGAAAAAATGGAAAGCTGCTTCACTGCTCTATCCTATTAAAGGAATCTTTTTTTCTATATTTCTGGATGATAACTTCCTTAATTTTCTTAGTTTTATAATTAATGGTAACATTGTGAAATTTAACTTTCATCTTGTAACGACTATTTATTTGTAACGTAGCAAACAAGAGTCCATCCACAAAGAAATTAATTTTCTGGAGGATTTGGATGTTTTTATTTTTTCAAAGACCAACAGCCCATAATGAAAACGAGCTAATCTAGGACAAGACCTTATCACCTTTGTAACATTCAAAGAATATGTGTATTTTGATGAGAAAATTTCATTTCAATATATTAACAAGAATCGCCCACTTAAACTAACATATTAATAAATATAACAAAAGTGTTTCTAAAATAAATTCACTGAAAACACTCACTGAGTTAAAAACACAATTTTTTTTTGTCACAGCATAACCTAAAACACATTGATGCTGATTTAGGTTAAACCCCCAACTAAATGTACAGAATGACTAATTCATATATGTCATTAGTCGGGGTTGTGACAAAGCTGCACGCATTGTTTTCTTATTATCTGATTGTGAAAATAGTTTGCAGCTCATTTGTGGGAAGAGATTTCAGTTCAGGTTTCTATGATAAAAATCAACCACTGCTCAGATGGTAACTCAGAGGAGAAGTAGGGTTTTTTATGCAATAAAGAAACCTTTGAGCTGGTGGTTTCGGTCAGGTTCTCACTGCTGGCAGATAACGGTCTTTCAGTGTCGGCTTCCTGCATTTAGAGGCAAAAAGAGTTAAAATAAAAGAAAGCAAAGGAAACAGGACTTTAACTCTGATGCAGCAACGGTACCGTGTCTCCTTTAGCCTCCTCTGATGCTGGTTTGGGGGTTTTCTTAAACATGTTGCTGAAAATATTTTTCTCCTGCAAATATGGAGATAATGTCAGAAAATTTTGCTGATATGAGTGAAGTAAAGCTTTCCTCCATCATACAGACCTTGTTATTCTCAGCCAGGTCTTCCCTGCTGGCTGACAGCTCTGTCTGAGCCTCTCTGTCCTGAAACAGAAAGTCAGCTTTACATCTGAAAGCTGCGGTAAAATGTGAAGATGTGTCTACATGCTGGGCAGCAGCTGCTTACTGGGGTCTCAGTCTTCTCTCCTTTGGGCGTCTTTTTGAGGAATCCACTAAACAAACCTCCTTTCTCCTATGGAAATGTCAAAGGAAGGAGTTGAAGATAAACCGAGAGGAAATTTTGGAACATTTGGGGTTTTTCCTCACTGACCGGTTTGTTGTCACATAAATTCTCATTGCTGGCAGAGACATCAGGATCAGAGCCTACATCCTGGAAACACACCAACCACTGTTAGACTTTTAGCCACAAGGAAGGAAGGAAGGAAGGAAGGAAGGAAGGAAGGAAGGAAGGAAGGAAGGAAGGAAGGAAGGAAGGAAGGAAGGAAGGAAGGAAGGAAGGAAGGAAGGAAGGAAGGAAGGAAGGAAGGAAGGAGACAAAAAGAAAAAAATCAGAAAGAGTAAGAAAAATGAATAAAAGTCTAAAAATGTTCATTACAAACCCACTGCTAACATTCCTGAGAAGGTCTGAGCTAAAATATGATTCCTGGAGGGAAGGAAGGAAAGAGCAACAGATGGAGGAATAGAAAACTGATGGATAAATGGAGAGATGGAGGGAAATTGGTAACAGAATATAGAAAATTGACAAACAGGGAGTTAGATAAACAGATCGGTTCACTTTGAAATGATGGATACACATAAGGATGCATAGTGGAAATCTAAAATTGTAGAGAATAGAATGATAAGTGGTTGTCAGAGAATTAATAGAAGAGGAAAGGTAGAAGGTTACATTTCAGACGGGGTGTTGAGTTTGCTGACAAAGCTTTTTTTCGTGGCGATAATGAGACAGTAACGAAATAAACGTGGCTTCTAGGCGACCAGATAATGACTAGCTGTGCCTGAAATTTCTTTATTGAGATGAAGACTAAACAAAAATGTTGATGATGATTCTTTGGGCGAACAGAATCAATGACATTGTAGCCGCATCCTGTGCTGATCTGGCCCCGCCCTCCACCACCTGATAGTGGCCCCAGCTTGATAAAAGACTGGGTGATCAGACATCATGGAGGTTCCTGTGGATGTACTTTAAATATGATCCAACCAAAAGAAATTAAAATGTATTTTAAAGACACACAATGTTTTTTTTTTTATGTCAGTGGGAAATGACTATAAGTTTGGACATATGAGGAAAACGTAACGAGAATGAGAGAAGGAGACTGAAAGAGGCAGAACTGCATGAATGGAGAATGATGATGTTGATGATGAGGAGGAGGAGGAGGCGGAGATGATCTGATTAAATGATCAATTGGTAAATGGCCTGTACTTATATAGCGCTTTTTCATGTCAGGAGTCTTAACCAAAGCTCTTTACGCTACATTCAGTCATTCACCCGTTCACTCACACACTGATGGTGGTAAGCTTCATTATAGCTACAGCTGCCCTGGGGCTCACTGACAGAAGCGGGTCTGCCGTACACTGGCGCCACCGGGCCCTCTGACCACCATCAGTAGACAGTGGAGGTGAAATGTCTTGCCCAAGGACACAACGACACTGAAAGCTGGAACCGGGGCTTGAACCAACAACCCTTGAATTTCAGAGCAAACTCCTACAACCAACGTCACCGTCGCCCCTTCATTAATTCTTCTGCTCTATCAGACTGTAGCTCCATAGAATTTTATTCTATATTTTCTAATACATAAAGTACTTTTTGGTATTTTATTAGATGAGGAAACAAGTCAAATCATTAAAAAAACAAATGACATCGATGCTTAAGAAATATATTCATATGCATGTTTTTTTTAATATGATGCGCATATTTGTTTTGTATTCACTTGTTGGCATGTATAGGAATGGAACTATATAAGTAGACAGAAAATATAAGCCAACAATTATAAATAGGACTAAAACCTTTTTGAGTTTTCAGCAACTAAAACTTGAAAAATATCTTCATATATGGAATGACAAAACTGTGAGAAAAACTATTGAGCATTTTCATCCAAAAGGCTAAAATGAAAACGCAGAAGGCCTCAAAAATCAACAGTGGAAGGATGTCGTCTGGCCAGACTGACTTAGACATATCGGCCTGGAAAGGAGCTGATAGGATCAGGGCGGCACTAACAGACTCATTGGAAACAGATTAGAACCAATTAGTTATCTAAGCATTTGATGCAACAATAAGAGAAGCTTTCATAGCAGCCAGTTGTTTAGATTTTAAAGATTTACCCCAATAATTGGGAATATAATAAAGGCCATCATTAAAAAAAATAAACCTCCATTGCAGCTCTATTCCTGCAGAGAAGCGCTGTGTATCGAATAAACATGGTCTAAGTCAGTGTGGCGGGAAGAATTGATGGATGGATGGACAAAGGGAAAGACGGATAAAAGAATGAGCCAATAGAAAAGAGACAACTGCTCATACTTTTTCAGACCTGTATTATTCATAAATGTTAACGTTTAACTTTTCTACACCCAGCAATGAGCTACAACCAAGCACAAAGGTGGCTTTTTAGTTATTTTATTTAAAAAAGGCTAAAATGTCAAAAGGAAAATGTTACAAATAGGTTGAAAAGGTCCTTCAATTATTCTGTAAATATCCTTTAATTGTTTCTTTTTTATATAATTGATTTATGTTAGTTTGAAAAATGAAAAACTGACACTTTTGTAAAATTTAAGACTTAAACAACCTAAAGATCTATATGTGGATATTTTTTTATATTACCTCCTCAGACTGAGCAGATTCTTCAAATTTAGGGGTTTTCCTGAATATTCCGCTGAATATTCCTCCTTTTTCCTAATAACAACAAAAAATAATAATTAAACAAAACTTGCAATAGGAGGCTGTTTCAATGGAAACCATTCCTCCTTCATTCACCTGCAGATGATACAGATACAATATTCATATAAAGATCTATTAGGGTTTGCTGCACAGAATCGGGAAGACCAAATATTGGGAAAACTTTGCACACCTTTAAAATTCCCAAAAGCCCTTAATGAGTGATGTGAAGATAAAAACATTCCTAACAACAACTTTAACAATTAAATGAAGAGAATAGAAAACTATGGAGCCTTTAATGTTTGGTCTAGGATGAGGATATTAATTTCAAAAACAACTGCAGGTAAAAGTTGCTGATATGTGTGAAGTAAAACTTTCCTCCATCATACAGACCTTGTTATTCTCAGCCAGGTCTTCCCTGCTGGCTGACAGCTCTGTCTGAGCCTCTCTGTCCTGAAACAGAAAGTCAGCTTTACATCTGAAAGCTGCGGTAAAATGTGAAGATGTGTCTACATGCTGGGCAGCAGCTGCTTACTGGGGTCTCAGTCTTCTCTCCTTTGGGCGTCTTTTTGAGGAATCCACTAAACAAACCTCCTTTCTCCTATGGAAATGTCAAAATAAGGAGTTGAAGATAAACCGAGAGGAAATTTTGGAACATTTGGGGAAGTTTTTCCTCACTGACCGGTTTGTTGTCACATAAATTCTCATTGCTGGCAGAGACATCAGGATCAGAGCCTACATCCTGGAAACACACCAACCACTGTTAGACTTTTAGCCACAAGGAAGGAAGGAAGGAAGGAAGGAAGGAAGGAAGGAAGGAAGGAAGGAAGGAAGGAAGGAAGGAAGGAAGGAAGGAAGGAAGGAAGGAAGGAAGGAAGGAAGGAAGGAAGGAACGAAAAAAAGAAGAGAAAAAATAAATAAAGGTAATTTTTAATTCTTTACAAACAGAGCTTTAAGAAAAAATTATATTTAGTTTTCACTGTTGAAACAGCAGCAGTAAACTGCAGACCTGCTTTAAAAATCGAATGAATGATTAATTAGTCAGATTGGTGGTTTTTATCTGAGGGTTACCTCCTCAGGCTGAGCAGCTCCAGCCGCTTTAGGCGTCTTCTTAAACATTCCTCCAAATATTCTCCCTTTTTCCTGCAACATGTTTTTGAACAGCACAGAAAACAAAACCATAAATTACAAACATAGGAGTGTTTCACCATCACTGAATGCCTGGGCTGTGAGTTAATGTTGGTGGGAGAGATGGGAACGCTCTCTGGGAAAACCAATAGAACATTAGAACAACTATCAGGATTTACTGCTCACCTTACTGGGGTTTTCATTTGGATCTTCGCTGCTTGATAGGTCACCATCTTGTGTCTTTTTCTCCTGAAAAATAATAAGACCAATAAGAAAATTCATGTTGCAGCACAAGTTCAGAATCAGTTGCTTGATGCTTTTTTCCTGATAGATTATAAATTATGTTACTCTGTAACATCAGCCTATTAGTTTTGTTCTAATCAAATGTCTGTTCAGATCTAAAACCAGATATTAATAAAACATTTTTCTCCTATACAAGAAGAAGCTGGTGCTGCAACATCAAATAAACTATAAGCTTTACAAACTTTAGAAAAATTTAGAAGAACTTAAAATGCAGGCAGACTCCAGCAAAACACTTTACCATTACATTTGCTGTATAAGTTATGATTAACAAATCTTAATTATTTTTAATCCTCTGTTTTTCTCGTCACCTTTCTAGATCGTTTGTTTCTGTGTCACTGAACTGTCCTCCATAAACCTGCAATGGAGGAAGTCCACCCGAAGCGGCAAAACGAGTTTCTAATCTCAGCATCGTCATTCTGCACATCTAACTGAACTTTACTAAGTTTACTTCAATTTATTGCATATTGTTTTCAAACCATATCAGAAGTTTAAATTATAGCTAAACACATCCAATGAAACCCATAAAAGAGTCTCAAATGTTTGTTATATCCATAATTCATGATGCATTCACTGACCTTTCTGCTAGCAGCCTCAGACAGACTGTCGCTGCTCCCTGAAACTTCTTTGTGTGCCGTCAGATTCTCCTGCATCACAAATACAGGATTCATTTACAGATGTGCTGCTCAACATAACATATCCAAAATTATTAGCTAAACTGTTGTTATTCAGACTTATTGTTTGCACATACATGACAAATCATTTCAATGGTGACATATTATATCCTGCTCCTTTTTATGACGTCAATATATGGCAACTCCACTTGGACAAACTTTATTGCACCCGTTTCTTACAGATCAAATCTCTTTTTGATTCTCAACATACTATTACCCATGTTTGCCATTAGATTACTAAAGTAGTCGAAAGTAGAAAACAATCACTGTCAGTTTTGAAGGAAAGTGCTGCGCTCTAAGAAACTGAGCTCTGCCATTTACTAGGTGACATAAAAAGAATAAAAATAAGCTGAGACTTTTTTAAGGATCTGAGAGCAGAGGACTAATGGGAGATCTTAAAATGACTTCCGTAGAAATTTTAGACAAATGAAACAGTAATTATACTTGTAGAAATTAACCTTTTCTTTATTGACACGAATTTAAAAGTAGTGCAGCTTAATATGGCTAACTGACCAAGCTAAAAAATGCTAACCTGTTAGCTACAGCTAGCCACAGCGCCACCCAGTTACTTTGTTCACCATCAACGGATTTTTTTCAGTTTTGTTATCGATCAGATAAAACTTCATCGGTCATTAGAGACGTTAACAATATAAACGCTCCCGACTCGGCACACTGACGCTGCGGGATGTTATTATCGTTGTCCTGGCAACCACAATGTTTTACATCAAGTGGCAACGTTCAGCCAATCATGTAGAGTAACGTCAGTGGTATGTGCAAGGCCAGAGCAGATGTGGTATCTACACCGTCACAGATATATTTATAGTCCCCACACTGCAGAGCAATATTATATCGGGTAGCAGAAAATCAAGACATATTGCCAAATTGATTTATTCCCCCACCCCAGTCAGGATCCAGAAACAAATACGAAAAAGGAGGGACTTCTGTCTGAATAGACTGTGCACATAAATACTGCACTCGTTCGAGGGGAACGTTACCTTTGTAGTGGACTTTGGGGTCTTTCTTAGGAGTCCAAAAAAGCCGCCTTTCTCCTTAAGAGAAATGAGATGTGTTATTTTTTTCCAGTTACCTACAAACATATCCTCCTCAGGCAACATGAGTTCAGGCATGTTTCTGCTCTGTGACTCATGCCGTTTGATCTGTCAGATCTGCCATAAAGACTAACCTTGTTCTCTGACAGGCTGTCGTTGCTGGCAGAGAGCTCGCCATTCAAAGGTTCTTCGCCCTGAACCGTTAAAAAATGTTATGGAACCGGTTTACACCTGAGAGAACATAGCTGACACCATGTAGGAAAAAAGGCTGAGGAATTTACTGAAACATCTCAACATGTACGGCTGGAACAAGTCAGCACCAAATTTCTACAAACAAAACTGATTATTTTTACCTAGTTAGGTTTTAATGTCAAGTTATTTTCTGTCCGACTATAAGTCAGACAGAAAGTAGTGTGTGTTGTAAAACAAGCAAATATTGACGTTTCTGGATCGTCTTTAAACACATCACAACAATCAGAAAAACAATGACTTGAGAAAATCTTTCCACATTTTAGATTGAAAATAAATAAATAAATATCTTACTTCTTCCAACTGCGACCCTTCAGATGGTTTTGGAGATCTTCTAAACATCCCACTTAACACATTTCCCTTTTCCTGATTAAAACACATATTCCATCAGATTTGCTAGATCTAAAATTTATTTAACAAACATAGCAGGTAAACACAGGTGTATATGTGATAAATCAAAGCAGATTTATTTCTAACCTAACAGCTTCCTTATACATAAAACTGATATGGGTCAAGTATTTTTTTTTCCTCTACCAAAAAACAAAAAACAAACTTCAGCCTCTTGGTAACATTACAAAAAATATATATATATATAAATATATTTTTGTCACTTCACAAAAAGTAATTTCTGTATAAGCAGGCAATTCACAGAGTTTTATAACCGATAAGTTATAACATATCTATTACTATAAATAATCGAATTGTTAAGTAGAATAATTTGGGTTTTTTATTAGCTTTAAATGGAATTAACTGCATTTTCTGACTAAACAATTTTCAGTTTTGATAGAAATCCCTGAAATAAGACAATCCAACAGAATTATAATTTATTGAGATGCATCTGCAGATCCCTGTGAAACTGTTCAATGGGATCTATTTTCTCTTACTTTGACGTTTTCAGACAGATTCTCACTGCTGGCTGATAAGTCAGACTGCTGAACTTCGTTTTCCTGAAACACAAGCAGATTAAATGATCAAAAACAAAATCACTTCATTGACTGATGACTTAGCAAACAAATCAAACAAACAAAACATCAAAACGTTCAAACTTGATCCAGACATGAACAAATCTAAGCTTGTTGGAAAACATTAAGAAAAATTATTCATAAAACTCATTTAAAGGCTTATCTTAAGATTTGAAACAAGAATGATCGATTCTTTAATCTCTAACTTTGTTGTTACCCACATCATTCTAAGTAGGCTTTAAAAATGGAAGTTATTTTATACTGATTTGCACATAGATGCAAGCTTTACTTTATACTATTACTTATATTTTATATTTTTTTTCCTTTAAGCTTAAAGAAACAAACTAGTCAAAAAATAAAAAAACAAACAACTCTTTAAAATAAACTCTGAGCTCTAATTTAACCTATTATCCTCATGTAGTTTTACATGCTTACTTTAATATTACATCAATTTAAATCAGGTCTGAAACAATTAATCGGATTAATCCATTATCGAAATAATGGTAAACTAATTTAGTAATCAAATAATCATTAACTGGAGTATAGAGACTGTAAAATATGCGTTTAGCTGACAGAGCAGTAATTCTAGGAAAACTGTAAAAAAATATATATAAACATTTTGCATTTAGATAAAAAAAAGACGCTTTTGTCTTTCAGTATGCTCCATCCAGAACTGCTCAAGTGGGAAAGTTTTAGTTTCACCTGGTTTAATTTAGTAAAAAACATTCTTTAAGTGACCTTTTTTATCAGGTTATCAATAGGATTTATCGAAAAAAAAAAAATCGACAGATTAGTTAGTAAGCTCTAAATTTAATTATAAGAAGAAAAAAAAACATACTGGTAAAAGCTCTCATGGTTTCATCGCTCTATAAAATTACCTGCTCTTGTTTCCCTTCTCCAGTTATCTTTGGTGATTTGCGGAGGATCTCGTTGAAAAACCCTTTGTCCTGTTGATAGTGTGGTGTAATTAATTAAAGACCATTAGTGGATTTAATGCTGATCATAGTTCAGGGTTAATCAAAGCTTACCTTTGTCTCAGTCAGATTGTCATTACTGCCTGAAAGATCCCCGGATAGAGACCGTTGGTCCTGAGACACCGTGAACAAGTTTAGTTTGATCATCAAACTACTTCAGCTAAACTATAAGGCTCCATTAAACTGTTTGGCAAACCTGCTGCTAATAAACGAGGCTTTAACTGTAGTAAGAATTCCTACCTGATCGGTTTCAGCTGGCTTTGGGGATTTCCTGAATATCCCGCTGAAAATTCCTCCTTTTTCCTAAATTATCACAGGTGCAAAAATTTAGCAACATCAGGTATAATTTTAGTTCAATTTGGATCAAAGTGGTTTTTAAATCTGTTGCTGATCTGTGAAAGGCCGTCTACAGGTAATAATGAAAGATTTGTCTGCTGTAAATGCAGATTATCTGCCAGAATAATCTGCTCACCTTGTTGTCAGACAGACTGTCGCTGCTTGCAGACAGCTCCCCGCTATTACTCAGATTCTCCTAAAAATATAAAATGATGGACAAGGACTACACTTAAATATATATTTCCCTTTTTTTTTTTTTTTTTTTTTTTTAGTTTCTTTTCATTCGCCCAGAAGATTTAAAAGCAATAACTCACCTGAATGGATGACTCATCGCCCGCTTTGCTAGACTTCTTCAAGATGCCAGAAAAGAATCCACCTTTTTCCTACAATGAAATAGAATTTTGTAAAATATCATGAAAACAGGAACCTGTGATGCAACATCTAACAACACAATGAGATACTGACTGAGATCAGCACCCATTCTAGCAGCTCAATACACCTAGTGTGGGAATCACAGGCGGTTAGTGATAAAACAAACAAGCTAAATATGGAACTTGACAATACTGAGCCAGTTCTTAGTTAAAAAGAATGAGTTCAAAGTTCAGTTCACACAGACGAAAATGAACTGGTATACGTTCATAGTTCACTTTTTCAAAAATGAACAAAGTTCACAATCCTACAAATGAACTACCGTAATTTTCGGACTATAAGCCGCACCTGAATATAAGCCGCAGAAGCTAAATTGCATGATTTGTACATATACAAGCCGCACCGGACTATAAGCCGCAGGTTTTTTATGTTTACACACAAACTGTCTTGCGCTCGCAATGTCCGTCTTTCTCGCTGTCGTTCTTGTGTGTTGAAGCAAATGTGACGTCAACATGGTGGATGGTAAAATCCATAGATTTAGGTATTACCCTAGTGGCCGTTAGCTGTGAACGTCCATAGATAAGCCACATTGCCATGCGGCTTATAGTCTGAAAATTACGGTAGTTAAAGTTCATTTGGTCCTACAATCCTACAACAGAACCTCATATTTCACCATTTAAATGTATGATCATAATATATAGAAAGAAATGAAAAATACTCGATGCAGTCCAGGTAGGCCAGATGTGCAGTGAAGCTTTTATTTAGCCAAATCACACACTGCTTCTAATATTTGGCTCCTCCTCTTCTTCATTATATCAATAAGTGTGTGTGGTCCCTTTGCATCAAGTTTAAAACATAAAAGCTTAAACTTAAACAAAATGAGCTCCAATTCCAATGTTTATATAAATCAAATTAACTTAGTCATATTTCGGTTCTTTCAGGTGAATTTCACTACTTTATTTTTTTACTGTCAGCTGAAAACATTTGTGTAAGTTTCTCTTTCATTTAGCATTTATTGTTATACATCCTGGGTTGTCCTTAAAGAACAGTACCGCATCTGTGCATACATGAGCATCCTGGGCTTGCTGTAAACCAGCAAAGCTCTATAATGTTTTTAAACATATAAACTTACACGGTTTGGTTCAGAGGTTTTCTCTTCATCTTCTTCTTCTGCTTCTTTCTCCACATCCTCTGACTCCATGTCAGCTTTACTGTCCTGCAACCACATGACAAGCCAGACAAGATGATAGGAAACAGAAACATTTAGGAATAATGAAGGTTCCTACATGGTTTGGTTAAAATTCTATTTATACACTTAAAGTTTAAACATCAAATTTGACCAAATTTGAAAATTTTTGCAGCTAAAAAAAATGTCCCTTTCCTCACTATATTAGAAGAACCGTCACTTCTAAATATAAGGCCTCAGCATTTATTACGCCCTTCTCTCTATTTCCAAAGTGACTTTTCAATATTCTTGTTTAAAAATGTGAAAATAAAAGGAAGACAATAGATTTCAAGAGGTATAAAAAAAAGACATTACAACTCTGAGGAGTGTAATACAGAACTAAGACTTTCTGTTTTTAAGGTTGAACATCGGCCCATTTCTCCTGTAGCTTTTACTTTTTAATTTATTTATAGATGTTTAGAGTTTCTTCAGTAATGCATACAATGCATAAGACTTCATGCTTTTCTATTTCTTTTTCCAAGACTAAAGGAAAAAAAAAGTTTTGTTTTTTGCTTCTCTTCCTCTCTCTGAAGACAGGTGGATAGGGGATGGGGAAGAGTAGAGCTTTTTCCTAACATTTTAATAGTGCTTTTAAAAAAGGCATTAAAATGATTATGCATTTATTTACACCTTAACCTGAATAGCCCTAGATGCAAAGGTGTTTTTGTTAACCTTACAGGTGCCAGGCTGTTTTTGAATCATCAGGGAACCAATGGAGAGAGGGTCACTTTTTTGTTTTCATAGGGATGCGGCTGTTCCAACTGTTGCATTTCCAAATTCTCCTGAGTGGTGCACGACTTTACACTAGTGGATAAAGTGAATGTGATTGGTCGTTTATCAAGAGGGCGGGATTGTTGTGGTGGAAGGTTCGCAAGCAAGTTTAGTTGTGGCCGGTTTGTTGGAAGCATCTTGCTAACCAGTTAGCAACTTAGTGCTAGTAGGTTCCCAATGGGAAATTCCTATTGGGACCAAGTAGCACTAAATTGGTGACTTAGAAACACTGTCAAGGAACGCTATGGACAGAGGAAACATGCAAGAGGAGGAGAGTTTTGTGTCAGAGGTCGTGGATGAGTCTCCTCTGTCATAATTTTTTTATTTAGAGGAGGAAAGCGGGGATGAAGATGTTGTGGAAGAGGACGCCAGGGCGGCAGAAGCTTGGTTTGGTGTATAAGGCTTACAGCCGTACATGTTTGAGCCCTTGCCTCGCAACACTGCCAGTTCTGTTAGCTCTACGCCTGCTGAAGACACAGACGTTCATCCCCGTGAACACTGGGACGGAACCCAATGGGAAAGGAAATGATTCTTATTTCAACCGTTGCGTATATTAGCTGCGACATATGAATCAAGATGCTATGACCGAAAAAATTAGATTGACAGATGACCGTTGATATATGATTGGCTGAATTTAGGTGTACAGGCTGACGTATAACTAACTGGCCTGCGTAAGAAAAAAAAAAAAAAAAACAGATTTTGAGACAGGATTTTTTTTAAATAGACATTTTCTAACTTTTGGAACAATATCGACTGATAAAGAGTAAATTTATATACATGTTTAAGCCAGAATGATTTGACATTTAATTCAACTTCCCTACAACTTTAACAACTATTTTTCTATTGGTTCTTTAATAATAGGCTTCACTCATTTTCATTTTTAAAATGTTGTTATTATGATTAGGTACTATGCTGAATTTCTTTTGGTGCCTCCCTGGGACTTAATGCCAAAGGTACAGAGTGTAACTCGTTACATTGAATTGGGCTCTTATAGACTGACTCAAAACTGGAGTTTTATTTTCTTAGTTAAACTTCTATACATTAAAATTATGGAATAATGCATAAAAATACTACTCATGTTTTTGTTACATATTTTTATAGCATTTTTGTCCACCTAAAGCACTTAATATATGTCTTAAAATCCATGAGTAAAGTTTGGTATTCATCAGCAATTTTCCTACAAAGTTTCTCAGTACTTACAATTTTTAAAATGAATAATTCATTTGTACAGAAGAAACACTTGGAATTATGACCTTATGCATATTTGTAATGAGATCAGCAGGACTGTTTCACTGTTAACATTTTCTCCAAGTGTGATTAAATGATCAGTTTTTAAATGCAGACCAAAGATTCCTGCATCATTTAAAAAAATGTGAAATCTCTCATAAATCCAGTGAATGAGCTGTACTAATCATTCCAGGCTTCCAGGAATCACTGGTTTGGAGCCATGTTTTAGTGTTTCTTTAAATGTTGCAGATGCGCAGCTGCATTTAGATATATCTATAAGAACAAAATCAAACAAATACAAACAATGGCTGCATGTCATGTCAGTGAATTATGTAATTTTTAAGAAAAGCCAGAGAGTTCATGTCACCTTCAGAGCAGGAGAGGAGGATCGCTCTTTGGGCGTCTTTCGAAACATACCAGAGAGTATGCCTCCTTTGTCCTGAAAACACAGAATATAAAGGTTTAACCATGCATTAGGATCATGACTAATATGCCCTTCATTGTTTATATTTAATGTATGTTCAGAAAATAATGTGTTAAAGTCAGTATTTTTACCTCCCCAACAGAAGAAGGGGAGCCTGTGGCTGTGTTCGAACGTCCACCTTAACCCCTAAATCTCTCAATCACTATATAAAGTGAGGACTATATAGTGGACTTTATAGTGAACTCAGTTAACTGACTGTTCTACTTTTTGCTCCCTGTTGGTCAGGTAACTCCGCCTCCCCGCACAGTGCCTGCTCCATCTTTGTTATTTGTCGCCGCTGTCGGGTAGCCATAGGCGACAGCGGGCCATAGTGACCGCAAATCCCATGACGCTTTGTGAGGAGAGGTCCTCGCAAAGCATTCTGGGATATATCTGCTAGTCTAGTGACCATGGATGATCACTACTTTTCAAGGTGCATTGTGGGAAACTTCGAGTCCACTACTTTTTCATCCACTAGATGTTTGGACACTCATCTAAAACTGTGTAACCACTATATAGGGCCCGGTATAGCGAACCCAGTTAACTGAGTTCAATATAAAGTGCACTATATTATACATTAAAAGGGATATAGGGTCCTATATAGTGGTTAAGACGGACATTAGGACACAACCTGTAAGTTTTTCCAGCCACTTGTTTATAATAAGTTTAATTTCTCCCCCATTTCTGTTAGTTCCAAGTTATGATCTAAATAAAAAAGCACAAGCTGAACTGATCTGTGAGACATTGTTGAAGTATACCTGTTTATGTTCTGCATTGTGTTGCTCCTTGTTTTTCTTCCCCAGTTGTTCCTTCTGTGAACTGGGATCAGGACTGGGCTCTCTGCTGGTCTGAGAAGAGTCAACACCACAGTCAGTGTTGTTGTTCCACTCCAACACTCACTGTGCAGCGATTTTCTAGATTGTTAATTTACACTTAAAAACAGGGGGAATTTCAAATTAGATTAAAATGGAAATAGAGGTTAATTTATTGACACATTAAATACATATATTAAGGCACCAATGTTTATAGGCAAATTATAAAAAACATACTGCCAAAAACAAAATGGATCCTTGGATCTGTGGATTTAAACTAAATGCTGCATTTATGCCAGGAAGGTGCTTTTGTGAGCAGGTCTCTGCTCCCTAAGGGGATTGGTTAAATTTAGAGAGTGAATTTCATTTCACTGTACTTGTGACAGTGTAATTACAATAAAACGCTGGAAAAATAAAATAAAATAAATGAGAAGAGGAGATACTGCGAGAGCAGCACAGCAGCCACCAAACCAAAGAAACTCTAAATCTGCCTTTTTTTATTTAGGGGATAAGTCTACTGGTCCTAAACAGTCAGAATTGTTTTAGTTCCAACTCGCTGAGGTATGCTCACAAAGAGCTTTTCTTTTCCACTGAAATTAGCGGGTTAACCTGGGTTTCTCAAACACGGGTCGACCCGCTAACTATCGGCATTTGGTTCCCTTCACATTTGCAAAAAAAAGCTGCATGTCTTGTGACATCATCACGCTGGGTTAGCGCTGATTATGTCACCAGTGCGCCTGAAATCAAGGAAGCGAACAATGGAGACCAACATGTAAGGAAGCAAGGGCGAAATAACCAGAGCTGTGCCATGTTTACTGAATTTAAACAGAATTTAGATCAGAAGCGAATGGCGCGGTGTGTTGATGTCCTTATGTTGTGTTCAATGGTGTCCCGTAATTCAGCGGGTCAGCTGGCGGTATTCCCACAGCATGCTGATCGGAGCCAAGGCTATTTTAATGCGGGTCGCCTGCTGAGTCGATTGACCTGATTGGACAGATGAGCTGTTCCCACGGCCACTAAAAGCCGATGGTTCCCGGGTTTAAACTGTTTTTTTTGAGTCAGTGTGAAAGGCTTTAAATGTTTGGAATATTTTTCTCAAAGAAATGCCGCTTTCTGTTTTGCCTGTTGGGTATTTGGGAAAAGTCTCAGATAAAATGCATTACTTAATGATGGAGTCAGTAATTGGAAAAAAAGACACTGAGGAAATTTCAGAAATGGAGAGAATGTATGTTAACAACAGTGAAACTGATCCTGCCTGGCCAGGCAGCTCTCTGGGTGCTCAGCACCTCTAAACCTCTGATCCTAGAATGGCTCCTGGTCAGGACCTGAACTGCAGGCCTGTCATTACTCCTTCAGACCTCCCTGCTAAACAAAGCCACATGTCACAAAGCGACTGATGACACAGACATGCATACCGGTTTGTTGCTGGGAACCTGTTTGATTGGGCCACCGTCTGATTTCTCCTCTGGATCAAGGTCGTCAGTCATGTAGCTCTGAGGAGAAAAAATACCAGAACATCAGGTTATTAACATTGTCTACAATCGTTTTTTGGTTGATATAGTAGTCCCAACTATTTAACTATTTAATCAGCAAGTTTAAAGAGATATTATATAAAAAGGTGGAGCAGAAAAGTTATTTTTGGTTGTTCATAACCAAGCCTATATAATTAAAATATTCAAATTGGATCAAATTCAGTTTATTTAAACAGGAAGTCATCATGATGTGTCATCCTAAGGCACTTTACAGGGTTAATTTAATCATATTATAAGGTTTATATCCAAGCAGATTGCTCCAATCACTGACTTGCAGAATTCACTCCTCATGTCTGAGCCGTGAGAAAGCATTCTGCCACGACCGATAACCGGACAGTTTTTCCAACATATCCTGAAACGGCTGACTCAGCAACTGCATGTCTGATCTCACTGCTACTGTATGATGCAGTCATGTACACAGAGACGCACCCACAGCTGTTGGTCATGGGAAACCGGTTCCAGGCATCAAACAATGACGTTTCCAATAACAAAAAGCTTGATGTTACAACACTGTCAAAAAGGATCTAAACCGTATCTATTGTCTTTATATTTCATTTCCAAAAACAACTTAGAACCATATCATTCTTTTTCCAGGTTATGTACAAGAAAAGGTGATTAATTCCCTAAAGTTAAAAATAACATAATATAAATAGGAGGAAAATCATTTAAATTCTGAAGACAAAGTCCACTAAAGAAAAGCAGAAATAGTTTGAATGGCAGGAAAGGCAAACATCAGTCCCTTTCAGTGGCAGACGGTGTAACTATATGTTCCTAGGCCTTCAGTGGTTCTTTACTTCTCAACCCCTTGACATCTGAATTTTTATACACCTATGTATGAGTGTTAGCCTGGTGGTTAGAGCAGTTCGCTTGTGCTCTGAGAAGGTTGCAAGTACCCAGTTTGATCCCCACAGCCTCCACTCTAGTTTCCTGAGCAAAACCCTTAACCCCACACTGCTCCCTGGGCGCCACACAAAGGCAGCCCACTGCTTCCCAAGGGGATGAGTCAAAATGCAGAGAACGAATTTCCCCATTTTTGGGACATTAAAGGCATTTACTTTTTATATTTGCATCTTTGGAACGACGGGTGTCAAAGGGTTAATATCACCACTTCCACATTTCAATAAAAGAAACCACCAATAGTAATCAAACATTGAATGTAACAAGCGCAGGTATAACTGAGACAAAGATAAGTGTGAGGATGAACACAGAGATTAATTAGGAAAGAAGTCCAAAGGTGATCCTCTACTTTATAACCAAAGCACATTTACATCATCAGTAGCCGTTCAGATTCAATACGAATCTAATTACCCAATAAAACAGAGCATAAAGCAAGAAAATAAAATATAATCGCACTCCCCAGAGATGCTGATGATTTTGAAACAAAATCCATCCTGTCTTTGTGCAGGAAGTCTTAGTATCTTCTTTTACTATCAGTCACTGAGGACAGACAAAATGCAAATTGTTGCTCGCTTAACTTTAAACTGTAAACATTTTGCTCTAAAGGACCAATCAGAGGACAGAAAATGCTGAGGTAAGGACGGGCCCGCTAGACGGCCCTGAGGGGTAAATCTGAAATCTGATTGGTTGAAAGAACCGTTCCTGACTAATATTGTTACGGTAACATCAGCTGGCACTGCTGATGCTGAAGGCCATGGACAGATTGGATTGAGATTAGGGCTGCAACTAACGATTATTTTAAAAATCGATGAATCGGCCGATTATTTTTTCGAATAATCGATGAATCGGACAAAAAATATTTTTTATATTAACCTCTTTATTCCAAAATAAACATTTTAGACAGAACAAAAAAGCACACAAGTACAGGTTGCTCATTAACTGTCCTGGTGCAATATGAAAAATAAATGTTTGTGTTAAAACTACGCAAACTTACATGAGAAATGTAGCTGTACATCCACAAAATATAGGCTACTTTGTTTCGTAAAGTGCAAAAAAAGACATTTTTGTTTTTAAAAGCCCCTAAGGCGTTCAAACAATAGGCCCTTCCCATTTCCACAAATGAGTTTTTTTTAGACTAGAAGAGTTCTGCCTTTTAAGATAGGAAAGTATAACAGTTAAAGTTGCTACTTGAGAAAATACTTAACCATAGAGATAAAAATGATTGATTCAAATTATAAATTGTATTTAGAATAAAAATGAGAGAACTAGGGGTGCTAAAAAACACATCCTCCAAAGACAGATATTTACATGGGAATGTGGCATATAATTAATTGACATATTACTGATCTTGCTTGATTTTATTCTGCTTTACTTCCATAAATTGCAGGATCTTCTTTACTTTATCTTTGCCAGAAGATTTAAACTTTAAAAGCCTTGCCCTCATAATTTGCGAGTTAATTTATTTATAAAGTAAATGTAAACGCTGCTTAAGCTAATTCAAATGAAATAAAAGTAAAATAAGTAGCCAACCTTATCACTGTCTGTAACCTACTAACACGGTAAGGAAAGCATCAGATGAGCTACCTGAGAAACTAACGTTACGTTTCCCCACTTTAAAATGAAACAAACATGGTGGTTCAGTGCCATGTTAATTTGTTTTGACAAAAGTTGCATGTTACGACTTTTTTCACTTTACAAAGCACAGGCTATTTTGATTATTGTGATCAATTTGCGCCGTCAATCCCGGCGCGTGTGCGCTTCATTTGCAGTCTGGACGCTGAGGGTAAACATCCTGCGGCTCTGACTGCAGCGCTGAGAGGGACTCCTGCGAGAGCGGGAGAACGGGGTTGGGATGGGGGAGGCGCCCCACGGCAGAGTAGGAACGATACATGCTTTCACGTAAGAGTCTCTAAAAGCCGCCAGTGACACCGTAAAAAGTCACCAGATTTGTCGCTTTTTTGAAAAATAGTCGGTGGAGGGGTCTGAAAAGTCGCTGAGTTGGCAACACTGCAACAGCGGCGCTGACTCGCTCTGCCGTATTTTTTTTTCTTCCCCCGTTTCAGTCAAGTGGATGTGATGACGGCGGCGGCGGATGACGCATTAATCCTGCGACACAACTAATCGATGATGAAATTCGTTGCCAACGCTTTTAAAAGTCGATTTTTATCGATTTTATCGATTCGTTGTTGCAGCCCTGATTGAGATAGCAACATATTAAGGCTGAAATCTGATTGGATAAAAAATATAGTAACCCCATAAATTTAACACAAGCAGCACAGCCAAGAGAAATGCTACAAAATTAAGAGAACGGATTGTTTGGAATAAATTATACAGTTTGAAAGAAGAACATTAAAGCTTTAGGTTGTGAATGTAGGTTAGTTTCTGATTGTAGGCCAGCAGAGACTCTAACCACCCAACACTGGTCTCTTTCACACATATGGGGCCACATTCCAATGCAGAAATGTCTTCAGACTATTTTATAATATTACAATTGGATTAACCAATATCCTCTATCCGTTTCTCAGACAGGAGAGCAGTGAGCTTTGCTTACAGTAAATGTTGGCAGTTTCTCTTTTTGGCTCCGTCGAAATATTCCAGTCAGACCAGCCTGAAGAGCGCACATAAAGACAGACATTATAAATGCTGCTTATAAAACCGTGTGGGAACATTTGGTTTGCTGCTGCAGGTAAATACCTTGAAATCTATTTCAACTGCTGGAACCTGTGGTTGGTCAGTTTCTTTGGAAGTCTGGGTGAAATAAGGCAGAAATGTACTATAAAAACAAACAGGGTGCATTTTGGGATTTGATTTGAGATTGTCTCTGTGATGTAAGTCTGTACTTTTTTGACCTCGCCGTGTCTGGGTGCTGCTTTTGGTTCCTGTATAAACAAGGAGGATAAATAAAAAAATGCTAAATCATGTTTATTTAAAAAGGTAGCTATAAACACCATTGCTGTGATATTCTGAGGCTGCCCTTTGAGGAAATACCTTTTCTGCTCGTCTCGGCGGCGCAACAGGACCTTCAGATGGTTTTAGTTTAGGTTGTGGTTGCTGGATGTCACCATTCAGCTGATCAAGCAATAAATACACAGAAAAACAATCAGATACAGTAAAGCTTAATGTTAATCACTTTTCAAGATATATCTTTTTAAGCGGCTCATATAATTACATCGCAATTAAATGTACCATATCAAATGATATTACAGTGCCCTGTCTGGCGATGTGGCAATAAGAATTATTGTCTTGATACAAAAGAAAAGGGCCCAAAAGATTTTACTTTCAAAAGTGAAGCAGTATGGTTTTCGCCAGGGTGTTCTCCTTGATTTATGCATTTAAATAGCTTTATTATAAATCATACAGGGAGTATTACAGATTTTATGGACACCGTAATGTAAGCAGAACAGGAAAGGAAAAACAGGAATAAAAAGGAGAAAAGATGAATGAAAGAAGAGATAAAAAGGAAGAAAATGATAAAAAAATCTTCAGTCTGCTTCATCACCTGCAAAGAGATGTAAAAAGAACAGCACAACCAACAGATATAGTATAAAAGATACAATGAAGTAACACCTTGGTACTATCGCTGAAGTATGTAGTATTATTTAATCTGACATGTATACTGTGGTAGCTGAAGATAAGAATATGGGATTCCTGTATGAAAGTGAATCTCTAAGTACCCGAAGCCAAGCACCTGTTTGTGAAAGCACACTTGTGCATGTAAAGTTTAATCCAAAGGCAAAATGCTCAATAGTGGTTGTGAAATTCAAATTATTCTCTCTGATTTTATGATTATATTGAGGCTATAACGTCCGATAAATAAAAAAACACGATATGCCCATTTACTGTTCAGTTAGTTTCAGAATCAAGTTTATCGCCAAGTATGTTTGCACTTACAAGGAATTTGACTTGTTGAATGTGCAGACAAATTCAATATTTATTCAGAATACAGAATCTATAGCTATATACAATATAAAACATACAATATACAATATATAGTATATAGCTATAGACTTTAGGCTGTGCGTTAATGTAATGCAGGAGGCCTGGAGATGCTACGTTGGTGTAGCTTCTAGGTCCTGAACGGGGAGGGTTAGTGTAATGGGGGTTTCTGGGCCTTGTTGATAAGGCTGGTAGCAGATGGGAAGAAATTGTTCTTGTGGTGTGAGGTTTTGGTCCTGATGGACGGCAGCCTCCTCCCAGAGGGAAGTGATTGAAATTATTTGTGGCTGGGGTGCGAGGGATCAGCCACAATCTTGTATATATATTTGATGTCCAATATTTCATTATTGTCTTTTGAAAGGAGCGTGAATTAATATTAGGTAACTTTAGGAACATTTTCACTGTAAAAACCATTTACAAAAAAATGTCAATTTTTGTTTGAAAGAGTTTAAGGCCTCTAACTCAGGCGGTTGCTTCTGGTACCAATCAACCAGACCGTGATCAGTTAGCTTGAAAGGTCTGTTCCGATTCAATCAAAAGCTTTTATATTTAAATGACTTGTTGGTTTTAGAGTCCAGTTTTGCTTCAGCTTAAATATTTCATATATGTCCTCAAACTTTATTGTACCTCTTATACTATATCCATTAGTTGTGCTGTTCTTTTTACATCTCTTCGCAGGTGATGAAGCAGACTGAAGATGTTATCTGCCTTTAAATCTCCTCTTTCTTTCATCTTTTCTCCTTTTTCCTGTTTTTCCTTTCCTGTTCTGCTTACATTGCAGTGTCCATATAATCTTTAATAGTCCCTGCATGAATTATAATAAAGCTACTTACATGCATAAATCAAGCGGAACACTATGGCGATAGCCGTACTGCTCCACTTGTGTCTTATTGCCACACTGCTAGACAGGAGGCTGTTAAAAGAACATTTACACAAAAATGTTCTTTTTTTTTTAATAAGAGTTTAGGGCCTCTAATTCAGGTGGTTGCTTCTGGTACCAATCAACCAGACCGTGATCAGTTAGCTTGAAAGATCTGTTCTGATTCAACCAAAAGCTTTTTATAATTAAATGACTGGTTGGTTTTAGAGTCCGGTTTTGCTTCAGCTTAAATATGTAACATATGGCCTCATATTTTACCCCAGTCTGTGATATACTGCAGACCAAGAGATGTATGAATCTGAGCTCAATAGGTCTTGTAGCACTAAGCAACTCTAAACCAATGACATCTCTACCGCCATCCTTCACAGTTGGAAATTTGAAAGCTTTACAGTTTGCATCCAGACTCATTAGCTGCTGTGTTATTATTTTCTAAAGACTAAAGCAGCTCTTTTAATCTCACCTAGAGCCAAACCTAGTAAAAGTCAGCTATGATAGTTTCATAATGATACAACTCTTTGATGTTTCATTTATATTTCTCAACAAAAATCCCATTAATTTTCACTTTACTTCAGTGTTTATTATCCATTTATACTGTTTGGCATTTGTAGTATTTGAATTGGTAGATATCCCTATGTCTATATCTGTGGAGGGTGTCCCATTTTTTCACATAACTGCACATACGGAGAATTAAATAATTAAATAAGTCATTCATTATTCTAAACATTTATTTCAGTGAATACATCAACTTCTTCATGTGAAATAATTGTTGAAGTAATACCTTCATGTTTAATGCTGCAGTTTTTTTCATCCTGTACTGTGTTTGGGACAGCTCCTGCAGAGAATCAATCAGTTAAAGAACCTTAATTAACCTTATTCTACGTTCACACTGCAAACAGCAGAGGCAGCAGAAGCAGCTAGTTCACATGCAAAGTCAATGGAAGATGCGCATCAAGGTGCAGCAAAAGGTCCAGCAGCGCATCTGAGCAGCTGGAGCAGCGCCTCACAAGCTTCTGAGCATCTGAGCGTATGACATGCTTCAGACACAGCAGCTGCTGGAGTTGGAAACATTTTATTTTTGCTGCTTGGCGCGCCACATCAACCAATCAGAGAGGCTGATCAGGTTTGCTTTTATAATCCTGGTGCTTGCAGTTTGGATTATGTACGTGAAAAACTCCTTCCAGCCGCCGCGAACAGTAGCGGAAAACTGCGAAGAGGCGACTGGGCCAGAGGCTGCCATTGGACGGGATTCCCAGTGACAGATCAGCGCCAGTGTACATGGGTCTGACAGAGAAATAATATTTGAAGGCAGGATGGTAACCCTCATGAACCGTCTGCACAGATGAAGTTTTCAGGTGGACTTTCTCAATTAAAAACAAAATAAAACTAATTTTTACCCACTTATAACAGCATTTATAGCTGCCATCGTTACAGGCAGAGAAACGATATAGTTCCGCCCAACGCGCATCAGAACCACTTTTCAACCATGCAGCTAGAGCAGCAAAGATCGTTTTAAAACTAAACTTGTGCAAGCATAAAAAATTAAGTAGTATGCACGTTTTTGCTGCTTCTGCTACTTGCAGTGTGAACGTAGCATCAGGCTAAACGGCTTTAGGAGTTTAAAGAACTAGGATAAATCAGGAGTTACATTAGAGAGAAGCATGAACACACTGCTCTAACTAACAGTCCATAAAGGCAGAGACTGATGGGATACTCACGGCGTCTGAAGGGCGAGGAGGGATCAAAGGAACCGGCCTCACATCTTTCTCTGCCTCATTTCTTTTTACCTGTGAGTGAAGTTTCAACATCCTTGAATTTATTTTGGAGCCCATTTAGGTTCAGCCTAAAAGCACTCAAGTGAGCAAACACATAACTGGCCTAATAAAAACTTAAAGAGAGACTGGGGTTTATGACGCTACCTCAGTGGGCTTTGGAGGAGGTTTGGGCTGCAGAAAAAAAAAAAACAGGATTAAATGAGTTAGGAGGGATTAATAAGAGCAGTTTACACACATATGTACATATATGTGAAAAGTAGCATGACAAAAAAAGAGAGAAAAAATTAGCTGTTTTTTTTTTAAAGGCATACAGGAACATACAAGCCTCTGGGAATGCGGAACATCCCTAAACCTGTCTGTTTAGTTTGGGTTATTTTACTTTAGTCAGCTCCGATTCGTTAGTCTCAGCGTGAGGTGACCCTTAGAGGGAGCAGTACTGAGGGGAGCTTGCTTTATTGTGTGAGAATGAATCCCTGCTCCGATACAATAGAAGTTACCATTCGTCAACATGCTTTAGAATCCACCAAACAAATTAAAAAAAGTAAAAAATATATATTTTAAAGCTAGTAAAATAGTTTTCGTTTCTTTTAATAATATTTATGCACATATGATCGATGCTAATAAGTAGCAGAAGTAAAACATGTAAGAGAAGATTTTGTTCAATTTTCTTGAGTTAAAATTCCACAAAGATTAGAGATGCAATCTTTTGTTTGACAATAATAATTTAATTGTAATTATTATTCTACAAGCTTTGCCTTTTTCATTTACATAAATGATAAAAAAGGGATTCATTTAATGCAAATAGTTTTGGCTTTTTTGTGTATATTCTACTTTGTAGCATGTATTAGATGGAAATGTTTTTTTGCAAAAACAATCAAATTAAATTGGTTTTTTTTCTAAGAAAATTGATCACTTAGATTAACCCCATTGTTAAATATGAGCTGATGAATGAAAAAAAAAAACATCATCAGTAGCAGTTCCAAATTTAGGGCCACAATAATGTAACTGTAAAAATGTTTATTAAATCAAGTCATGCTGGAAAGTATTTCCACCCTGCCCAAAAATGACTTAAGAGAACCGGAAATGTCTTATAAATTATTTAAGTAAATTATTCTCACCGGTTTTGGCTTCTTTTTTATCACTGGCTTCATCATACAGGCCTCCATCTTTCCTGCAGAATGATACAAAAAGTTGATGAGGAAGCATGTGAGTTGTTATGATCTGTAAAAGGAGAATTGCTTCTCTGATCTAAAAAAAAAAAAAAAAAAAAAGTACCTGCTAATTTTAATTATTTCATTTCATCCTTCTGTCATCATTAAGTGATATAAACTCTGATGTCAGGCAAACCAGCTAAAGGTTTTGTGCGTCAACATGTGAACAGACCCAGTTTGAACTGCTAACTTAAATGAACTCAAAACCAAAACGATGCCTGATAGCTTCAGTCATAATAATCCAGTTAGCCTTTTAAGCCTCACTGATGTTCTTCCTCCTCTGGGATGTTTGTACCTGCTGTGGAAAAAGCCCATGAGAGAAGTTCCTTTCACCTTTAGTCATCTGATGAGGAAGATGCAGCAAAACAAACCAGCATGTGGCTGATGGCTTTGGAACGGCACACATCTAAATTTTTTAAAGAAGAAGGACACGGATCGATCCGATAACCATCAAAAACTATTACTCTTTCTTTTCCATGTGATTACGATAACACCGACGTCATAAGCTAACCATAAAAAAAGCAGCTCAGGCATCCAGAAGGAGCTGATCGGTGACAGACCCATTTAGAACCAAACATGTCATTATATCAGTATCTTTAATTTGGGTTTTATTGAAACACTTTTAACCAAAAAAAATAATTAAAAAAAGGCCCCAGAGGGAATTCAGCAGCATTTTCAGAATAAAGCTGCAAAGAATGGCTGTTTGAATCATTATTAAAAACTAGATAAATTAAAATGAAGCCTAAGTGGAAGTTCAACGGAATAAACTGATTACTCCAACACCAGCTTTGAACCACACCTCCCTGAAAGCCAATCAGCATCCAGGGTTCATCTTAAAATGTTTCCAAAACTCGGTCTGCTACCTACAGTAAAAGCGCAGACAGTGGTCGCGCTACGCTGGACTTCGATTCAGATGACCCCGTTTCAACCCACCTCCAGCTCCTCCTCCACCATCGTAGCTAAAGCTTCATTAAAGTTTTATTCCTCCCGGAATCGTACTGCGTTTCCTGTCTCATTTCAACTACCCTGAAGACCGCCATGATAAGCCTGGTTCTGGTTTATTCCCAACAGGGAGGTTTTTCTCTCCACTGTCGCTTCATGCTTGCTCATCATGGACAGGTTCTGTCATCCTGTGTTATCCAAGCTGGACTTCCATCTTCCAGGTCCCCGAATGAAGCTCTAGCATCAGCTCATGCAGTCCACTGGATCTCCCCATAAAGCTCAGCAGACTGTCTCGCTAACCAGCAGTCTACAGACTGACCAACTCAATCTATCTGAATTGGCACTATATAAATAAACTGAGTTGAATTGAATTGAATATCTCCACTCCACCACCAGTTTCAGGCCTGGGGCCCTATTCTTTACTCCTGTTCATGCATATCAAACAAAATTCAGCGTTAAAGTTTCCTGCCGAGGTCTGAGCGCCAAAAACTAAAGTAATTGTATCAATACATTTTTTCTAATTGTTTTTTTCTTTCCGTGAGTTTTTTTCAGATTGAAATAGTGTTAAAGTTGAATACTAAAAACTATTTAAAAAAATTTACAGGGAAAAAAAAAAAAACTTTCCAGGTACCTACATATTTTCCAAATTCTAAAATTCTTAACTTTTCCATTCAAGGGATTTTTAAGCATTGAGTCTTTTGTCAGGCGTTCTAAAAAACAACTAATCAAATCAACGATGAATTTAGGGCAGACGTGGATTTAATCTATGAAAGAAGGATGAAAAAAAAAAGGACAGACAAGAATAACACATTTAGAGTTTCCAAGCATGACAACCATGTGAAAGACCTCTCTTAAAAAAATCTAGCATCTGATCTCTGTTCTTTAGCTGATAGATTTGGATGCTTTTGTAGTTTTATTCTGAAACCTCGCCAAAAGTGGAGAGTCTCTGCTTTCAAAGTCCGATTGGATTTCAAATGCAATTCATTCTCCAGCCCTGGTTCTTAATGTACTCGATACTAAGAAGAATAAAGTAAGTCCCAAACGCTCTCATTCCAGCCCTTAAGGTGGAGGTAATACACGGTTTGTCGCCACACAGGAGGGAAGGGAGAGTTGGAGCTTAATTGCACAAAGGGTTGGGGAATTACAGGGTATATTCTGCTTCTCGGCCATAGAAAGCTGGAGAGAGGCATCAGCACCCCTCATGACCCCAGTTTGGATAAGGCGTGACAGAAAATGGATGAATGGATGGTTGGGTAACATATGAAGATTTTTAAAATCTATAAATGATTACAAAAGTGAAATGAAACCAAACCGTTTATATCGACATGCTCTACATGGTATTAAAGTCATACCAGTTCTCTATCTAACCTCCCTCCCTATTATCATATATTTAGATATGCACCTGCAGGTTATTTTTCAGCCATTTCTCATTTATGTCTGCAGCTGTTTAGTCATAAATGACCCCGTGTAACATTTATGACAAAGCTTTCATTCAAAGGTGGGGTTTTTTATGATTACTTTTTGGAAAAGAAAAAAGTCCAAATATATATCAAAAATAAATATCAAGATAATATTTTTGGTCCATATGTGCTCTCTTCATCCTCTGACATGGGAGCTGGCTCAGAGCTGCCTGGCTGTGTGTTTCCTGGACGGGGCCGCCTTTTACAGCTGTTTTTTTGTATCTCTTCTGTCTCCTTGAACCCCAGTCGGCCTCAGCAGATGGCCGCTCACACTGAGCCTGGTTCTGCTGGAGGTTTCTTCCTGTTAAAAGGGAGTTTTTCCTCTCCACTGTCGCTACAAGCATGCTTAGTGTGAGGGATTGTATTTGAGTCAATGAGTCGATGCAATCAGCTGGTTTTCCTTAGATAGAAAACTTTGTATCAATTTGACTGGATGATCTGGTTGAACTGTAAAGTGCCTTGAGATGACAGGCGTTGTGAATTTTGGCGCTATATAAATAAACTGAATTGAATTGAATGTGTTGTGAATGTGTGCTATATAAATGAACTGCATTGAACTAAATGATCAATATCTTCTGATTGACATATAGGGCACATGCTTCTTTTTTTATCAATACATTTCGTTTTGATAGCTGGGAAAAATGTCACAATATATGGTGATATTACAATATTGAGATAGTATTGAATTATGACTCTAGTTTCGTGACACGTATCGTATAACACTCACGCCAATACTCACCCCTGCTATCTATCTAATGCCAAATTAAACCTTCTGAGGGTGCAGCACATGTTGGCTTTGCTAAAATTTTCAGCATCTTTCTACACAGAGGCACGTAGCACTAGTGAAAATCTGAGCCCAGATCAGATCATCTGTATAACGGTAAAGGTCTGGATCTGCTCTGTGTCCAGCAGTCTGCACAGGTACCAGATGTCATCCTGAGGAAAGTGGTCATTCTCATGCAGGTCATTTTTGGGAATAAGTCAAATATATGCATGGAATTGTAACAAAAGATGCACGTGTTTTTTTTTCTGTCTTTATGGGCTGAATTTATGGGACGACTCCTTTGCTTCTTTACCTGCTTCTTTGCCATTTTTCTAATCCTCTCAACAAAGTGATAGTCAATCAAACTTAGAATGACGCCCATTTGCAAAAAAAGACTGAACCGTGACAACATCCACATAGAAAATGAGAAAGTATAGGCTTCCATAATGTTGGTAAAACAGTAATTGATTAAATAACTATATACATTACTGGCTTTTAATGCAGGTTGGTAAAAAAAAAGCATAAACAGGCAGATAGAAAAACTGATTGGTGTGACGCCGACTGAGCAGATAAGGAAACAAGCTGTTAGCCTGGTCCGGAGCAGGATAGCTGCACAGAATAAATCACCATGGTAACCTTCCACTGCTCTTGGGAAACGGTTGTAATCGTTCTCATGCATGGGTTTTGTGGTGTTGAATTATCCTGAGGGATGTTTGCATTGTTAATTGAAAATCAGGGAGACCTCAGGATGAAGCTAATAAAAACATAAACAGTCAAAGCTTAATGCTGGGAAATCTGGAAAATCCCAGCTTACTCCTTTATCTTGGTTTTATGAAATAGGTCTCTGGAGATAGCATAGCATCCCAGATTATTATTTGGATAGTTTGCCTCTTCGGTCCTCCTCCAGACTTCCAAATATACCTTTAACTTTGGACCTGTGGTCTTTTCTCCTTAACCTAGAGGGACATTACTGACATGGTCTCTAGTTCAGGACAGGATTTGTTGTCCAAAGAGACTCTTTATTCAGCTTTTTAGATGGTTAACGGCTTGATTTTGGACAACAAACCTCTAAACCAGGGGTCATCAATTAAAAATCAGCGGGGTCCGAATAAAGAAAATCAACAAGTAAAGGTTCGGAGACATTTTTAATTATAATTTGTTACTTCAAACAGAATTTAATACTGAAATAAAATGAGGTTTTTATGCATTTATGTAATACATTGCTTTTTTAAATAAAAAGCATAGAAAATGTTTCCATTTCCATTTTAAAATCTAAAGCATTTTTTGAAGTAGAGAACAACAATTGTTAAGTTTGGTATAAAGACAATTTCCTGATTCAAATATTTTATAAAACACCTGAACTGACCATTTGTTTATTTTTTTTCCTTTCTTTTTTCTGTCTTAATGAGAGCAGTGGGATTTAAACCTGCAAGGCTTTAAACCTGGGTTTGAATAGATACAAAGCCATTCAAGTCATATTTTTCTTTTTTAATTTTTACCATACTGATGATTAAAAGATTAAGCTTATAGAACTTTTAAATAGATAACACACTGTTTTTTTCGGCTTGACCTAAGGTTTCCAGGCTGCAAACATTTAACATTTAACCTCTGCCTTGTTTCGTTGTTTTTTTATGGAGCTTAGGCTGAAGTAGGGCTGGACGATATAGAAAAAAAGCTTATCGATAAAAAAAAATGCAGATTGATCGATATCGATAACTATTGAAAAGATTTTAAACCATATTTTATGTGCAGCTCTGCCTGGACTTTTTATAATACTGCTAAATGATTTAATTTTAATAAAAAACACAAACACAGACTTCCAATTAAATATTTACTTAACCAACTTTTTTAACCTTAACAGAATTGTTTTAAAGAAAAATAACTTAAGAGACCTGAGTTATGTTATTAAATACTGACAAAGAATACTGCTGGCACCTCGTTATGGTTCAGCTTAGTTTCCTGCTTTAACCTGAGTTATTACTTTGAAGTTTCTGGCCCCTCAGCATTTTTCTCTCAATTGTTAGAACTACTTGGGAAACTGCCCAGAACTGAAAATATATATATATATTTTCCCGAACTTCCTGAAGATTCCTCGGAGGAGAGCCACGCCGGGGCCTACACAGCTCGTACTCCTGCGGGTTGTGTTATCAGACTTGGTTTTCACTGGTTCCCTACACATTTTACAGATGACTGTGGTTTGTTTTTTGTCCAACTTGCCATGACCGAAATACTGCCAAACTGGCGAACTACAAAAACCCTTCTTTGGAACAATTTCCTCCGCCTCTCCTTGCTGCGACATCTTCATGTGCTCTGTGTTGTGGTTTGAGAGGGCGGCGCTTTGTGACGGCGTGCCTGGGTCCGCGATTGTGATTGGTTGGGAGGAAGTAGTGACTAGCATAAACCTACATGCTAGGCTACAATGAGAAGGAAGGAAAACTCTGTTTCTTTATCGAACTTTTATCGACCCTCTTTTTTTCTATTGCGCCACACGTCTATCGATCGATATATATCGTTATTGACCAGCCCTAGGCTGAAGTTCAACTGCATCCACCAGCGACACAGCCAATCAGCTTTGAACCACACCTCTATGAAAGCCAATCGGCATCCAAAGCTCATCTTAAAAGGCCCTTCAATCCACAACTTGTCTGCTGCTGGTTACGCTGTGTGACTTCATTCAGATGACCCTGTTTCAACCCACCTCCAGCCCCTCCTCCACCATCGTAGCTAAAACTTCATCAGGGTGTCATTCCTCCTGGACTCTTACTGTATTCTGCGTCTCATTTCAATCGGTCCAGCAGATGACCGCCATGTTGAGTCTGGTTCTACCACAGGTTTCCTTCCAATGGGGAATTTTTTCTCTCCACTGTCGCACCATGCTTGCTCACCATAGACAGGTTCTCTCAGCCTGTATTATCCAACTGGACTTCCATCTTCCAGGTCCCTGAGTGGAGCTCTAGTTTCAGCTCACGCCATCCACTGGATCTCCCCATAAAGCTCAGCATACCATCTCACTGACCAGTAGTCTACAGATGACTAATTTTATCTATCTCCACTCCACCACCAGTTTCAGGCCTGGGGGGGGGTTGGGGGGGGGGGGTCAGAGGTCTAAGTGCCAAGGACAAAGTGATTCTATCAATACATTTCTTCTAATTCTCTTCTCTCTGAAGATAAATTCTGCCTTCATCTGTAGTGGATTAGAGATATACAGTTAAGTTCATCAGTGGGCCAATTCAATTCAGTTTGTTTGAGGTAGATATTTAATGATGCTGAAAATAACAATCTGATTGTAAATTCATTTATGACACTTTATAATAATAAATAAGTGCTATAAAATATTTGCTTGCATTAATTATCTGTTTTTGTTTTTTTGTTTTTTGGTGCCCTATTGTGCCCCTGTATTGTATTGGGTCAGATGACGCCCCTGGTTTATGACGTATAAGGATAACAGGCTGCTGAGCAGAGGGAATACTTTGCACTATGCCTGCATGTTAACAGAAATCTATTTAATTGCTAATCTCAATAACATCATCTGTTTTTTTAGTATCATCTAAAACACAAATAAATAAATAAAGTGAATTAAAAACTTCAACAATGGAAAGGAGAGAAGAGGGAAGATTATCAGGGATGCTGACAAACGTTTCCACCACATTGTTTTGGAAAGAAAATATAAACGATCCAAAAACATTAAAGTTTATAATCCATCTAACAGGAACTGTCCTGCAAATAGTTGTTAAACTGGTGAAGTATCCCTATCTCTGCCATTTAAACCAACAACATTTAACCAGCTAAACAAGTCGCTATAAATTATCTAATACTGCTGTTGGGGATCCTGTCTCCACTGTGTTAGATCGAGCTTTGTAAATAACCGGTGGACTTTTTTAAATCCCCAAAAAGCAGACTGTCACTTCACTGACGCGCCGGAGTTTACAAACATTAACAGTTATAAAATGGAGGAAATGAGCAGTTAAATGAAGGCTGAACAGTTTAAACCTACCGGAGATCTCAGAGACTCTTCTCCTCCGACTTCAACAGTGATTGAGATTTAAGAGTTTAAAAAAAAAAAGTATCGATGTCTTATTCACAGTCAGCAGAATCCCAGGAGTTTTTAAACTTGGCCCCTCCCCGCTCCGCAGCCTCTGCCCTAACGGTGCGTTCAGGGGCGCCCCAAAAAGCACGCAAAAAACATATTCACTTTTTACTTATTTATTTATACATTTCTCTCCAGTGCTTTCATCTATTATTTATCCTGTATTTTTTAATTTATCAATTTTAGATTAAAAATTTTTTGGCTCAGTATTTATGTACGTTTTATTTCTCCTGTGCAGGAAAACAGTAGCAGAGCCAATAACTATTGCCTTGCAGAGAGAAAGTTTCAGATTAAAGGTAAAGCAAACATTAAACATACATGTAATGTAGCTAATATGATTTCGCTGACTATATTTAGTCACAAAAGAAGGAATTAACCTTCTGATAATTCTATCAATTCAGTTAGTATGAACATGTTCATCCTAAAATTGCCTGAATTATCCGACAGTACTAGGCCTAATTGGTCAGTCTTTCAGTGTTGCCCTGTTTTGAGATGGGTCTCGTTGAAGACAGAGGATGTACCTGTCACCCTGCAGCTATGCTTTGATAAGCAAATATAGATGCTAGTTGGATTGATGTTTTAGCACTCTGCAGAGAATCAGATATTTGACCAGACACAGTGCTAATCTTAAAAGGTTTATTTTGACTGGCAAGTTGAACGATCTGGTAGCAGGCTGGAAGAGCAGAAGATTGCTGTATGGGCTGGTAGCAGGCTGGAACAGCAGAAGATTGCTGTATGGGCTGGTAGCAGGCTGGAAGAGCAGAAGATTGCTGAACGGGCTGGTAGAAGGCTGGAAAGGCAGAAGATTGCTGAACAGGCTGGTAGCAGGTCGGAAATGCAGAAAATAGCTAAACAGGCCTGCAGCAGGCTGGAAGAGCAGAAGATTGGTGAATGGGTCTGTGGCAGGTTTATTAACATGGAAAATGACAGAACAGACTGATGAATGACTGAAAAGGCAAGTTGCAGGCTTGAACAGGCTGGTGACAAGCAGAGGATGTCCAGGTGGTGACCAGAGTCAGAAACCAATGAGATCCAGTGAGTGCAGAGTGAATATAGAGACACAGGAAGGCAAGCGGTGCACACAAACCCTGGAACTAACCTCAGGCAGAAGGCAGTGTAGCAGAGACTGAGAGAAAGAGTCAGGTATAAATCGGCATGTTAAGCAGGGAGAAATAAGGGTGATTAGAAGAGAGACGGGTGCATCTGCTCACTTTATTTAAAAGAACGGAGTAGAGGAGAGTGTCAGGCAGCAGGCCATCCCAGAAATACATCCAAAATAGAGGCATGCTGTGTGATACACATACAGAAGGACAATAAGATAAAAACACAGTTATTTTTTGTCCTTTATTTTGTTTATTCTAAAAAATCTGTTGAAGAATATTTTGTTCACTGCAATTTTAAGTCAATAAAAATATCTTATTAGCAAACAGGCTATATTCTTAAAGTTTTACTCCTTCAAATCTAAATAATTAACTCATTCATGTATATATATTGCATAAGCCTAGATGGCCATTCGTATGTCTGCTTGTAGTTCTCCTTCTATGAGAAAAATTCAAAGACTAAATAAAGGATTATTGCCTGCAATTTCCACCATTATGCTAAATGTTTTATTTATCTAATTACTTTTTTATGAATGCAATCAATTTATTCATTTTGAGAGTCAGGACAGACACTATGTAAACTTAACTATAATTGCTGAATGTGGATATTATGTATAAATATAAAAAGCAATCCACACCAAAGTCTCAATCAATACAGGATAGTAATTCAGCTCCCCATTCATCTCCATTTTTCATGTGCTCTACCTGTTAGTGTCATGATCTCATGTTTCCTAAGCTGTGTTTACCTCAATGTCAGGTAATCCACAGATTCTGACACCACCCAAAGGTGACTTTTCCACTGAAACAAAGCATCTTTAAACAAACCCATGCACGCCCTCAGGGCTTCTGACACAGAATGATCTCTGTGGAATCGCCTGTTGCATAAGGCAAACACTCCCTGATCAACAAAAAGAGCCCAATAAATACTTCCAGGTTCTCGGTTTCCTTCTGGATGAAAAGAAGACCTGACATCTTTTGTCTGCTCCTTGGTTTCTGGCAGTGAATTCACCTGAGAGAAGGGCGGGGTCAATCTGCAGCTACCTGTGTCTGTGTGTGACTCACAAGTTTCACAACAATCATGATGTTAGCATGTCAACAGATCTTAACCAGTGATGAGAGCTGATCTTAAAATAGAAAAAGGAGTAAAAGGAGCAGAAGTCCTGGAGTTCAAATGCTGGATAACCAGTCTGAGAGTGGAAAGTCACTGGATGCGTGTTCCCACTGAATATTACATGAGGAATTCTCAGCAGATCACATGGCCACTGGTGGAAGTCCTCTGAATAACATTCATTTCACAGCGACATTAAGAGATTCCTGCCTAAATATTGTAATTATTCCATAGGATTGTTAGATCTGTGCCAGGTTCCAATGTCTTCATGCACTGCTGGGTTTGACATAGCAGTAAAATTTGAAACCCGAATATCTTGTTTCTCCACATCTCAACCGGTCGTTATTCGCACCTTTAGCAGCGACATGGAATTACTGCTACTTGTTTAACTAAATCTCTGCTGAAGTAAATGCAGAGCCTCATGAGATAAAGCAACGCACCGACTTCAGTTTACTTCAATATCAGAAGGGGCTTTCATGTAGCGTTACTTTCTGGATAAAATATGTGAAAAAAGGATAGAAAATGCTTATTTCGAATTAAAGTATAAAGATTAAATTGCTGCCTAATCATTGGCTATGACAAGTTTATCACTGACATGGATATTATAATAGTTTTGGCCTTTAATACTGCAATGAATTATCCATGGTCCTTGGTCAAATTAGACCTAAAAAAAAACAAAAAAAACAAAGGCTTAAAGAAAAACACAAGTACCCACATACGGTATAAACCTGGCTAAATCAGGTTTAGCAAGTTGCAGAGAAACCAAACAAGTCTTTAACATAGTTTTGATTGCAGATTTAGCCACTCTTCTTTGAACTACATTTAAGCTGGTTGTTGCTGGCAAAGATCTGGTTTTTCCAACATACCATTAAGTGGTTAGAGGTACTATCTAAATGCATGCGTTAAGCATTACACATTTGATGGTTTGTTGCAATCGTTGTGCTGTCGGACATAGAGGTGGTTCTAGACCAGGGGTAACCAATTAAAAATCAACGGGGTCTGAATACAGAAAATCAACCAGTAAAGGTCCAGAGACATTTTTAATTATAATCTGTTAAACAGAACTTGACAATGAAATAAAAAGGTTTTAATGCATCTATGTTATACATTAGATTTTTAATAAAAAATATTTTAAAAAATCTTAAGTGTTTTTTGAAGTAGAGAACAATCGTTCAGTTTGGTACATAGAAAATTTCCTGATTCACATATTTTTTTACACCTGAACGGAGCTTTTGTTTTTGTTTTTGTTTTTCTTAATGTTGGCAGTGGGGTTCATGCTGCCCTGCAAGGCTTTAAACCTGGGTTTGAATGGAGACAAAGCCATTCTAAAGCACATATCAAGGAGCTCATTTTGAGCCTGGATCCATATTTATTTTTGATTCTGTTCATGGTGGAGAATCCTGCTTCAAAGCAGCAGGTTGAGCCAAACATCCTCTAAATGTGCAGGGTCATCTTTGAGCACCATTTCACTTTTCTTTCACCAGTTCACCGCAGTTCCTCCAGCAGTCCACACTGTCTCTGCTCTTTTCTCGTCTTCTTCTTTCCCATCGCCCGGCTTGCCACAGGTTTGCCTGCTGTGTCTAAAAGTAGCAGCAGCAGCAACCCAGACTGACTGCAGATCATTGGCTAATTTGGATCATGTGCAGCCTGGTGCCGGATAATCCGGAGGGCTTTACCACACAAACAGGAGAAGCGGGGCAAGTGAATTTAGACACTGTCGTCGGACAACATGCAGTCATTTATAAATGTACAGAGCCAGGTGCAGTTTCAGAGCTTCAGGTTGCAAACCCCTAGATGAAAACTGATTTATTTCAGTAGAAATGGAACAAATAATGAATCATATTTCTTTGCCTTGGACAAACGTCATTTTTTTTGTCAATGATAAATTGACTAAAAAAATGACGTTTGTCCAAGACACCAAAGAGTTGCAGTTTGTGTGCCAATGAATATAAGAGTATTGTTCATTTAGTACAGGGTCAGCACTAGTTCTACAGGACCCCATTAGCTTTCATCTAGAAACATCCAAGATTGGGAGACCTTTCTGTGTACAAGGGACCTCAAGCCAAAACTAGTTATATGGTGGAAATTACCGTAAGAAAGAGGAGGAATACCTGCAAAAGCTTCAACTTTACACTAAACAATGGTTAAAACTTTGATACAGTCAGGGTTTCCAACAGGACAGGGATACCAAAAACACATCAAAACTGACATCTGAACAGAAAAACTAAGCAAAGACCAAACCCCTAACTAATACGTACAAAGTTAAACATTTCTTCATGTCTTGGTATGGAAAAAAACAGACATGCTTATTAAAATTGTATTTTTTTTCCTGCCCCTTCCTGTAAAATAACCATTAAAGGTTTACGTACAAGAAAACATGGAGGGGCCCATTTAAGCACTCTGTGGTGCTCAATGAAACTGGAAGATTTACAGTCAGATACAATCAGTTGTTACTTTCTTAATCAAAATTTATTTAAAATGGACAGTTTATTGCACATAAAATTAATCATATAGTCTTAAAAGAACTAAGATCAATAAATAAACATTTGCTTCCGACAAACAGCAGCAGATACTAGAGCACAAACAGAACCTAAGGTATACCCTTAACTCTGCAGTAACAGTTCAAAGGAAAATATCACCATTTACTGTCTGTTTAGTTTAAATGATCCAAGTTAAAATTCTTCAATGAACAGATTTAAAACGGCTCTTAAAGATGGATTCTTCCTATTAAAATGCACAAAGGCTGAACAGGCTTGAAGTAGGTAAATGGAAACAATCACTGATTGGGATCTTGGCTAGTTTGGATTTTGTAAAAAGTTAGGACCTTTAAGGGTTAGCTGAGATAAAAAAACAAATATACATCTGCTTTCGTTTGCTGATAACAGACACAGTAGCATAAGTTACAAAGAAAAAAAGAGGGGAAAATAGGGATTCAACTAAATAAAAGTTTAAACTAACGTCACAATCACATTTAAACAAGGTGCATTAAAAACAGTGTTGAATTATTGGCAGTAAAGTTAATGACTTGCTTATTTTGAATATGTTGGTTCAAATGTGATTTCATTTATACAGTGTTGGTCCTAGAGTACATTAGAACAGGTCAAATATAGAGGCACATTTATTATAGATGCAAAAACAGGTAAAAGGTTCACGGCTATAATTCCTAACCTGGATTTTTTACCACTTCTAAAAATCCAGCTTCCTGCATATTTCCACTAAAAACCATTTCAATGTTTGTAACAGAGGCTTAAATATTAAAAACAGCTTCCAGATAAAACCGATAAACGACTACCTCCTTCAGATGTAGTGTACAGGATGAGATTAAAATGAGTCAGTTTTAGTTTAAAAGTCTCAAACGGCAGTTAAGCTTGTTCAAAATCTATTAAGTTGAGGATCCAGTTTAAACTTTGGCTGCAGAGCAAAGTTGAAGGCAGTCTGCTGAGGTCAAACATATTCTCTGCTCTCAATGTCCTTTTTTATTGCTTTTTTAATGCGGTCAATCTCATCTTCATCTGAGCTTTCATCATTTTTCTCACTTTTCTGTTTCTTTTCACTTTCCATCTCGGTCATTTCGCCGTTTTTGTCGTTTTCTGGCGTGGTGGTCTGCAGCTCTTCTCGTATGGTGTTGAGCTCCACCAGGCCGTCGTGCAGCTGCGTGGCCACCTCTCTGATTTTGGCAGCGAACTCTGATTTTGCTCCTTTCTTTAGCTCTTTAGAGTCTTTAGCCACAAAGTAGATGTCCATGCCGACAAAGAGCCCCGTGAGCACGCCAGTGGCCATACTGGCGATCTGGACCGCTCTGGCTGCAGTGCTGCCCGCCACGTTGGCGATCTGCACCACGCGCATGATCTCGTTGGCATTGATGAGGATTGCCTTCCCTGCCATGGCTCCATCTTCGTAAAACTGACTGGTGAGTGCAGGAAAGTCCTGGTTGTATGCGTTCTTCTTCATCTTGAGAAGGTCGAATCTGCGCAGGTTCTCTATTCCCTGCTTAATAAACTTCAGGCACTTATTAAGGTCAGCGATCTTCTCTTGGTAGTCCTCTACGATCTTCTCCACCTTCTTGCGGTCCAAAGAGTTGTTGACCTGGTTTGAGATGCCGGCGCCAGCTGAGGTTAAGCCACCTGCCGTAGCGACGCCAAGACCTACAGCTGTGACGATAAGGGAGGTTCCCATGGTGACCGGAGCCAAGGCCAGGCCAGTGATGGTGGCGACGCCTCCAATGGCGCTGGTGGAGCCGCCAGTGATCTGAGCGATCTTTGTCTTCTTGTTGAATTTGTCCAAGCCGTCTGCGATGGCGTTGAGGTCGATGACGTGCTGCCAGAGGGTCTCGGCGCGCTCAGAGAACAGCTTGTTGAAGACTCGGATACCCTTCTGGACCTTTTCTGCAGTTACAGCAAAGGCCCTGAGACAGAAAAAAGAAATGGGATTACTTTTAGGAGCACCGGTCTCATTTTATACTGTTTAAGTTTTAATAAATCTATGGAAACGAGCACATCCAAAACATTTTGAAAAAAGGTTTTATGTTTCATTAAGGATTTAAGGATTAAAATAATCTATAGAGATTAGATTTAGACAACTTTGATTGAAATTTCGTTTTTACAGCTTTTAGCCAGTAGGGTTTCAAAATCTTTAAATCTTCAAACACATTTTAATGCATTTATGATATGCAAATAAACCTAATGATTCAAAACGTGATTGATGATGAATCAGATTAAAAAGTTTTTAATTATTTTAATCTGGGAGAAAACCAGACGAATACCTTTAAGTTGCTTAAAAAACAGAACCAAACTATGATTAACAAATAAACACTAATATTATATAAGACAGGGGACCAAAGCTATTAAATTATCAATAAATTAACTTTGGATGATTCGAAATATTAATAAAAATGATAGAATGATTAGGGATTGCGTCCTGTGTAGCTGGTTGACCATTGCCTTTTGTATCTCTGCTTATTTCTGTATCTCTGCTTCTGTCTCCTTGAACTCCAGTCGGCCTCAGCAGATGGCCGCTCACACTGAGCCTGGTTCTGCTGGAGGTTTCTTCCTGTTAAAAGGGAGTTTTTCCTCTCCACTGTCGCTACAAGCATGCTTAGTGTGAGGGATTGCATTCGAGTCAATGAGTCGATGCAATCAACTGGTTTTCCTTAGATAGAAAACTTTGAATCAATTTAACTGGATGATCTGGTTGAACTGTAAAGTGCCTTGAGATGACGTGTTGTGAATTGGCGCTATAGAAATAAACTGAATTGAGAAACCATTAAATCAAACAGTATATACCAGCATTTTACAATAATTAAACTATATACATCCCCAAAGTATTTCACTGCAAAGGGAATTAATCTGATATGCAGCAGTTAGGTTGATGGGTAAAATGAAAAGGATGTCAAATACTGGGAAACATATGGGCCAAATCCCACCAGTGACCAATAGGAAAAGAACAAGATGCTACGACACACTGAACCACTTAACTAGTTAATAAATGTGGGATTTTTTAAAACTTCACCATGATATATGATAGGACACCTTTGCATGTTTATAGAGTTCATGCAAGATAAAGAAAACGGTTTAGTGTACTGTATGAGATTTAAAAAGCTCAAGATGGATTGATAGACGTCAATTTGTGTTAGAACCTACTTGGCCTCTTCCTTTTCAGTCATGTCATCATCTTGAGGCGTATCCTCCCAGGCTAAAACGGAAAACAACAACAAAGCAATTAACAGTAATGTTATGAATCTGTTCATTAGCAACACAAGTAGGGCTGAAACAATTAATCAGATTAATCAGTTATTGGAAAAAAAAAATCCAACTAATCCAGTAATCGATTAATCATCAACTGGAATATAGAGACTGTAAAATAAGCCTTTAGCTGACAGAAAGACCCACTTAGAGCAGGAATTACAAGAAAACTGTAAAAATGTATCAATGCTTTGCATTTAAGATTTAAAAATGCCAATATGCTCTATCCAGAACTCCACAAGTGGAAAAGTTTTAGTTTGATCTGGTTTAATTCAGTAAAAAAAAAAAAAATCTTCTTTAAGGAACCTTTTGATATCTGATAATTAATTGGGAGAAGAAAATCAAACAGATTAATTGATTAGCAAAATAATTCTTAGTTGCAGCCTTAAATACAAGGCTAACAGTATACCCATGTGTTGCTATGACGACCATGCATACATCCCAGTAGTCAAAGTGAACATTAGCAAGGTCAACCTTTTGTTCCAGTCTATCCCAGAGGCATTCAATGACCTTGGTAATGATTGGTGAGAACATTTTTTGTTAAAAGTTTCTTTTTTTTTTTTTTCCTAAATTATGAAGACTTTCAGGAAGAGGGGATTGCTTGCTAACGCTGAAATGCACTTTACTAAGATTGGACACTGTTAATTATAGTTATTGGAAGTAATATGATTTTACTCAAGTGGTTGTTATATAAAAACAACTGGAGTATTCATAACAAACATTTTTCCTATTTCAGAGAAATAAAATCTCTTACATTCAACCGTGTTCCACCAGTCCATGAGATCCTCCACATCCTAAAAAGGAAACCATTCGATTAACATACAAACCAACCCACACACAGAATATCACAAAGGTTTGAGCATCATTTGGAGGGTCTATAAATTTAGGTCATACTTTTTAGGTTATACTTTATAAAAGCTGATAAAAATAAATGGATACAGCTAATTACAATGGTGGGAATGGTATGTTTACTGGGATTAAAAGGATGATGTTTGGGATGAAAGAAGCACAAAATGCAACCTGGCACAGGGGCAACCAGAGCCATGAACATATTGTGCCTCAGAAAACCCACCTGACTGTCTTCAGGCTGTGAGGGATCAATGCGGAAATCCTCCAGCCGGTCAAATAAAGACCTTTGTGGTTCTTCATTCTAAGAAAACAGAAATTCAATTTTAAAATTGGAAAACACTCCTTACTTTTAAAAGCAAATAAACGCTACATAGACAAAAATCTATATAGAACCAATAGGTGCTTGTGAGGCAGACAGTTATGAATGTCCAAATCAACACATGAACAGTCATTGTTCCTTGGTTTCACTTTTTATAGTTTTTTGTGCCAATAGAATGAGGAAGTGTGAGTTATCATGATTTTACTGTGTAGGCTGATCTGTGCCGTTTTGCAGAAGTAAAAAAAAAGGATCAAAAGCTTCCATGGAGCGGCTGAAAAATAAGAAGTGGAAAAACAAGTCTGAGCACATTAGAGGCTAATCTTCTCATCTTCCCATGTTCATGGGCACGCACAAACATGTATGATGGTGGGGGTGGGTTTCATGTCAGTAGGGCCGAAGAGGAACAAAATAAACACGCTGACAACAATAGCCTCAGTTGGGAGCTGAGCAGACACTCTGGAGACAAAAGTGTATGATGGGAGGAACGAAGGTTGTTTTCAGGGTGGAGGAGGGTGGGAGTCAGGTGACTGAAACACAGACTGAAAAAAAATCCGTCTGGTGGAATACAACAGACGGATTATCACTTCATGGATGTGATCGAGAGAGAAATGCAAGAAACCAAAAGAAGCATTAAAACTGGTCATATGGAAAAGGAAATATTTCCTACTTCTTCAGCAGCTCCATCTTGTCTGTTCCTCTGAACAACTTTGGTCTAAAGAGGAGAAAAAAAAAAAAAAGAGAATATCATATATTTGTCTAAGATTATTGGTAGTTTTACGTCAGTTAGCATATATGGTAAACCAGTGGTCTTCAGAGAATAGGCATAGGTTGAAGTGAATTGTTTACAAGGTGCTGTACTAACCTGGCCTAAATAACCTGACAAGGGAAGAGGTTTAAGTCAGCAGCTGAAGACACAAAGGTATTATAAAAAAACCTGTCCAAAGAATGCAGCAAGGAACCGGTAATGGGTCGCTTTCAAATACACCATAATAGTTATAGCTGTCTAAAAATACTCCAAATGTTCTGCTATCTTTACTGCCACAAGATCTCATCTGCAACTTTGGAACGTGCTACACACTGGTCTAGATCAACAAGCAGAAGTTCATTTTTTGGGTTTACCAAAGAATTTATAACATCTTGAGTGAAATAAGGTTGCATATTACCCAGAATTACATGCAAACATGTCAAGCAAAACCTTCACATGATGTAAGCATGAGAAAAAAAGCTGTATACTCAGACAATCAAGTCATGCTAACACTGACAACCCACCCACATACTTATACCCAACAGGTAGAAGACAAAAATGCACAAACTACAAACTGGACATGCTAGCTGCTGAAAAATTGACACACAACCTACTGGAAACCTGAATGCAAGCAGATGCAAGCTACTGGAAACCTGGGATGGAAGCAGATGCAAGCTACTGGAAACCCGGCTTGCAAGCTGACATGGAAGCTACTGGGAAGCTGGGATGCAAGCAGATGCAAGCTACTGGAAACCTGGCGTGCAAGCAGATGCAAGTTACTGGAAACCTTTGATGCAAGCAGCTGCAAGACACTGGAAACCTGGCATGCAAGCAGATGCAAGCTAAAGGAAACCTTACATGCAAGCTAGAGGAAACCTTACATGCAAGCTAGAAGAAACGTTACATGCAAGCTACAGGAAACCTGACATGCAAGCTACAGGAAACCTGACATGCAAGCTACAGGAAGCCTGACATGCAAGCTACAGGAAGCCTGACATGCAAGCTACAGCAAACCTGACATGCAAGCTAAAGGAAGCCTGACATGCAAGCTGAAGGAAGCCTGACATGCAAGCTACAGGAAGCCTGAAATGCAAGCTACAGAAGGCCTGACATGCAAGCTGAAGGAAGCCTGACATGCAAGCTGAAGGAAGCCTGACATGCAAGCTACAGGAAGCCTGACATGCAAGCTACTAGAAACCTGACATGCAAGCTGCTAGAAACCTGACATGCAAGCTGCTAGAAACCTGACATGGAAGCTACTGGAAACTTGATGTATTTTACTTTTGAGCATTATGTTCTAATATGCATTAGTATAGACACTACAGATAACTTTCGAAAGGATAAGTATTTTGTTTTTTCATTGTTACACAAAATACTGGGTGTATGTATATTGTTTAAAAAAAAAACAAACAAGAAAATAGACATCACACCTTCATTCTCGTTTATAAGATTATTGTGGAAGTTTATACTGCAACTTTTAACCTAAACAGTAAAGAATCCAATGTTGTAATGTTTTGACCTGCTTCTGCTTTTTTGCACACACACACACCAGTCAAACAAAAACTAAATCTAAATCTGAGGCCAGCTTGCTGAAATTCTGGTTTTACAATGCACTCAACAGAGAAGAGTTCAACCTATACAGCACAGGCTTTATTTAAAAAAAGCCAGTGTTTTGGCATCAGTCCATCTGATCTCCAATAGGTGCTGCCAATTTTGGTCTGCTGATTGTTTTAGACAATACTGGCTTCTCTTCCTCCATTTAAATGATCAAAATGACACAATGATAACAAATGTTACAGTCTACATTTAAACAACAAGAAACATTAGCAAATATAAGAGAATACATTAACAAATAGTAAATGGATGAAGCAGCAAAGCATGCCCTTCACGCGATCTCAAGGCATGGCAGCTGAATGCGTCAATTAAACTGCAGACGAAGCATTCATCGCTCACAGAGATGGGGGATCTGGAGTCAACAAGTCATCTCCATGTCATGTATTTGTTCTACCCAGCCACTAAAAGCAAATGAATCCAATCTGCAGAGTGAATTAACCTGTGCAGATTGGACTCACCTGGTTCAGTGACTTGACGGCTCCAGATCCCCCATCTCTGGTCAGTACAGATACAAGAAAATAAATGCAAATATCCGACAAAAATGGGCTGATGTATTGGTCTTCATCTACTACAGAATAATAGAAAATAATAAAATACAGATTTTTGTAAGCAACAAATGTTTTAGACATGTAAATATGGGACCATTGTGTAAGGTCCATTTTGTTTAGCCTTACCTTTAACCGGGGCATGAAAGGATTGTGTTTCTTGGGTTTCCTGACTTTAGGCTAGAACAAAAAACAAGATTATTCCATCTCAATAAAATTTAACTCTTTCAAAGTTACCTTTTGAAATAAAAACCTCACCTTCTCCGTAACTTCCCTGTCCTCATCATCCTTCGTTTCCTCTTTGGATGATGAGTCTTCTTCGTCTTTCAGCCCTTCATCATCAGACGCAGCCTGTCATAATTAAAAAAATACAAAAACAGACATTTGCAATATTAGTTGAAACTCACAATTCCAGCAGTTGCAGTACACACACTGCTTCTTCTTGTGTAAATATCTATATGATCCATGTTAAAAATATATATATATATATGAAGTAAAGCCTTGATGGGGAAGCTTAAATGAAAGTATATTGAGTTAGAAAATGAAACAGACTTTCACCAAATGTTTTATTAAAACCGATGGAACCGTTTGATCTTTGTGAGACTTTGCGTACTCAGGCAGATATTTTGAGCTTTACCTTGGGCCGAGGCATGAAAGGATTATGCTGCTTTGGCTTCTTGGCTTTAGGCTAAAGAAAATAAACAACAAATATAAATTTACAGAAGGACTCAAATAGTAACTTGAAGTTATATAAAAACGTGTTCCTGACATGCAAAACCCCCAAAACAACATACAAAACAAGTAAAAAAAAGCAACTGACCTTCTCTGGTTTGTCTTTGTTCTCATCTTTAGTTTCCCCTTTGGATGACGACTCTTCTTCATCTTTTAGCCCTTCATCATCAGATGCAGCCTGGTAGTTATTAAAGAAAACAGATGAAAAGAAAACAACATTTTATGTCTGGCTTTTTATGTCTTTCAGGTTTTGTGCTTCTTAACTCTGAAACGAGCTCTACTTTGAACAGTTACTTTATGCTCAGGCTTTACTTTTTGGGTTTCTTTGGTTTCCCATAAAGCTCTTTGGGTTTATAAATCTACTGACACTTTATGAAAAAGAGAACTGAAAGGAAACCATGTGAGGCCACCTTCCTTCATTTATAGAATCTTTGGTTGAATATTTAGGAAAGAAGATTTTGATAAAAATCTGAGGAGACGTAAAAAAACAAAAAACTTTTACGATTATTTCATTAAACAGAAAAGAGCATTTTGAAATCTTTCTGGGATACAGAAGCAATGGCAGAAACAAATATGAACCAACCACATTTCTAGGTTTTACCTTGAGCCGAGACATAAAGGGATTGTGTTGTCTGGGTTTCTTGACTTTGGGCTAAAAACAAAAAAAACCCCAACATATTTCACTGTTTTGGTTTTAATTACAGAAATGATCTATCTTTAGCCGTTTATCAAACAGACAAACAAAATGGTCAAAAATAAACTGACCTTCTCTGGTTTCTCCTTCTCCTCTTCGTCTCTAATTTCTTCTTCATCTTTTAACCCTTCATCGTCTGATGCAGCCTGACACAAAAAACACAAAAGTTAGAAATAGAAAACATTCAGCTGCTGGTCTTTCATTTATATTTATTAAACATGCTGATAATCAGAATAATCACAAAGCTGGGTGCTATTTGAAGAACTATGGTCATGCATTAGTTAAAGATGAATGCAAAGGAAACCAAAATTGTTCAGTTTGCCTAAATTCTGGTATTTTCTAATATCAGATTCACAGGAACAGTAAAAATTGAACTCAGTAGTGATTTAAGAAAACCATCAGGCAGAATTTAACAATCTCAGATCTTTTCTATAATACGGGACACGTCGACATGGAAAGAAACATTTCTGAGCCTTACTTTGACTCGAGGCATGAAAGGATTATGCTTCTTGGGCTTCTTGACTTTGGCCTACAAACAAAAAAAAACAAAAAGTCTGATGACAAATTTTTCTTTTAAAATTAAATGCAGAAAAGTTCCAATATTTGCCGTTAGCTCAGATTACATCTATTACTGACTTGCAGATAATGCATTAAAAAAAAGAGGCAAGTCAGACCTTCTCTGGTTTGTCTTCATCCTCATCCTCATTTTCCTCTTTGGATAAAGACTCTTCCTCATCAGATCCAGCCTAAAATCCACAATAAGAAACGGATAAACAAATCTGCATTACATCTAAATGTTTAATAATACCCTGCAAACAGATGTTCATAAAATGAGGAGATACACAACACCTCAATTAATAGAACAAGACATTAGATTTAAGCATTATAGCCCATGCAGCCAATTTAATTTTTAAGACTTGCCTTATTTTAGATGGTCTAAATATCAAATAAAATCATAATCATATAATAATAAATAATACCAATAATAAGACATAAATACTAAAAAAACAACAATAATAAGAAATCATTTCTGTTCAATGTAGAACAATTGATCATAGTTTAAAAGATCAAAAGCAGCCCAGAGAGAAAAGAAGAAATAAATGAAAATAAAACTGATTTAAAAGCTCTTTAGTTCATGGAGCTTCAAAGCAGATAATGGCTCTCTGGATAGCAACCCATTGTTATCCTTAAGGCGCGGTTACGGGGTTTCTTTTTTATAAAATCATGTTTCCCTACACAAAGTGGGTGAGGCCTCCTCAATGCTTTTATAACCCAGTGTTAACTTTAGCAACCAAATAAAGAGAAATGACTCAAGAAATACTTTCTTTGTTAAAATAAGAATATAGAGGCGCTTCAAGCATAAAAAAAAAAAAAAGACTTTTCAGGTAAATTCACTCCCTTCTTTCCCGCTTGCTCTCAGTTCATACCAGTTTCATGTAATCTAATTAATGAACAGGAGCTTATTCTTCTTTATATGTAAAATATTTTAGGGTCATTTTAGAGACTAATGGCCACTGAACATTTTCAAATAAAAAAATGAACACAGTAACAAAAGATTTTTCTTAATGGAATCATTTTAAACACATCGATTCTGATCCTAATGAGATCAAAGTTTGTTCTAATGAAATAAGATGGATTAGGCCCCCTGACCATACTGAAAAAAAAACATAACCTCCCGTTAAAAAAATTTATCTCCTCTCCCCACAGATAACTTATCAAACTTTAATGATTTAGATCAAACTAGACTTGCTCTCAAACAAAAAGTCAAGCAAGTTTTAATCACTAAACCAACAAAATTATATATATATATATAGTTAGACATGGAGAGACTTTTAGCTTTATTTCGCTAGCGCACCAGAGCTTCATATCCATCAGATCTGTAGAATCATAAAGATTAAATAGAATAGGCCAATAGATAAATAAATAAAAATCACATCAACCATAAACATGTTTATCAATCTGGAAAGGGTTAAAAATCCAACAAACTACAGTAGGATTCAATATCTATATTTATCCAGGAATGCAAAATTAAATAAGTCCAAAAGAATATTTTTCCCAGAATTGTGTCATTTATTGGTGTAATATGAAGATAACGAAGGGGTGAGATGATCATATGGTGAGGACAGAAATTAGCTTAAAGTCCGACTATCAGACAAAGTTACACTGACTGTGTCTACAAAGAATTAACCTTGATAATGTGACATTAGTGCTGAATTTATTTACCTTGAATCCAATCTGTGGTATGAACAGATGGTGCTTGTGTTTTTTTCCTTTAGCCTGAAAGAAACGGGTAGAGTCATCGTATGTTGGAGCACATGAAAAGCCTGAAAAACCACATTTCATAACGTCACAGGAGTTCCAATCAAAGAGCTGAATCTAAGACAAACAAGCTCCAGTTGGCTTTTTAACACCGGGATCATTGTCTCATCAGGAAACATCCGTATGGAAGTACGGCTGTTCTAATGCTCAACTGCCCCACTCAATTCCACCATACTGAGTAAAGAATGACTATAATCTACTTTTGGCTCTCATTTCTCAGTTTAAAAATCCACATCAAGCGTCAACAAATTCAACCAAATCAGAATAATGAGAGATTAATCCTCATGTGACTAAAAGACGTTGAGCTTTGCCACAAACTCCCTTTTTAAATAGCCAGAGGGCGTCACATGTCCTTTGCATGGGTTTGGCCTGACGGAGTCAACAGGGAAGCAGGAACTGGGAAGGATAGATCCGAACTAAACAGACTCAGTCCGTATTACAAGAGCTTATTTGACACAGTGATAGCATTAAGACAGATGGAGATCCCAGAAATACATTTCATAAATTCATCACAGCCTTGGATTAAATGTTAAGAGAAAAAATGAACAAAATAAAAACAGACTCACTGATTTGCTTTGTAGCTTTTCTGTGTCTTTTGTCACATCTGATTCTTTTTCATTGCCCTCGTCTCCTGGTTGGCTCTGCTGTAAATGAATACAGTAAAAAAAATAAATTTTAAATTATGATGATTAATAAAAAACTCTTACAATATTTTAAAAAAGCAAAAATTTTTATTAGAGGATCCTAAGAGAACATTTGTAGTACAAATTTAAACTAAAGTATGTGCCTGATAAGAAGTTTGTACAAGATTCCTAATCTGTGTAAAAATGTTAGCATGTTTATACTAACTTTAGAGAATTTTGATCTCTACCATATAACTAATTATATAAGAAGATATTCTTTTACTAGATGTCACCTTGAGATGAAACGCGTCGTTTTGGAAAGGACTATATTTACAAAACATACCAAACTAAGAACATTACAAGACAACATGTAGAAAGAAGAGAAGTCAAAGTGTTTTAACTCTTCTGCTGTTTGGTTTGTAACTAAACGGTTGATGAAATCTATTTTAGAAGCAGGGGAAACAAGCCATCACTGGAAAACATAATCATAATTTTTACATTTTAAATTGGTTTTAGAATTTCTAACAATTTGACAGTAATTAGAGTGCTATTTTTATTAACGCACAAAACCTTTTTTAGGTAATTACTTCCACCAAGGAGGTTATGCTTGTCTGTCTGTATACATTATAACTTGAAAGGTTATGATCGGATTTTAATGAAATTTCTTTCAGGGCTGTTTTGGTGATCTAGAACAGAATCTGGATACAGGATTTTTTCACCATTGTGACATCGGGCAGGCAGTTCCCCTCTAAACCAGAGGGGGCAGCAGTGACAATTGACAGCCTCAATATCGGACTCAAAAAGTCCGGAGGTGTTTTTCTGAAAACACCCTCGTCTGCGTTGCCGTGGGAACAGCAAACATTTAATCTTTAAGTATAGAGAAGATCATTGTGGTGGCATATTTTCAAGCTAAAGTTTTTTTGAAATTTCAAAACCTTCGCCTACTACTGGTGTGGCATGAAATACACAGTTTATAATGTTCCCGTTAATATATTGTTCACTGGGATTGGGATTAAAATGTTGTCAAGCAGATGTAGCGGCACTTGAAAAACAATCCTTTTGTTTGTCATGTGCTGAGGCAAGGGGCTGCATGCCCTCCAATATTTCCTTATTCATCATACTGGACGTTTCTTCCTGTTAAAGTCAGTTTTCCTCTTCACTGTCGCTACGAGCATGCTTGGTGTGAGTTGATGCAATCAGCTGGTTTTTCTTAGATTCTAAACTGAATCAATCTGACAGCATGATCTGGTTGTCTCTGTAAAGAGCATTGAGGTGACATTTGTTGTGAATTGGCGCTATATACATAAACTGAATTGAAACATAGTGCAATACAAAGAATTAGAAACTGTTGTAATATCATCAGCCTTCCTATTATCTGTAAAAAGTGATGCTCTCCCTTGCAGCTTTCAGCAGTGGTGTTTTATGTTAGGAAACATTTTGTTTTTAGTATTTTTTAATACTTGTACTTGCTCTGGCTTCATGCTCTGTATATCCCATCTCCGACTTATTTCTCTAAGCAATTCTATTCTCCATTCATAAAACACAGACTGCTGATCGTCATGAATAAAACAAAACTTTTTAAACTACTTGCAGTAATAAAGAAGGCAAAGATTGGGAAATTCAAGGGCTTTTAAAGTATCTACACTACATTTGAATTCATTTTCACCAACAATGAATAACCTACATCACCAGCAAGAAACTAATAAAACATTCATGTGACTAACTAGAAAGAATAACTAGAAGGAAACTTTGGAGGAGCACAGGAAAAGAATCAGAGAGATATTGTGTCTTAACAAACCTCTTGGTTGACTTTCTTCCTAACAGCTCTGTTCATCTCCTGAAATTTAACCACAGCAACTTCCTTAAGCCCAAGTAAAACAAGCTACAACTTTGACACATGACAGATTTAACAACTAAAGAAACTGCAAAGACGGCTTACCTCGTCCGTCGGTCTGAGTGGAACCACGGGAGCTCCTGAAGCTTTTCCTCTCTTCTCTCTTGAAAGCTCCTTCTGCAGAGGACAGAATGAAATGAAACCTTTCAGCACAAGACTACTTGTATGACAAAGGAGAAATGCACTAGTTTACATATAAAGAAATAAGTACCTTCTCCTCTGCTTTTCTTTGTTTTTCTATTTCATGTAGGGACGTTGCCTTCATCTCCTGAATCCAAACAGATTTAAAGCAGAGGTCAAAGCGTTTTCACCACCACATTGAAATATTTATGGCTGCAGGCAAACCTCTGCTCTGGGTCTGCGGGGGATTCGAGGCGTTTCCCCTTTTTCCTTCCCCTCCTGATGGATCAAATTACTCTTGACCTGTCAAGGACAAAAACACAAAGTGACTTAATGTCCCAGACCAGGAGGGTAAGATTAATTTAAAGCATTCAGGAACGAGACGAGGGTGACGTAGTAGGAAGTGTGGAGGAGGAGGGGCCTGAGTGCAGAGGGAGATTTTATAAGAAGTTGATGTGAAAGTTTGTGGTCAATGATTAGAGGGGGCCGAAGCCTGAAATAGGCGCTCACCAGGTCTGGCTTCTTTTCCGATAGTTTCCTTTTCTCCTCAAAGGTCTCCGGGTTTTCAATGTCCTTCTGAGCAGATGAAAAAAAAATATAAATAAAACTTTGTTTTGTTTCTTCTTAACCTTTCAGAGAAATGGCTCCATTTAAGCTTATCATATATCATCCATTTTTACTTTTCAGATTGAAAAAAATAATAATAATTTTCTCAGCTACAAAGACATTGATCACAGATTTTGTTCTTATTTTAGTGAATTTCTACTTAAATAATTAAGGCCCGTCTGACTGTAAATAGGTCAATGGCCAAATAAAAACAAGAATATCAAGTGGTAAGATGACAGTAAAAACTATTCAAACTACATTTCAAATTTTTCTTTTCTGCACACTGACATAAAAACATGCAGCACTAAAAGCAACATAATTTAAATTTAAAAGGTTCAATTTTTTAAACCTTATCCTGTAAAATAAACACATAAATGTAACAAGAATCAGTGATTGATGATCAATGGTTTCCCTTTCCCAGCCCTGATTGTCTCCCTCACCACCACCTTCAACCTCACCAAACAGGATAGTTACTTTAGCTCCAGAGTGGAACGGATTCAGTTTGGACATGGCCTCAACTATGGTGCTCTGAGAGGGAAAACGGCACGAGAAATTATGTGCTTCTGTAACTTTGACATATAGCAGATACATTTAACTCAACAGTTTGAATCTTAACCCAAAGAACAGCTCAAACAGCAGAGGGATTAAAAACATTTTTAACTCAACTGATGGTTCTTGAGCTAATGAGAAAAAGGAACTTGTAAAAATAGAGCACTCTTCTAATTAAACCATTAAAAGGAAAATGTAGAAATAAAAGCACCTGTTTGTGAGTTGATGACTTCTCGCTGCTCACAGTTTGATCTTCGTCATCCGATTCTGTCGGCTTCTCTTGCTGAATTGAAAAAAATAAATAAAAATCACTTTCAGGTGAAAACATAAAAAACGAAATCTGAAATTTGGATTTATTTCAGTTACAGACTTTTTGTGTAAATGGATTCAGCTTCGTCATCGCTCCAGCCAGCTTACTCTGAGTCAGACACAAAAAGAGAGAAAAAATATATGTACCGGTATATGAAATAGAACATAATTAGAAAGTGGAATAATTTCCTAAATATTATCAAACCTGTTTGTGAATAGGCGGATTGTCTCCATCTCCTTCGGATGTTTCCTCATCATCAGGCGTGGAGTTCTTCTCCTGAAGATCAAACATTTAAATAAAGAAACATAAAATATAAACTTCTCCCTTCATCTTTTCCTGTTACTATGACATATTTCCTCAGGATTATAGGTGACAGAGCAACAGGAAATAGTGCAGAATTATATGAAAAGAAAAGTTTCCAGCATGGTTTACGATGAAAAATCTGCTGTGCTTTTATATTCTTTAATCTAGTTCTGATAAATAAAATTTATTTAACTTCTTAAGTTCTGTATTTGTACATCAATAAAAAAAATATATTTTTTTATAGATTAATTTTTTTGTTCTCATTGTTATAAAAATATATTTGATCATTTTCTTAGTAACTAATTGGACTGTAGATTGTTTGATGGAAAAAGTCGAGCGAATAAATCCCTACTGTCACCTGTTTGTCGCTGTAGAAGGTGCTCTTCATCACCGCACTGAAACCAGTCTGGAAAAATAAAACATTGATTCCATAAGATTATTAAAAACAGAAAGAAGTCACCTAGTTGCTGCAAAGCAACAACTAAAAATATGTAACTAAAGAAACTAACTCTTTTGGGTTTAGCTTTTGGTGAGGCAGAGTTCATTTCACTTGAGTCTCCCCCGTTTTCCCTCTTTGGTTTTTCCTAAAACCAAATCCAAAGCAATGTTACCCATCAGAAAGCACCTCAAGACTGAAATACGTGAAACAAACGTTCTTCTTTCGAGAAATTACCTGAGCTGATGAGGCTGAAGGGTTCTTTGGGTTCTTGGCTGTCGGCCCACTCTGGCAAAAGATTAATTAAGCATCAGACTAAGGAACTAGATTATCTGACATTCAGTGCAGAATCAGTTCAGAAAGTCACATGGTTTTAAAAAAAAAAATCTCCAATTTCTAAAAAAACAACAATTTCAAACGCCATTTTGTTTGACTTTTCAAATTTTCCCTTAACATTTTAGAAAATTCTGATCATGCAAGTAATAAAACATTTATATAGTTTTAATTATTTGAATAATTCAATCATCAAAACAAGACAATTGTGAAGTCATCCTTTTGTATGATAAAGGCACATTTCTATTTTTCCTTTTGTCGGCTCCTGAAAGAACTTCTATCAGCTTAATTTCAAAACCTACGTTTAGAATTGCATAATTCAGATGTCCCGACCGCATACTGGAAACCTGTCCAATATGAGCCAAAATAACAAATATTGGACTTAGAGGCCTGGATCTAAAGTTTCTGATTGGCTGATAGAAACACTCTGCTTCTGTCCAGTCTCCTCAAAGTTGATGTAACCCATTGGTTAATCATAATTGGCCAAGCAATGACCCGTTTGTCCCACTTCCATTACGAAACTGGTTCAGCACCATTAAAACCAGAACAAATAGACTTAACAGTTGGCTTCCTAAGCCTATGAAGGCAACCAACCCAAAAAATGTTTCATTCATACTGCTGCAGCTGGGCCTTTTAAAGTCTTGATGATTCAAAGTCTTTAGAAGTAAAAAAAAAAAAAAAAAAAAAACAGTTTGGCACCACTGGCGTGGAAACTTTTAGGTTAATACAAAAAATAAATAAAATGAGGGGGAAAAAACACTTGATAGAAACATTTGATCATTTACCTTTGAAGACTTTTCAGTGAGATCATCATTGTTGGCTGAGTGCTCCTCATCTACTGATAAATCATCCTGCACCAAGAAAAGCAAGTCAAATGTGTTTCAGTGACTGTGAGCCGGCACAGACCAGCTAGTTAGTATTACTGAACAACTCCACGAACGAAAAAATAAACAGGCAGTTTGGAATTTAATTTCTGTCATGTTAGATATTGGTTCAGTCAATTCTAGCTAAAAAGTAACTTTGAATTGAAATAAAGAAAAAAAAAATCCAAAATAAATGATCTGCCAGATTCATTCCTTTGACCAACATTCAGAGTCTGAGCTGCAACTAGGAAACTCCTGCTGCATGCCTTTTTAGATGAAGTTGGTCAGTAGGTAGGTGATTCATTTTTATATAAAAAAGAAAACAAACCCATAACCGGAACCTTTTATGGAGAGAAATCAATCTGCATTCACAGCTGTCTGCATGAAAATTGGGGATAGCTGCAAGTATAAACTGCCTATTTAAATCCCTGATTACATGCATAGATGAATACTGCAATATAAACTCGAACTTTTTTAATAGTTTTTCATCAGCTAATGGGGGTTGTGTTTAAGGATACCATAAAAGATCTAGATAAGTTGTTGATGGCTCACAAGAACTTAGCTTTTCCAAAAGTAACTGATTCACCATATTTAAGATTACAGAGCTATGCAGGATTTTTGTGTATTAAAAGTCCCTCTTACATTACATGCAGATAAAGGCCACAATCCTTGTGGTTACAATGAAAGCGCACCAAGTGCTGTATTTTAACTGGGTAAAAATGGCCACGGCATCCATCACATCTCATGAAAAATATCTAATATCTTACCTGAGACTGAGACCTTGCAACTTTTTTCTTGAACATACCGAAGAATCCTTTATCCTAAAAAACAAACAAACAAAAGAAAGTAAATTCTGAGGCACTATAGTAGAGCCTGGCTGTGACGGCTGAACCCATTACCTTGGTGTTGTTCTCAGAGAGATTTTCACTGCTGCCCGACAGCTCACCGACTCCAGTTAAATCCTCCTGAGTTTGGGACAGAAATATTCATCACTTGACATAATCTGTTATCACCATGTAGAAGCAAAAGGATCAGGAGTCGTTTCGTTGCTCCAACCTGAGATGGCGCTCGAGCTCCAAATGGGTTTTTAAAGAAGGAGCTAAAACCGCCAGATTCCTGAAATCAGCGAGTCAGATTTTAATCACATCCTGAATGTTCAAAGTTAGAAAAGCATCCTCTGAACATTGGAGCTGCTGTCAGCTAAAAACATTCCTTACTTTGGTTTTGGAAAGACTGTCGTTGCTTTTGGAGAGTTCGCTTTGTGCAGTCAAATCTTCCTAAAGGAAAATTAAACAAACTTCTTTGATTAATTTATATTTATATAATTACTGCAGAAAATTAAAATAGAGGCATAACAGGTACCTTTGAAGCTGCTCTTATTCCATTGGCTTTTAGAGAGTTTTTCACCTTCCCTGGTGACTCCTAAAGAAACACAATAAATGAAAGTTGATCGAGCCTCTAGTTTAGTTTACTATAGAGTGACAGTAACAGATGCTTTGTTTTTTTGTTTAAACTATTTGTAGCAGCCAGATGAATAGGCAGAAATGCACAGAGTCAGGACTTCCTTCAAAATGCTGATGCAGGCAGGTTTGAGTCCGACAAGCAACATTAAAATAAACTCAGATCACTGCTTACAACTAAACACTACTAAATATATATTTGGATACATATACACATGTTTGAGTAAACAGAGGACTGAAATTAAAAACATGATTTAAAAAAAATCAAAAAGCATTAAATTAATGCTTTTAAGATCCACTTCCAAGTGTGGGATGGAGGTTTTCTGACAATCTATAAGTTGTAAATCTCTATGGTGAGCAACACCAGCTGAAGCGCTGTTCATTAAAACTGATGATGGTCACAGGAAAGTGATGTTTCTGAACCAAGGGCAGTTTTCTCTAACCTATGTCTGCACAGTTGACCAGAACAACAGCATACACATAGAAAACTTACATTTTTTTATTTGTGAGTAGAGGTGTCAAAATATTTATGTCTATTACTAAAGTAGAATTATAAATCCTACAGTTTAAAAAACTCTTTTGTAGAAGTTAGAGTATCAACTGAAGGCTTTTTACTTATGTCAAGTATAAAAGTAAAATGCAAAAAAAAAAAAAATGTTAAGGACAGATTCTTTATTGCACTACCCTATGAAAGGAAACATTTTATACAAATCTGCATGATCATTTCCTTATACTTACTTTTCTTATTTTTAAAAAAATAAGGGTCAAACCACAAAGAAATTAATTGTCTGGATAATCTGACTTAATATATATATATTTTTTTGTTTTTTTAAATACCAACAGGCCCTAATAAAAATGAGCTAAAATGAAACAAAACTTGAGTCTTTTTTAAATGGGAGGAGTAGAAAGTAGATATAATTGTAAAAAAAAATCTCAGTTGAAAAAATTAAAAGTCATCTTTAAAATAATTACCTAAATAGCCAAAATTTCTACTTAAGGTAACAAAGTATTTCTACTTTGTTACTTGGCACCTCTGTTTGTGAACCATATCAACATCTAAAGGGAGCGTGCAAAGGGTTAGCCTGCTGTTTCATTTTCTAACTTCTGAGCATAAAAAATAAAAATAACTGTGAGAAGGACCCAAACATGAGTATCCTGAAGAAGACTATAACTGAATGTATTGATTCAGATATACATTTAGAAATGCACCGTCCAACAAAATCATGAATACAACAGCATATAAAACCTCAGAATACTAACACATTTACGGTTTTCTTCAATTTAATTCAATTCAGTTTATTTCTACAGCACCAAATCACAACACATGTCGTCTAAAGGCACTTTACATTTCAACCAGATCAGCATTTCTATCTAATAAAAAAAACAGTTCTCCATCTGATAAAACTGTTCCTGAAAAAAAAGCACATATTTCCACTAAATCGGACAGAAAGAACTGCATAACTTCTGTCAAAAGCGCAGTTTACTGTCAAAATTAGAGCATTACAGTCCAACTTTGCTCCCACTGCTCAAATTAGCAGACTGCAGTGCAAAACACATATTGCTGTTCTATCTCTCTGTTTCTACATTAAGGGTAGAAAAATGACAACTAAACACAAATGTAACTCCGTTCCAGTTCCTGACTGTAAATGACCAAATTAGAAATAATGAACACTTTATAATAGTGAGTCCCATGACTCACTATTGTTCAAATGACCCAAAAAAAAAAAAAAAAAAAAAAAATTTTTCTAGCGGTGCGTTTTAGGAGCAGCCTGTAAGCCATGAACTTTCTCCAATATTTAAGGAATTTGGCGTCTTATAAACTGAGAAAAACTAAAATACTAGTGAAATGTAGTGTTTTAACTTATTTGAAGCGAGACGTGACCTGGAGATCGTCTTGTGTCTGTGCGATTAAAAGGAAATAAAAATGCTGAGTTTAGATAGAAATCCCTAACCTGTGATATTTCTTTACCTTTAATTATACTCACCTTCTTATTATTGTTCTCAGAGAGGTTTTCATTACTATTTTCAAAGTCCAGGAGATCCTGCAGAAATCAAGGTAACACAGTATCAGATTATTGCACAGAGAGCTGCAGTTTTCATCATTACCATCTCTGCGTTTCTTTGAGCAAGACGACAAGTTGTTCACCTGAGAAGGCCTGCGGGCATGTCCTGGTCTGGGTGATCGCTTCAATATGCCAAACATTCCTGATTTATCCTTAAAAGGGAAAAAAAACTTTTAAATTATGTTTTATGCAGACAAAATAAAAATCACACAAATATTTAAGTGGAGTGACTGCCTAGTGGTTAGGATTTGAGCTTGGAATCCTGAGGTTCTGAGTTTGAGCCCCACTTCCCACAAGCTGCCACTCTGGGTCCCTGAGCAAGACCCTTAAACCCCACGCTGCTCCCCGGGCGCTGCACAATGGCAGCCCACTGCTCCCCAAGGGGATGGGTTAAAACTTCTTAACATCCACCTCATTTTGGGAAATTCTTGCCTATTTTGCATACCCAAATGGAAAAGCAAATAACTTAGGAACTGTAAGCCCAAATTACATGTGTGATACATTATTTGAAAGCTAATACCTTCTAGTTTCTGAATATATACATGGGAATTTGGTGAGTAAAACACAGCCCAAGCTGCATGAGTTCAAACATGACCCAAAGTTGTTATTTTTATTCTTGTAAATAATAGGTCTTATTTGAACAGCAGTAATAAAGACCTGCTTGCTTATTGTGGCTGCTTTGTCATGTTTACATTTTGCCGTGCTGCTATATCTGGGTTAATTGTGCTTTGGTGCTCACTGTGTCAATAAAATGAACTCAGTGGTTGAATTGTGTAGAATCTAATCTTTCCAACGATGTCTAACATGTCTATATTGGTAAACATTTTACCGGAGGAATTTTCACGCCTTTTTAGTGGTAAACCCTTATAAACGGTTTTGAGAGGTTAAATGCAGAGGTAAATTTCTCCAATGTCAGATCAATAAAGTTCACTTATTATCTTCATCATTATTATTAAACATAGTAAAAAGGGCAGTACCTTAGTTGACTTATTGTCTGTTAAGCTGTCACTACTGCCAGATAGTTCAGGGTGTTGTGAGGAAATTGCTGCCTCCTGGGGAAAAAAGGAAAAGTTTACAGGAGATAATTAGTAAGATGCAACTGTGCAACAGTGTTACTTGAAGAAAAAAACTAAAACTATAAATTTCATGAACAAGAAAAAAAATGCCCCATTTCCTTCAATGAAAGGATGCTAATCACTGCACTGCTACTTCAATGGTAAGGAGTGTTTTTACTGATAGTTTATCAGATTCTTCAATATTTATTCATGATCAATATCCTGCACTTCTGGATGAAGTCAATCTGCAAAATTAAAAACTAACCTGAGGCTCATCGTCTTTAGCAGGTTTCGTCGTTCTCTTAAACATTCCTTTCAACATTCCTCCCTTTTCCTGAAACCATGAGGAAAGCAGATGTTTGTATCCTGAAAGCGCTGATTTAACTCGACCATGAAACATTCAGACGCTCACCTTACTGCTGCTATTCTCTGTGAGCGAGTCTCTGCTGGTGGAGAGCTCACCGTTTGCTGACAAAGTGTCCTGTAGGGTGAAAACAATATTCATTTTAAAATAGTTTTAAAACCCAAGAACTGAGAAAATTCGTTATCAACTAATGTAATGCTAGTACAGCTTTGACACGTTACAAAACTTTACTTTATAGGATTAGAAAAGAAAACGTTGAAATGAAAGCGTTGAAATTATGTTCGTCGTACCCCTTTATATTCACACCCTTTAACTAGTGTTGCACCGATGCCATCACCCCCCCCCCCCCCCCCCCGATATATATATATCAGAAACCAGCCAAAAAATAAATATATCCGCCTGCCTCTGAAATCTCAGATATTAGAAAGCTCACAGAAACACTTTGCTTCGATCCAATTTTAAAGTTTATGTAACTCTTTGGTGAATCAGAAATCGGTCAGTTGTTCTCATCCCAGATAATGTGAAGTATTGTTCTCTGGGATATACAACTTTTTCAAACCATTTCCATCTTTCCACACTTTAAAATAAGTAATAAACCCCAGTATAATTTATTCTGATATTGTATCGGTGTAGTATTTAAGGCTGGGTTATCAATATTGTATCTGAAATGAAATGTTGTATTGAGCTACCCATAGCTGACACTGGTTTCCATTGTTTATTATTTCCTGTTTTAACCCCCAAAATCGGAATTAAACATGCATGAGAGCAAGTGATCGTACTGTGGCCAAATATAAAAGGTTTCAATCATGTTAAGGTTTTGTGAGGCACTCTGGATGCAACGCATTCTAAAGCCTGTGAATAAATCACCAAACTGAGCTTAGAAACACTTCATAGACCAGGGGTGACCAATTAAAAATAAGCACGGTCTGCATAAAGAAAATCATCAAACAGTAAACGTCCAGAGACATTTCTAATTATACTTTACTTTAAACAGAATTTAACACTGGAATAAAAAGAGGTTTTTATGCATCCATGTTATACATTGATTTGTGAAATTAAAAAATAGAAACAAAAGAACATTTTTCCATTTTAAAATCTGAAACATTTTTTGAAGTAGAGAACAATCGTTTAGTTTGGTATGTAGACAATTTCCTGATTCACATATTTATAAAAACACCTGAACTGACCATGTGTTTGTTTTTCTTTTTCATAGCTTAATGAGAGCAGTGGGCTTTATGCTGCCCTGTAAGGCTTTAAACCTGGGTTTGAATGAAGTCATTCTAAAGCACATATCAAGGAGCTCATTTTGAGCCTGGATCAATATTTATTTTGATGCTGTTCATGGTGGAGAATCCTGCTTCACAGCAGCAGGTTGAGCCAGACATCCTCTAAATGTGCAGGGTCATCTCTGAGCACCATTTCACTTTTCTTTCACCAGTTCACCACAGTTCTTCCAGCAGTCCACACTTTCTCTGCTCTCTTTTTCTCATCATCTTCTCCTTCTTTCCCATCGCCCGGCTTGCCACAGGTTTGCCTGCTGTGTCTGAAAGTAGCAGCAGCAGCAACCCAGACTGATAGCAGCCCATTGGTTAATTTGTATCACATGCAGCCTGGTGACACGTGGCTTTACCATATTAACAGTAAAGCAGCGCAAGTAAAATTAGACGCTGTCATCGGACAACATGCGGTAATTTATAAATGTTTTAAATCAGGTTGGGTTGGGATTAGCCAGCAGGTGAGTCCGTATCTGGAAACCGGTCCACTATTCCATGAACTCTGTTATAGATCAATGGAAAAACCTAAAAAAGCTGACATTAAACTGTATCACAGACATACACATATAATTATCTTACATTTCAGAAGCTAAATGGTTCAGTGCTGTAATGCAGTTCCAGATTAAAATAATAAAACAATAAATAATTATGTTCAATGTGTTACCTGTGCTTTAGCAGATGGTTCTGTAGTTTTTGATGGTTTCTTGAACATCCCTCCAAAAAGTGATGCTTTTTGCTAAAATCAAAAAGAGCAGAATAATCCTGAGGTTAATTATGAGACAGATCTCTTATGAGCTTCACATGTTTTAATGGAACTACTGATGACAGCTCTGAACCTGAATTTCACGTTCCAACTTGAGGAACAGATGGTAGTAGATCAATGCTATATTTATATCAGGACTGCCACCAATGATTATAATGATTAATAAGCAATTAATGAAAGGTAAAGCTAAAACTTTTCTACTTGTGGAGTTCTGGATAGAGCATGTTGACAGAAGAAACGGGTTTGTTTTTTTTACCTGAAATGCAAAATATTTATGTATTTTTTCCCAATCTTGGTACAATTCCCGATCCAAGTGGGTCGCTCTGTAGGCTAAAGACACTTCTTACATTCTCTATACTCCAGCCACCAATTAATCAATTATTAAATTAGTTGAGGATTATTTCAATAATCGATTAATCACAATTAATTGTTTCAGCCTTATTTAAAAACTCTAGTATATTGATTGCATTGACTGGTTGAGTGTCCCAATAACAATGTTCAGTAATTGAATACTTCCTTTGCACTAGGAGTGAGTATCTGTTTAGCTTTTTCTATAGAAATATGGGTTACAGTCTGAAAGCAACTCTGTTATTCGAGGAAATCATCTGTGCCACATGTGGCCTTCAAATATCAATAGGACCACAGAGTGGTCCTCAAACTTTTTCTTACAGAGACAAAAAGAAATTTAAGGCCACATAATAAAAGAAAAAAAAAATTCTTATCTCATTTACAAATTTTAACTATTTTGAACTGAAGGGGTTTCTTTATACATTGGTGGCATCTATAAGTCAAAGCAGGTTTAAAACACAAGCTCACTTAGTGTCACATATCATTAATATAAATATCTTGATTTTTAATAAACATTTCTTTGAGAATAGCAACAAGAACAAAGGTTTTCAGAAACACTGCTGGAAACTCCAGGTGAATTATTCTGGAACTATCAGCAGCTTATTCCCAATGTGTTCATGCCCAGCAGGTAACGGGTGTTACACCCAATTCTGTTACCAGTCTATCGTGTCTCTGAGTGAAGGTAAGTAAACAAAAATTTAAGTTTATGTTTTGTTGTTTTTCTTTAATCCAGGAAGTTGAAGTACGTTAGCTTCACACATTCAAAGCACAAACAGTTACATACAGCGACGTTTCCTCCATCTTCAACCTCCAGCTCCAGTGTATCATATCGATCCTGTCAGACATTAATCAGGTTAAATTCAACAACGGCCACATTTTAACGGTTCCACTGTAGCTGGTATTTAATCATTTATGCTTTACCTACCATCAACTCCTCTGATCTGTTATAAATCCCTCAGTTCAGATCAAAACAAAAAGAAAATTAGTTTGAGATGAAACGGTCAGTCCGCCGCGCAGGTAACACACCTTCTTGCTCTATAAACATGAAGGAAAAAAAAAAGTTTAAAGATGTGGAAATGTGAGGAGGTTATTTCTAAACTTGTTTTTTTTCTCAGCCTCCGGACTACCTTCAAACTAGTGGAACCTGCGGAGTTTCTCCCACCTGTGTGCTCAGAGTGGGGCGTGTCTGTCTCACCTGGAGAAAAACTGGTGCTGCGTTTAAGGACGACTCGGAAACCTAAGCTCTTCTTCTTCTCCTTCTTCATGCAAGGTTGTATGGCGGTTGGCAAACTAGATAAAGTGCATTTCCGCCACTACCTGATAAGGAGTTCGACAAAGAAACAGGAAACGACTCGCCTGTTTCTTTGTGTGTGTGTGTATATATATATATATATATATATATATATATATATATATATATATATATATATATATATATATATATATATATATATATATATACATAATAAAACATACCGGTAATAAAACTTTCAACAAATAACAAATATTTAATCACATTCGTCCTCATAATTTATCATTTATCTTTAAGTAATCGTCGCTCTGCCAGTTTCTGATTGTCCAACTTATTTTCCCATTATAGTTTTAACCATTTTCCAGTTTAAATTTCTCACTTCAACATGCTTTTCTGCAGCTTTCACAGCTTTTCCTCTCCACTTTCGTTGCAAGCATGCTTAGTGTGAGTGATTACCTTCAGGACAATGAGTTGATGCAATCAACTGCTTTTCCTAAGATAGAAAACATTGAATCAATTTGACTGGATGATTTAGTGAACTGTAAAGTGCCTTCAGATGACTCGCTGATTGAACGTAAATTGAATTGAATCCTGCTTCGTTCAAGTAAATGTGGCTTTGTACACACTAAGCTACACTGCCCCCTTGTGGACACCTTAAAAAGCAACGTAGCCTAAAAAGATGATTTGTATTACATTATTCCACACTGGGTATTATGTTGTGTAAAATGATGTTTAAAGTTTAGTTTCCATTAAAGAGGAACCTGTTTCTGGAAGTCTGAAAGCTTCACTGCCAATTTGTTCAATTCAAAATCACACTTTAACAGAAGATGAAGTCCTCCTATGTTTTTGAACACTAAATATGATTCTGTGTATGACCAAATAATAATAATAAAAAAACATATATAATGCATTAAAAAAAATGAACCATTTGAGTTTCAACTGAAACTCTATAGCAAGTAACCTCATTATCTTCCTGGGGTTCCATCAGGCCCGGCCCTAAACAATTTGGTGCCCTAGGCAAGATTTTAGGTGGCGCCCCCTTGCATCATTGTGCAGTACTGCATGTCTGCTGGTGTAAATATACTCACAAGCAGCGGCGTAGGAAGCGGGGGGGACGGGGGGGACATGTCCCCCCCAATATAAAAGCCAGGTGGATATGTCCCCCCCAAAAATTGTACCGCAAAATATTAGATTTTGACATTTTTTTACTAGCGTGCTTTTATTTTGAAGGCGCAGCATAGCGTTACGTCACTGTACTCCCCCTCCCCTCTCTGAACTGCTGAGTGAGAGTGAAGGGAGGGAAACAGCGATACAGAAGTCAGAAACTTGTGAAAGAGGTAAAATGGTCTGTCGGGATGCTGCCTATTTAAAACGTCTTTGTTGTCAGTTCACTTTCATATATAGAAACTGAATCTTTTTGGTTTAGTCATCTTAGTCTTGTACGAAAGAGGATTAGGGCCACTGGAAAAAAAAAAGTTAACTGATTTTTAAATTTTTTTTTAGTTTGACATGGGGGAAAAAGTAAGAATTCTGACTTTAATCTCAGAATTCAGACTTTTTTCTTCTGACTTTTTTCTCAGAATTCTGACTTTAATCTCAGAATTCTGACTTTAATCTCAGAATTCTGACTTTTTTCCTCAAAATTCTGACTTTAATCTCAGAATTCTGACTTTTTTCTCAGAAATCTGACAGATGATTAATATTTCTAATCAATTTACAGTGTTTTTTTTTTTTTTTTTGGGGGGGGGGGGGGGGGGGGGGGGGGGTACTATACAGATATATAAAAACAAGAATGTCTAACTAAAAAAATAACCAGAATATATGTTTAGAGTAAAGATTTACTACTTGTACACAAGCACACAATTTCAAATCTGCTGAGCTTGCTGTGCAAGAAAATGTAAAATATACGTATAAAGAAATATAACAGGAAGTACTGCTAAAACAAACTAAATGTTAAATAATGTAGATATTGGTTTAAAAAAATCTTCAGATTTGGAAATTTGGAAGGAATACATAATTTTGAAATTAATCAACAAATCTGGTAAAAAATAAATAAATAAAAAATAAAAGTTGCACTTTTTTACTTGAGGAATTTGTTGAATAACTTCATAATTATGAGTTTAACTAGTTGGAGGTAATGCTACACTTCTCTGCTTCCTGTCCTGCTCATAAAAGGTAAACATTATAAACCCACCATCCATTTTCTACACTATTTGGAAAACACAACACAAATGTAATATAACAAAAGTATGTTTAACAACAAACATGTTAGCATCAAGCCATAGCCATGTCTGTTTTAGAGACTAGCTCTCTTGTTTTAATGATCTTCTGCTCCTCCATTTATAAGGGGGACCCCTCGGGCACATCAAAAGTTGCCTAATTCTGTCATTTTTCACCAATATGTCACTGGCCATCTCAAACAACTCACATCTTTATCAGTGAAGCTGAATGCTCCACATCTCTACCTTCATGGTGCCCATCTACATTAAGATCCAAAATTCTGAGATTAAAGTCCGAATTCTGAGAAAGAAGTCAGAATTATGAGATTAAAGTCAGAATTCTGTGAAAAAAAGTCAGAATTCTGAGAAAAAAGTCAGAATTCTGACTTTTTTCCTGTATTAAACTGAAATAAAATTTAAAAATCACTTAACTTTTTTCAGTGGCCCTAATCCTCTTCCGTAGTCTTGGGCTGATCACTCATCCAATATTTAACTGCTAACTTTCTCTAGATGTTTGCCACGCTAGCCAAAATGTTATTTTTTTTTTATATATCTCATTTCAGTACAATGCCACCACCAACTAAAAGGCTTAAACAGCAGTAGGACTTACTCAGATTTTTAAAAAAAGAGAAACGTCAGTGTGAGTAACAGTCACCTTACACAACTTGTGTTGAAATTAGCCCGGTCTGGGATTTTTTATTTTTTGTGTGGTTTTGATTCGCCGAAATGGACAGATGTTATACCTGCCGCGCTCCTGATCGTTAGTTAAAACCACAGGGAGAATTAATTTTAATTCTTAGCAGCGAACTGCTGCACAACCACTAATTAACCAACTAATTAACTTCTGCACCTTTATTTCCTCAAATAAACTGCTGGCTCCTCTTTTTAGACTATAAACAGATTAACACAACATTGAAAACTCTGTAGTTTTCTCTGTTCTGTACTGCAAATTGGAATTAAAGACGCCATTTCTACCAAAGGTCGGGACAGACTGGCGCACCAGCACCTCCTGACCCCACTAAGGGACAGGGTGTACAGAAAATGGAAGGATAGATGGATTTCTACCAAAGATTTAGAATGCGTTTTTGAACCAGATGCTTCAAAGCGCCCTGTCCATAATTCTTCACCACACTGTCAGCTCCCTCTGTCAGTCAATCTATATAAATTCATTTTTGACCATTATTGCAAGTTTGACAAAATAAAACATATCAAACTTTGCACTTCTGTGGCCTACTGAATTGTTTTTAATCCAACTGAAATATTTGATTTTCTAGTGCGTATGCGGACACTAAACATGCCAAGGGCTGAAGCCCTTGAAAGACATCTCCCTTTGCTTAATAAAAGACTCCAGTCATTTTGTTTGGTGATATGCTCACATCTTATGAACAAATACATTATGTAAATTTTAAATGCATTATTTTTGCAAGACACATTTATAAAGGAATAAAGTAAAAGATTAAATAGCCTTTTTTTAAAGTAGCGTACTTAAGATATGTTTCTGTTGAATATTTACGAATCTCAGATTTCCGACATGTGTCCCCCCCAATTGTAAACATATTCCTACGCCCTTGCTCACAAGAAACTAAAAAGCTTTGTCATTTTTTTTATTTACATAAAACAATTTTCACATTGAAAAAAACTTAAAAATAATTAAAGAAACAAAAAATGAACATATGAAATACAATATAAATAACTTAAATAAAGTATTAAATTTAAATACTCCCAAAAAAAAGTGTAAACAAGTGACTTTAATTTAAATGCAATATAAATATGACACTGTGCAAAGTAAGAAATCCAAGAAATGAGTAGGCACAAAAAATACAATGATTTAAATAAAGAAAAAAAAAATAACAGGATAGTTCTTATACTATATACTCTCACATGACTACAGCTTTACTCTCCTGGATTTTCTTGAAGCAAAGTCATCTACAACATCATCATATGACAGCTGATTTGAGACCACATGATTAATGCTTATGATGGAAAGTCCACTGAGACGTTCTTGCATCATAGTAGATCTCAGGAAAGTTTTAATCAGTTTAAGCCTGGAGAAGCTTCTTTCAGCAGCAGCCACCGTAACAGGAAGAGTGGCAGAGATTCTTAGAGCAACCCACATGTTGAGGTAAATTTCTGCTAGTTTCTTCTTATGCTAAAAGAAGGCTAAAAGTTCCAAGTTTGTCATGTTCGTATGGTGGCAATGGTGGGAAATGTTGCATATCACTTGTTCTGCTCCATCAATGTCCTGCTGGCTGTCCTGGGTCAGAGCAGTACTTAGGGTTTAACACTTCTGTAGCAGCTCTTTTTCTTCTAAGTTGGGGAAATCGAGGAGCACACCAAACATGTTATTCAGATTCTGAAATCTCTCATTAAGTGAAGAAATGGCAGTATTCATGACTACATAAAAAAATGTGGTTTCCATTTTTTGTAGTGCATCTTGAATGGGCTCATCTGGACACTCATAGCCAAAGTGAGTTTTTGTGGTTCTTAATCGCTTTCTTTTTAGTTCAGCCTCCACATTCATGTCTTCACAGATCTCCTTTGCTATTGTCTGTGCATCAGAAAATCCAGTGTTTTTGTAACTGGTGAGGGAATCTCTGGTTTTCCTCAGCAAGTCGACAGCTACGTCAAGCTGCATGGAGGGTGACTGCATCAGTTTACTAACATGCTGGATTTTGCAGAGAACGTCATACCATATGGCTGCAC